GATCCTCTTTATTCATCGATGACGCTGTCCAGGTACGTGGAAGATTCCGCATCCTCCAGAGTTTTTCCGCTAGGTGTGATAGAGCTGGTGTTTTCTTTGTTCTAGTTCAGGATCTTGGTTTTTCCCTTGCGTATGTTGAATCCTATTGATGAAAAGTCTTCTGATACACTGGTTGTCTTCATCTAGATTTGTTGGTTTATATGGGATAAAAGAGCCATGTCCTCCGCAAAGTCCAAATCGTATGAATTCCATATGATGCTAACTATCTTTTCAGGCACGCTATAGTGTCTAAGGTTATATAAACTTCTCCTGTCAACACTGTCAAACGCCTTCTCATAGTCAGTGAAGTTGATGTATAGTGACGAGTTCCGATGAGTTGAATGCTCAACAATGATCCATAGTGTCGCAATTTGATCCCTACACAAACAATCATTACAATATCTTGAAGTCGGGCGTCTACTGAATCTTTCATTCGGTTCAGCAACACTCCGTTGAAAACATTTCCTGGTACTGATATTGTTGTAATGCCTCTGAATTTTCCACGTTTGCTCAGATCTCCTTTCTCTGATACCTTGTAGAGATGTCCTTCTTTCCGATCAGTCGTCACTTGTTCCTTCTCCCAAATCTTCATTAATAAAATGTGGAGCATGTTTGCAGTTACTTCTGTGTTTGACTTTAATCCTTCAACTGCAGCTTTTTCGCTCTTGATTTGTCTGATGACCGTGCTGATTTCTCCTATCTCCAGTGGAGCGAAATTTATTAGAAGGTCTGCGTTTACTGTTTAGATTTCCGGTGAAGTAAATGGAGCGGGTTTATTCAAGAGCTCCTCAAAATGTCCTACCCATCTATTCCTCTGTTCTTGAATCTCAGTGATTGGCTTACCTTCTTTGTCATTAACTGGTCTCTCTGATTTACTATATTTCCATGCCAGTTTCTTTCACGTGTCGTATTGTTGTTTCCTATTTACTTCTCTCGCAGCTCTTCCACGTATTTCTGTTGTCGGCTCTAATCCCTTCTTCACTTGATAATTTGCCTCTGTGTATTCAGCTCGTGACTTGACTTCCTCTGCTCTTGTTCGACTGCTGTTAATTTCTGTCTTCTTGTTCTTCTTTTCTTGACTCCTGTTCAGATTTTTGATAAAGATCCACTCCTTATGATGATGTTTGTTGCGGTCAATGATCTTCTCAGAACCTCCTGTCAAAGTGAAGCTAGTGCTTCTTTCATCCATATCCAATTATCCTTCATATTACGCTTCGTAACTTGTTGTTGAGAGTTAACTTGAATTCACTGAGTTCATAGGTATGCTCAAGGAAGCCTGTAATGAACCTTTGCAGTGCTGTTTCTCCAGTTATCCAGCGCTTATTTAGTTTCAGTTTCATCCTGGCGACCACTTGGTTGTGAACTGAAGCTATGTCAGCTACTCACTTGGTTCTCACATCTTCCACTGACCTTCTGAATATTTTAGTGATGCAAATGTGATCGATCTGGTTCTGTGTAGTGTGATCCGATGAGACCCATGTAGTTTTCTATGTGTGTTTGTGTGAAAATATAGAGCTACTTATAACCGTTTCGTTGAATGCACATAAATTAGCAAATCTCTCTGCATTCTCGTTACTTTCTCCCAGTCGTTTCATGTCGTCCCAATGACATATTCATATCCCGTGTTGTCCGTTCCGACATTGGCTTTTAGGTTTCCCATTAGGATGGTTGTAGACTTCTCTATAATTGATTGCAGCCTCTCGTAAAACTGATCTTTATCGTCTTCATTGTTATCATTGGTGGGTGCACATCACTGAATAACATTCATTGCGATTACCTTCACCCTTATTTTGAAGGATGCTTTGATGGTCTTGAATCCATGATATTCCCATTCTATAAGTGTTTCGTGTGCTTCTTTGGACAGTATCAGAGCAACTTCCTCAGTGTGTGGATCATTTTCTTGTTCGTGACCAGAGTACACCAGCATCTCTGATGAATCCAACCTTTTCTGTTCTGCTCGGGTCTGATGGGTATCACTTATTCCGAGCACCATCAAGTTGCATCTCCTCATTTCCGTAACTATTTGTCTGATTCTCTTGGTCTCACATATTTCTCGGACATTCCATGCACTTATATTAATTGTTACTCTGGCTATTAAAAGGAGCTCATGACTTCCATAGATTCTCATCGTTCACCATGAGGCACCATGATTCTTTTAAAAGAAAATCATTGTATTTGCAGGACAGAGTTTAGGTAGTTTCAATGATTTTTTCTGGTTGGTGTTTTTTAGCAAGGTTGTTTTCTGCGGAACGGTGTGGTTAAGGTCATACTCAAACCTCCTCCTCCACCCGGTCTTTGGACCGGCAGTAGCCGTAGAAGAGCTACAGGCCAAGTTATTTGAAGAAGACAGATATTATTATTAATAGTGTTTTAATTGACTCCACCTTGTGCACAAAAATGTCCACATTAGTAAAATCTTACTAATCTATAAATGGGAAATCACTTTAAACTACTTAGTTCCGTCGAACTTAAATATATTAACTGCATATGAACAGAGTAAATATGAATAAGACAGAAATTAAGTCATTTGAAACTGTGAACACTTCATTAATAGGCTCCAATGAAACATGAAGTCAACCCAGATTCGTATTTTAAATGTAAGCATCATTTGGTGTTGGAAATATACTGCAAAAGTATTTAACCAAGGTCGTTTTTAGTGGAGTGGTATTTCTGACTCCATACGCGGACTTGGGGCCTGGAATAACTTTTGAAGAGCTAAATGTGTTCACTTGACATTAGTTACAAATGTCAATTATTCGTTTGCACGTTGTACGCAATTGCTGTCTTTTTCTCAAAATCAGGTGACACTTTTTTGATTATAATCACGAGCTAAAGCAGAGTTAAATTATGGTACCAAGTAAAGTATTGTAATTTCTTGTAAGGCAAGTGAACATCATATGTTGTTGGTGAAGGTAATATTGTTTCAACAGTTTGTATGGAATAACATGAGCTAGCCACACTTTAAAAGCACATAAAACATTACTTGAGGAATTTTATCACAGATGAACTAATTAATCTCAGGAAACACTGAATTATTATGGTATTTTTTTCACAGATTTAAATCATGAGTCAGTTGAAGCTAGACCACCATTGAAAAACTGGAAGCACTGTTGTGAGATATCAGCTCACTGAAGACAATGGTATATGGTGGCGCAACTTCGTGGATTGGTTGAAGTTAGACATTAACACCGTTGGATGCCGGCTCAGTGGTCTAATGGTTAAGTGCTCGCGCGCGAAGCCAGTAGGTCCTGGGTTCGAGCCCCGCGTGGTGCGGGATCGTGGATGCGCACTGCTGAGGAGTCCCATACTAGGACGAAACGGCCGTCCAGTGATTCCAGGTTTTCAATGGTGGTCTAGCTTCAACTGACTCATGATTTAAATCTGTGAAGATTTCTAAAATCTCCACAAACCCCTTCTGATATTATGGTATTTAGCAAATATGCGTCAAATGCGCATAATTTTATACTTATTTTGGGACACCATATGTTACTGAACATACTTAAATTGTCAGAAATATCCGTATCCGAGTTTTTTATGATCTTGTGGTCCACAATTATAAATAGTTAGTAATTTCAACCATAATTAACATAATCCAGGATGTATATCCAAATAAAGTGTGCAATTATGATATTACTGTGATCTGTAAACATAGACAGCTAATATATTAGAATTCTGTTGTCGTAACAGTGAGTAATTAAAAACAAGAAGCTCATGTGTGCAGCAGTGTATTTGTAAGCGATAATAAATGTGGCATGATATGGGAGGTTCGAAAAGAAGGAACGGAAGATCAAAGATTATGTTTTTTTTAAACAACAATTTTAAAGTCAATGATGGTAATTACACAAATTATGAGAATTATTGTAACAAATGTTAATAATAGTGGAAATCATTTACGAAGTAAGCCTATTTTAATTACCCCCGCAGCTGGATCATCGACCCACTCTTTCTACTGTTCTGTTTTCTTACTCTTTTCATTCTCTGTACTCTTTATGCTTTTCTAGTACACAGAGTAACTTCTGTCTACACGGAAACAGCTACAAAATACATATTCAGGAACATTTATGTTCTAGTTCTTATTTCATTTGTTTATCTTTGATCATGGAGTATGAAAATAGCAAATGTAATGTAAATATAGTGTTCACGAAAGCATTATATTTAAATGATCTAATCACTACTCCACTGGTTTCAATATACTCTCAATTGTTTTACTTTATTTTTAAATGACGTTTAACACTATCACTAGATTGATTGTCACACCTCAAATTAATAATTAAATCATTTGAGACAGCCTTGATTTGTAGACTGGTTCTCCTGTTGATTGATGATGATCATAATTAAAATACGGTGGTTTATTGCGAACGACTGATCCCAATTCTTTCATGACTCTAAGCTCATTCCTACTTGGTGAGACTCTAATTTACGGACGACCTTTGAGCGACGCTGAAGTGACCTTAAGAGTGGACTCCTACTGATTATGACTAAATGAAGGTAATAAAGCAGTTAGAACTTTCATTTACAGTTGATAGTTAGGGTTGAAAATTAGATTTAGGGTTTCCATCACGAACTGACATCAGCTATAATGTCGAAACTCTATTTAACCAAATGTATGAATGAATTTCGCACCAAAATTTGTGACTCATTATCTTATACCTGATTGGTTCTTCCATAAATTATAGTCTCCTCCATACTTTGTTTCTCGTCTCTAAACGTTGGGAATCCGTAAAGAATAGTTTCCTGACTTTCTTATTCTAACATTTCGTAATATTAGATATTTATATTATAAAATTAAACTTTTCGGTTCATTAGATGTTTTTTTCAAGAAAACAAACAGATCCCATTACAATAGGTGTACTAAAATAACGTGATCAAATTTATCATATGAATTTATTATCATTGGCTTTACTAAGATAAACTATTAATCAATCAATAAAGATGCATTTAAAAAGCTGATGATAAACAATATTCTCTAACTGAATTCTTTCTTTTACTTTGGATTAAAAAGGAATTCACTTTACTTATGAGAAATATTAATAATGGGATCTTGGCAAGTATACGCTAGGGAAATTGTTGAGATAATTCACTTTTATGGCGAGTTAAATGAAACGGATTCTGTATGTTTCATTGAAAGAATTTCATTAGATCCTAGTAAAGAGAAGATATCAAAGTATTTAGCAAACAATAAATATCAAAGTCATCATTCAAATGATCTGAAAATATTGAAGTTAAATGTATATGATAAAATCATTATATATGAATGTGTTGGTCTGAAGAAAGAATTCTTCGAACACGCTTTAAAGCATCTTGAAAAAGCAGAAGGGAAATTACTGATAATCAAGAAACTTCAAAATTGGATTGGTAAATTTAATGACGAACAGTGTGAACAATCTGCTATCGAAATGAACTCTTTGTTTAGAGATTTATTAGATGCTGGTTTCAATATTCAGTGGGACGTAAGCAGATTTAATTTTGTTTGAAATAATCTAAACAAAATCTTTTAAATATACCTTAGGACTTAGATCAAGTTAGCGTATTTTTACGCCAATAATCAAGTGGTTTTAAGCTTTCCGTTATCCAATTATGTTTTTTAACCAATTTTTAAAATAATTCCAGTCTAATCACTTTTAAATATCATAAAATTTCATGGTTTTTTATACATTAAGTTGATGAATTAGGGAAAAAAACAACGGAGCTTGATTCACAATAAATAGTTCTATTGAAGAAGTAATAAAAAATATGCCAAAAACGAAGAAGTCTTCAAGGTGTTTACAAGAAATTCTTATTAGAAAATAATTTATTCATTTTGAGATTATTAGCGGTTACTTTCCCCTCGTTAGTATAGTTTTTCCTAAAATATTGTTATCATTCTAGTATACGCTTACACTGAAATTAGACTACTTATTTAAAGCCAGTAATAAGTTTATTTGAATATAAAAATGAAACTAATCTAGTTAATGTCATATATCTACAACATTCTCTATCAACATAAATAAAAATTACTGTTTCTATTTTTCTCAGGTAATCGATTTACCTATCGACATAAATTATAACAGATGGTTTGAAAGTGTAAGCTATTGTTCAGAACGTTCAATTCATAATATGAAAGCGTCTCTCAAATATATTCCACTGGATCGTGAAAATATTAGAATGAATGAACAACTATTAATAATTATCGCTAGTCCGAAGCTTCCTACAGATTGTGAATTCAAACCGATAAAGCGATCACTAAAGTCGAAGCATAAATCAACTAATAAATGCAGTTTATATCAAAACACAGTAAGTACTTTTACTTTAACTTTCAACGTGATCTGATAAAAAAAATTGACTATTTAAAAAAAGAATATACAGAACTATAACTATATTGATATTTATATGAATAGTTTAGTTCGGAACTTGAGAAGATCGAATCTTCAGGTAAATAATTCATAAAATGTGACAAGTTGTCTAGAAGATTTATACCAAGGAAAGTTCTAGTAACCTAGTTGACAGTCTTGTTTCTCAGGAGGCTAAATTGAGTCACTATTAAGAAGTGACATATAATATATGACACTGATAAAAAAAGAGCGGCTAAAAATCATATTATATCTATGGAAAAAAAGATAATTCATTTTTTCCTTATAGAAATGTCAATATATATAAAGGTCAAAGGCTCATTGCATCGTCTGAAGTTCCTGGATTTGTTTGCTGGTGTAGTCGAAACTAAACACCGGTGAGCAGTCTCACACAAGAACAAAGAAGTTGTACAGAGCCTTCTGGTTTTCAATGATCGTTTCACCATTGACAGTTTGACTTAAAACTACAAACATTTATCCCGTAGCTGGGTGCGGAGATGAAATCAATGTAGTTATTCTACATTTCAAATATAATGTCACTTAGTCACTGAGTCGAAACCCACAAGTCTTTATTTCTTGAATACATTCAGTAAGTAGTGTTGCGAGATAAACACATAGTCTTATCAGTAATTAAAGCCCCCTTCAAAACTCAGATGTAAACATCTTTATCAGACACATAATTAAAGAATATTCTGCTCCTCCTTGCTATTCATTGGGATAGTTGCATTTAAATGCTTTGAGTTCGGCCAAAGCAAGACAGGAAGTTCATATTAAACTTCGTATCTATTAAATTTCATCAAAGGTAATTATTTTAAATGAAAACCTATACATATCTGGAGTAGACAAAATTCTTAAGAGTGATAATCGTCAACAGACTACCATCAAGCGTAATAAATTAGATGTACATATTCGCTTTTGACGGCTAATCTACTTAAAGTAATGTATTTCTTTCAACTAAAAAGTTGGGCGATCAGTGTTTAATTCAATTAATCCTAACTTTTCTTATCACGTATGATTCAAACATATGAGTAACTAGATTAGAGTTAACAGAAAAATCTTTATGGTGTAAAGTTATGACTGTTAGATGCGAGTTAGCTTAGAAATCAAGAAACTAAGAATCCTAATGAGGAAGTCATGGTTTTTATTAATTTGAATCTAAGTCACTATACTTAACAGTATATTAGGGAAAGCCAAGTTATGACTAACAAGACACATAGAAGATAAATAAACAAACTACATTACTACTGAGTGACGCATTGAGAACTTCTCCATAGATGAAACTTATTTTGAAAAAGGTAATAGTATGTCTATTTTAATCTTCAGTCCTATTCAATCACAGTACATACTTCCTAAAGCTTGGCCTAACAGATATTCAGAGTAAAAATGGTCACGTAGCTCTAAACGAAAGACTAAATCACAGTGTTTGCAGTTGATGGATACTGGACTGACCCAAACTGGGACTTATGCTTCGTGATCTTGGCTAGGTGAATAACTTGCACTCACTAACAAAGCCTACTTACACTTGGAGCTTTTTCGTATCGTGCAGCCATAAAACAGTACTTGTACTCGCTTAGCTAACCAATCAACCTAATACAAAATTAGTTCAAAGTCTCATGGATGAAATGTATTTATTGACTAAATTTGATTTCTTATAATAATCTAAAGTTATTCTTATTGAGTTTCAATAGGAAGAAAAACTAGTAGTCTTATATACTGAATATTTTTTTGATTTCTTATATCCTTAGACTGATGTATGGCCATTATTTGTGACGCAGCAACTGAAGACTATAGTAAACGAACAAGCGCGTGAAATTATTTTAAATTCAGTTAATCCGATCAATAAGCAGTATAAAAACACAAATCGAGGTGGTGTGAAGAGGTCAATGTAAATAACTATGTATGTGAATACCTTGTACGGGCTTGATTATCCTTTTATCTTTTTCACTTTTTGACGATACAAAGTTTAAACAGAATTATAAAAATATTTAACAATACTTCTGAATGTAACCGAATGAGTAAATAATTCAACCATGTTTTATAATTATTTAGTCATATACACAAAGTACCGTCATTAGTATTGTTAATGAACGTCTGATTATGATCTTTGTTAAACAACATTTTTCCTATATACATTGATCGAAACGTATTACGTGTATTATTAGTACGTAAACATCTCGTTTTATCTACATTTGAATATTTTACATTATTCTTCAAAATATGATTGTTTGTTCTTTGTAGATCATTACGTAATTAAATTTTCCCCGGTTTCATGTTGTTAGCCTGTCAAATCGAAAGAAAGGGACCGCAGTAAACTGTATAAATTCCTTATAAAGTCATGGATTGAAATGACTAAAAATTCAACCTAAGTAGATAACTTTTCTACTTATGATATTTCACAGTTATTTGATGTACGATTCATATTTTAATCAACGTTTTGGGCGCCAACATGTCAACCCTATTAGAAATTATTTATCAACACTCAGGTGTCCACAATGAAGATTCTTGATTCTTAAATTACATAGTGAGGGCATGATAATGACACTGTCGCTTGAACACATTACTATCAGAATGGATGGATAATTCGTCATATTTAGCAAAATACACATAGAATTTTAGTCTTAGATGAGAGTTCTAAGCTTTGCTTAGTAGACAAAATACACTCAAGGTATCTATGAGTTCCTCCAATAGGCTTTGAATAGTTTAACGGTAATGAGTTCAGTAACAAATAATTTGGAATATATACAAGTTTATTATGTAACGCATATTGAGATATATAACCCTTATGCTAAAATTTCTTATCACTTCTGTATCGAATTTCATGAGTACTGAGGACAGTACTCCGTTGTTGAACCATAGCAATTGATGAACCTACTTAAAACTTTTCAGGGTTACAAATAAACTTTAGAGCCTTATCATCTATAATTATAGTGAATTGCATTCGAGCCAAGTGTTTATGAATTCATTTAATAGTTCAAACAGCATAAAGTACATCATACTGAGCTTCCAAATTACCTGTTCGACTAGCATAAGATTAAATGAAACAAAAATTACCTGTCTAAATTCTCGTAACAAAATTACATCAATGCTAGAACTCTTCGTCACTAGCCTGTTTGAATGAATTGACTGTTCAAACAGTTTGTTAAAATAATAAAAGATTGTTCTTAGAACGAGAATATTATTGTTATTTACTTACTAACGAATGTAACTTTGAATGGATTTTGGGAAAAAATGTGAATTTGTAAGTGTCTCTAATCATTTAGAATCTTATCTTAGCCTATTTCAATCAGTTAACTATCCAAGACACTTAAATCTAGATATACATCACCAGTATTAATTAAGAATTGCAGCAATATTCTCAAGTAGATGATGTTATAAAGTAACTAGTATCTAAGCATTAACTATCCTAATGGAATTATGAATAATCAAATCAATTTAATACAATTTAGTACTTATAGAATTGCCAACAGTAATATTTATCAGTTTATTGAAGAATATCTGGAGAAAGAATAAGGTTAAATCAATGTAAGTAAGATTTTAAACTATAGGTGGTGTGTGGATGTGTATTTATTCTATTGTCGTTGGGATGGTTGGGGTTGGTGGGGGGTTTGTGTTAAGTTTTTGGACGTGGTTTTTTTTAGGTGTGTTTGGAGTTGTTTTTAGGTGTGTGGAGGTTTATAGGAATGGTTTTTGTTGGGTGTGTTTAGGGTTTAATTGTGTTATAGGAGGTGTGAGGGTGGTAATTATTTTGTTGTGGTGGTGGTGGATTGGGTTGGTTTGGGTGTTGGGGATTGGGTGGTTTTGGGTTGTAGTGGGTTGGTTGTTTTTGTGGATTTGGATTGTATTTGGTTTTGTTTGTGTAGGTTGTAGTTGGGGTGTGTATTGGAGGGGGTTGTGGTGTTTTGTTAGAGTTGAAGGGTTGGGTTGTGGTGTAGGGGTGTATGGAAAATTATGTAGTTGTTTTTTTGTTTTATTTGTATTGTTGAGTGAAAATTTATGTGTGGATTGTATGTTGGATATTAGGGGTATTTGGTTTTGGGTGGGGGGATGTGAATTATTAGGTATTAAGTAATGTAATATTTGATTTATTGGAATTTGATGATTTTGTTATAAAAAAATAAATAATTTTAGGTTATAAATTGGTTCGTCCACAAATTATAGTCTCTGCAATGTCATAGTTGGCGCTTGATGAAGATATAGATAAAAGGGATAGGGTAATGTTTATAATGTGTATTGGCAAGATCAAATTGATTAATAATGACCCTTCTGTAGCCTAGAGTAAATAACCCGGTTGAACGTATCTCATTTATATATATAATTTTCGTTTCCTAAAGTTAACAACAATTTCTTTTGGTACATATAAGTGTAATTTTTCACTTTTTAGTAGATTACTCGAAGCCTAATACATAACCGAGAAAGGTTCTCCTGTTTTGATAGTTATCTTCATTTGTGGTAACTGAATTGTAATGAGAATTAGTTATAAAGTGAGCTCACTTAAATGATACACAATCACGAGTACTGAAGAAGTTTAATAGTGAGATAAGATGGTAGTTGGAGGTAGTCAACAGGAAACCCTGGACCCGGGTTTCGTTCTACTTGGCACTAGTCGGCAAGATTTACCTGTAATCTTGAGGGAAATGGAGCTCCCTGACGGATTCGATTTCGTGTCACCCAGCTTAACAGTCAAAGACGTAACCATTGAGCTATCCGGGCCGCGACCGACCTCCTGTAGGACAGTGTGCCAAGTAGCACGAAACCCGGGTCCATGGATTCCTGTTGACTACCTCCAACCACCTTACTTACTTACTTACGCCTGTTACTCCTCGTGAAGGAATATAGGCCGCTCACCAGCATTCGCCATCCAGCCCTGTCCCAAGTAATCCTTTCCAGCTCCTTCCAGTTATTATTCATCCTTTCCATATCTATTTTTATTTCCCGACGTAATGTGTTCTTTAGTCTTCCTCTTTTCCGCCTTCCTTCAGAATCCCAAGTTAGGGCTTGCCTCGTGATGCAGTTTGACGATTTGCGTAGTGTATGTCCTATCCATTTCCATCGTCTTTTCCTAATTTTCTCTTCAGCTGGGAGCTGGTTTGTTCTCTCCCACAGTAGGCTGTTGCTGATGGTATCCGGTCAATGGATGTTGAGTATCTTGTGTAGATAACTATTTATAAATACTTGCACCTTCTTGATGATGGTAGTTGTAGTTCTCCAAGTTTCAGCTCCGTACAGTAGAACTGCCTCGACGTTCGTATTGAAGATTGTGACTTTGGTATTGGTTGAAAGTTGTTTTGAGTTCCATATGTTCTTCAACTGTAGGAATGCTGTCCTTGCTTTGCCAATCCTCGCCTCATGTACCTATAAAACATTTTGCTCTGGTTGTTAGAAGGGGCATCGGCCTCGTGGCTTCCGAAGGAACTCGGCTTTCACCATGAAGCGTCATAATTCTTCTAAATGAAGGCCTTCTAACTTTCAGGGCAGAGTTTAAATGGTTTGAATTATTTTTTCTGGTAAGCGTTTTTTTAGCGAGTTAGTTTTCTACGGGATGGGGACGCTCACCCCATGCCCAACCCTCTTCCTTTACCCGGGCTTGGGACCGACAGTTACTCTGGAAGAGCCACAGGCGGAGTTTCTAACCACCATCTTATCTCAATGTAGTGCACGCAATGTCGAGTCACCTAGACTAGTGACCACATTGCAAGTTGGTCGATAACATTCGATCTGTACTAAGAACGACTCGACACACATGACATTGATCACCACCAAGTGATCAATCAATTGTGAAGTATAATAATAAAGTCAGGAGAATTGCATATTTTTAAAATATATTACAAATAGAAATAATTAGTTATTAAACATACAAGATGTACAACAATTTAAATAGTCATTCAGTGTGCCCATAATAAGTTAAATATCTCTATACATATGTATCATGAACTATCAGATAATTAATAATTCTATATGACCCTCTTAATCGTTTGGTGTTCACATTTTAATTCACATTATTTGTATGCAATTCTGAATTAGGAAAATTATCCAAATTCAAACTGAAATCACCTACTTGACTAATTTCTTCTTGACCTGTAAGTCTATTGTGAACCGAATTAAGAATCTTTACAAATGCACTCCTGATTCTCTAAAGTTTAATTCTTAGATATGGTAAGTAATCGTTGTATTGACGATACAACACTTCTGGTAAAGTAATATTCACTAAATGAGTTCGGATTATCCAGGATTTGAAAAGTTTATTTGGACTTTGTCAAAGAATATTGAATTAAGAAACTACCAATACATAACCATAGTTCTTTCAGATTACTTGGATTAACTAAATTAATGAGACTATTTAATGTTCGAATAAAATTGTCCCTAAACCATTTGACAGAGAAAACTGCTAAACTGTAGACAGATTATTGTATGCAATTTTTGTAAGTAAATAGAAGAGTTCTCGTACATTAAAATGAATGCTATTGTTTTAATAATTTTCCGCTAGAGATTTCTCACATAGAATACGAGACAATCAGTAAAGCATAATATGAGATTGAAAATGGACCGTAATAACCGGTAATTCATACGATAAACGGTAAGTTTTCCACATTTGCTTTCTGTATACCGTTTTTTATAGCAAGAAGAATCATTTTCACATCATCAATTTATATCAACTTATAAAAGAAGACCATATTAGTGTCCGACTAAAATAAAGGGAATAAGTCCAAATAATCAGTTATAACGGTAAAACAATTGCTAAATAATATATGTTAGGAAAAGTGCGAGTGAAAACCGAATTGGTAAGTAGTAATTGAGTACAGGACAAATGAGACTGATCTCCTAGGAATAAACTGTCACTATATCCAACATTAAAAACGATACAAATAATATGGCTAAACAATATATTATGTTTCACTTCAGAACAATGTGATTTTATATTGAATACGAAATGACAAATTTTATAATTCTTAAAACAAAAACCCCTTATTTAGTGTATCATAAAGTTTTGTTAGAAATACTGTCGCCTAATATTGATCAGCTGAGTGATTCGATCTAGCCTTTAGTCAAAAGTTTTCAGCGTGTTTGATATTCTTTTAAAGAGGAGAACTTTTAATTTTTTTCTAATACTTTTATACCTATAAAAGAAGCTAATAGATATCTAAACTCAATAGATCAGTGAATAACCACCTGATGTTTAAAATGTGTTGACGATGTTAGATCCCCAGGACTTACTTATTAAATACCTTATACTTGCAATTCTATTTTAAAAAACTGAATTTCTTGTTTTCGCTCCAAAGCACTCATTTTTACCTTCATGCCGTATTTCCCACTTGGCAGGAACTTAAATGCCATCGGTTCGTTATCTCTTTTAGTATGTCATTTTGTACGGTTTCCCAAATACATTTTTATGCTGTATACATACGCTTGCGTTGTGCTTCTTGTTGTTGTTTGTGCTTTTGACTGCTTGCAGAATATATTTCCCTCTTCCGAACTTAGACTTCTCTATCTAGTTAGCTGAGCTTGGGACGCGTTGGAATAGCTAGCTTATCTGTCATTGTGTCACAGAGTTTTTCTTTCCGTTCTCCGATTAGGTGAACTCGTTATTTCTTCAAATATAGTAAAATGAAAGGTATTGATTTCGAGCCTCGGTATGAACATTACCATGAGAATCTAAGTACACCCAACTGATAAGTCTCAAACAAGACGAAATTCGCGTTCTAAACTTCACTTCTAGTCATATAAAAATTATGATAAAATTATCGCTCAAAGTTTTACCAATATAACCGATAAGTAAAAAGACAAAAAACTGTATATGAAAATTATATTTGAAGTAATCTCAGCGATTGAGTTTTTAAATAGTCCCAATGTTTCGTCCAGGAAACTAGTCCAGACTTCTTCAGGATAATAATCAAAATTGAACTATCAAATGATTTTACAATTTATCCTCAATAATTGGTTAATGACTATAATATTATTTTTGTTTAGCATAAAAATTTAATGATTTACAAAGTTATTATTATCAGAAGGGGTTTTTGTAGATATTATAGAATATGTAGTATATAGCATCCACGATCCCACCTCGTGAGATTCGAATCCAGGACTTCTCGGTCTCGCGCGTGAGCGCTTAACCACTAGACCACTGAGCCGGCATTCAACGTTGTTAATGTCTAACTTCAACCAATCCACGAAATTGAGGGACACATCCACCATTACTTTCAGTGAGTTACTATTTCAGAACAGACCCGGTGGAACTCCATTAGTCACTGCTTCTTACTAGAACTCCAGGAAATACCTCTTGAAGTTAGTCACTAGTGAGCATATGTTAAATAATATCAAAAGGGGTTCGAATTTCACGAGGCGGGATCGTGGATGAGCATTGTTGAGGAGTCTCATAATAAAACAAAATGGCCGTCTAGTACTTTCAGGTTTTCCATAGTGGTCTAGCTTCAACTGACTCATGATTTGAACTATTTAAAAATTATTATTATTAAAATGTTAATCGGTTAATTAATACATAGTTAATCATTTAAAATGTAAATTCATTTGAGATGTAATTGGAAAGAACTCTTTTAACTATATTATTTAATTAACAATAAAACTATGTAGATAACGCCTACTCATTTAGTTTTTAAAAAATCTTCAACAAAATCACTGTATTGAATTGTGTTTTAAAGTCAGCATATTTTTTCTCAAAAGAAATAAACAACAACAACAACACATAATTGGGTATATAGTTGTTGACCAATATAATTTAAGTATTTATATCATACAGTGTATTTATAATATAAACTCTTTACTTAAAGCCAAAAGATAAAGAGAAAGTTAGTTTGATCATAATTGGATTTAAGGTAAGTTACATAATTCTCTATTATTTTGTTATTCTATAATGAAAGATTTATGATGAGTACAAAAATTTTTTTATGACTGTTATAGAAAGTTTCTTATTCATCGTTTGAAAATGTAAAAAAACCATGATGATTTGTAGTATTTCTGTCTTCATTTAGAATAAGTCTATGAATAAAATTAGGTCGTTAAGTATTATAAGCATCAATCATAAACTTTAAATGTAATGGGTAAAATTAGACCGCAACAAATAAAATGAAATCAGTCAAGATATAAACCTTATTCTGTATAAATGTCCCTTTTAGCACGTAAACACTAAATAACAGTAGTAATAAAATGATTGTGTTCCTAATTTGCTTTATAACAAAACGTTATTACTGTCTCCATTGTTTTCTTGAAGGATTAATTAGTGAAAGTATAATATATTGAGTACATTGAGCAGTCTATCAGAAAATACGGCATAGTTACATAACAGTTGACAATGTAAAGTAATTAAATAGTAGTGGAATAACAGCTTTGATGTGAATTATGAAATTTCACATGCCAAATTATTTTTTGTACTAAAGAAAAAAGGTCAAGGTTACATAATAAGTGTTGAGATAGTATTCAGAGTTATGGTTATTACTCCATAGAATTATCATCACTACATGACATCGGTTATAATTTCAAAAAGTTAGGGTTACGCATTTAGAGTGAGGCTAGACTTTTGAGTTAGGTTTACAAATAAGGGTTGGAATTTTCATCACTAACTGACATCAGTGATAAAGTAAGATTTTCCTACCGTTCTGTTGACAAATTTAAGAAACGTAGGGTTGAGATTTCAAGGAAGATTTAGAAAGAAAGAATATTATCTGACTTCATTAAGGACCTCTAACTTCCTAATCAACTACATTAAGCACTTTAACACACTATTTCCTTTAGTAACAGGTATGTTTTGTCATTTAGCTTAACCACCATGTTAAACTCACATTTCAACTGCATCACAGATATTTCTACTGATTCTGAACATTTTAAGAATCCATTATTCTCAATATTCCTCTGATTAATAATAACAAACAAGTTTAAATTTCGCTCAGAGTACATAAGGAGTTATCTTAATTCTGATGGATTGACTCCTGGCTGTCACAATGCTATATCTTTACTGAATAATTTTTAATAACATTGAATGATGAAGATTAGATGACATTTTTTTAATAAGAATATTATCATGCCTGGAAATACCACAAATCCTATCAAAAGATAAAGTTATTATTTAACTTCACCGAATATCCTACTCTTTTCAATGACTGTAAATAATTCTATTAAATTAAAACAAGTAGAATGCTTGGTTAAAAATTACCGATATGTATCAGAACTATGATTAATGAATTGTATACAGTGAAATGATAACAATATACAGCTTGTTTGATCTTCTTAGAAGATATACAAAATCATTAATTATTAGTAATTATGAATTACTTGTTAATATGTTGGAGATCATTGAATTTAACTTACTTTTAATCAATATTTACAATTATAAGACTAAATTATACAATTGGTAAACAAAACACAATTATGAGATCAAATCTCATAGAGAATTGATAAAAATTTACAACAGTGAATTATATATATATATATATATATATATATATATATCTGATGTAATATGGAACCATAACATGATTAACTATACACTATCAATTATTACTGTATTGTATAATAAAGCAAATTAAGTAAAAATGGATAATAATATTCACCTTAAATAATGATAGAAATAGAATTTATCACAATGAACAAATAAATCTAAAAGGATAACTAATTAACTTGAGTCAGTTTTGTATTCTTAACAAATTCTATCGTTACCAATGATACAATGAATTCATTTCAAACTATTCACCTTATTTTAATAAGTTTACATTTATTGATTACAAATCATTTTGTTGCTGAGAGAAAGGATACTTTATTGCATTATTATTATTATTACCATTACTACAAAACAAGTTAACTATGATGAAATTTTTAAAATTCAACTCAATAAACAGCCCTGTTATATAATGGTTAACATTTTATCAATATAAACTAATGAAAGGTTATGGATAGATCAATTCTGATTGTATTTTATTAGTTTATCAATTCTTTTAATAATTAATTGCTATGGTATTCTATTGAGTACTAAATGTATCATAAAATTATAAAGATTTAATGTAACTAATGATTCATTTATATTTTAACTAAATAAAATTGTCAAATATACTTACTTATTTAAGAATTCAAATGACCTAAAGAAGTATGTATCGAGTATTCTGTAATAATAATAATAATAATAATAATAATAATAATAATAATAATAAAATTGATTTTCTTTGCTTCTTTCCATATCTCTTCAAAAGAGTATAAAGTTAATAATGATAATGAGTAGATCAAAGATAATTTGGAAATTTGTCAGTTCATGTTATTTTAGTTATCCTTTAGTTATCCATAGAAAAATCTATGAAATTCACCTAGAATTATTTGTCATTTCAATTAAAATGTGTTAATCTATTTTATTATTTTTTTGAGATTATCAAATAAAACACTTTTTTTTCATAAATAATATTGATTTTTTAGTAAAAAGAGATTTGTGAAGATCGTTGAATGTTATTGAAATCATGAATCAACTACAGTTAGATATTTGTTGGAAACCAGGATGCACTGAATAATTGTTTCTTCCTAATATAGGACCCCTTAGCAGTGTTTATCCACCATTGCATCATAGGGTCCAAATTCAATGGTCTCAAAGTTAAGTATCTGCAGTGTAACCGAAGGTCGATGATTAGATCCCTTTTATGGTCATAGATGAAAAGTTTCATATTAAAATGAAACAGCTATTCAGTATCTCCCTGTTTCTAATAAATGTCTGACGTAGCTCACTTCGTGATACTCATAATACTGAATTTAATAAATTTTTAATTGAACTTGCTGTTGACATAATTTATTCTTTGTATCATAATACAGATTCAGTGTTTTCGTAGTAAATGGTAAATAGTCTATAATTATTTATGTAACTCTAAAACATTAAAACCCTTTCCAAAGTAATTACGATAATTGAATATACTACTTAAAGATGTAAATATATCTTTTTTCTAAATATTAGCTTCATTCACTGTTCAATGATAATTATGTATTTCTGTAATTTTAAATGAATTCAATGCAAAAAACAAAGAACTCACCATTTACATCATAACATATCTATTTGTACAAAACAATGAAGTTAACTGGTTGTTAATGAAGTTTTATTCATCAATTTCTATTAGCAAAAAATCCAATAATTAAAAATATGTTAATGAACGACTCAGTTATGAACTATAATTAGAAGAGAAAATTTGATTCTAGTATATGAATAAATGTTTTCTCTATTCATTACTGAGCTTATTCATCTATACATAGTTAATTATAAAATCAGTGCTATACTAAATTATTTGGCAAAACCAGAGTATCAACTCAATGAAAGTTCCCAATAATATTGATAATCAACATTTAAAACAGTGTTTGAATAGGAAAACTTTATGACAGTTATTTTAGGCAAATATGAATAGTGGCTAGCAATGAAATTCAGGACGTGCGTCTCGTCCTATTTGTGACTCGTCAGCTGGATGTGCCTGCATGTCAGAGCCGAGTGGATAACGCGATGTCGTTTGAAGCGAATGATATTGGATTTGAGTCCCGGAGTGAACATCAACTCTGAGGTACAGGTACATCCAGTTGACAAGTTCTGAACAGGATGAAACCTCGCGTCCTGGATTCCACTGCTTGCTACTATCGGTTTTTGTTTAAAATGCTTGTGAATTATGGCAATATCGAGACAATCCCTACAGGATGCATACATGCTAATAGGATACTGATCAATTTCAGTCCTAAATAATAATGTGGCGATAAAAATAAAACAACACCAAATGAATTCATGACAGTTAGTTAATCATACGACTTTTAATTATAAACGTTTTTTCAAGGTAATCATCACCTCAGACTGATATCACCTAGATGAAAAACGTCCAAAAACGTGTTGAAAAATAATTTGTTCTCATCATAGTATACTCAGAAAACAACAAGTTCGTACAAGTATGGTGAAATAATTTTCGCATATAAGAATGCACGTTACACTCTGAAGACAATTTATTTCAGAATAATTTTTAACATTTACTAACTTCAGTCATTTTTCAAATTTCGTAAGAAATCATAGGTGAACAGTCACTTTTTCCCTTATATAACTGATTTTAGTAAGTGAGATTCCTCACTAAACACTGCAAACATTTCATTAGGAATATTTGGGTATACAATATTCAGTCGTTTACTACTAGAAGTGGAAGACAAGCAGAATTTCCATTAAGTTAGAAAGAGTTAGTTTCGACAGAATTCGTGATAATATAATGATCTTTTTTGTGATGTGTAAAATTCATATGTTTAACCTCATATAAAATACAATAAGAATACTTACAATGAACTTAACATAACAACCAATTCAGTATCAAGAATTACTCAGTTCTTAATGACTTCCCAGTTGTAACCAATAATGAAAATTGCCTTCAAATTAGTATCCTCACTTTACTGTCTTTGAATAGTAAGTAGCTACTTGTATATATAATGAAACACCGAAGGAACCTTCAGGGCGATGATACTTTCTAGTTATCTGTCATCTTGTTGTCGAATTTTAAATAATATATATGAATTTTAAATTTTCGTAGGAAATTTTTTTAAAGATGGTTAAATCAGTCGGGTCCGAATATCCAGTTATTCTACAACTATATTGATTGTTCAAGTCATAGAAATTAGTTATATTTACAGAAGTTCTATAGTAAATAAATCTTTATAGTATTACACCGTTTAGATCATTAATATATTTTAATCTCAATTTCATTGGGATATCGTCAGAAATATGAATATGTACCTGTTTCTCAGTTCTATCTCTGTATATGAATGGTAATTGGTCTGTACAGTCGGAGGTATTTAGGAAAGAGAACCAAAATTCTTACGTCTGTACAAAGAAGCAGTTAACAAACCTTAATGCTAGATAACTAATCTATAGTCTTATGGTTAATCAGTTCAACAACCTCATCCCTTTTAAATTCAAGATGTGAGAAATAAGCTTTTATCCAAGTATATAGTCTTTGACACGAACGTTTTCTGTTTTAAAATATTTATCGATACTTTCCTAAAAGTGTAATTTTTTTAATGATTATGTTGTTTTCATGTAGTTTTTTCATAGTTCATTTTTCGAGGAGACAGTCAAAGAATTTCACTTGCATTTCATTTTAGGATGAACTTTAGATTACTTACAACTTATATGTATGAAAGCTTAATTTAAATTTTGAACACAACCAACATTGCAACCCATCTAACTTTAATAGTACCTTATGAATAGTTAGCAATATCGAGTTACACCTTTCCGGACGCATATATGCTAATACTAATCATCTTCGGTTATCAACGTGAGCAACAGATAAACACAAGGTTTTGTAAAAAAGAAAAGCTGACTTAATAGTTCATCTGAAGATGAATTAAATGAAAATAAATAAATAAAATACTTATAACAAAGATTAGTGTTATGATCTTGTATCGACTTAACCACGTGCGATGCTTGCTCTAAGTAATCCGAATTTTCACTAGAGAGCCAGATAACAGACCAGAACAAAATCTTATTATCTGAAGGTATAAAGGGAAAAAAACGCACATTACAATATGAAATGATATTCGAGGTATTTCACTGTTAACATTCCTTGGATAATCTCACAAGCCACCTGAGATGGTCACATAATCTTCCTCTCGAAGACTGAACATGAGCTTTTGTCTTTGTCGTCATGTAGAACAGTCGTCTCTTTTTAGTGTGATCGCTTTTTTCTGAAATCTACCTGTGGTTCATTCTCCTGTTTAACTACCACATTTAGTGATTTAACCTGTGATTAATGACCGGTATATTTTCTACTCTGATGCTGATTTATGTGTTTATGAATATCGTATTTTTATTATCACTTAATACCATACTTTGTCTAGTTTATCTTTACCCATACATGTATTCCTTGAGGTCTTCCTGGGCAAAAATCACGTCCAATTACTTAGTTGAATACTATAAACTCACGGAAATTTATACGGCAATTTCCTATAGATTTAACTGTTCCATTTAGTTTATCTTCAAAATGTGACACACCAAGAAACCCTCTAGTGGGGTGGCCAATTATTATTACAGCTACGATCTGGTCTTTATGGGTTATGTAGTATTCTTTATGAAATAAAAACTATTACAAACATTTAAATGCTAACCACTCCTTTTACTTTTAAGATAAAATCTGTGGTTGATGCTTCATTTACCGTCGCGAATTTTATAAGGAAAACTTCAATCTCATTACGGAATACTCCTCCAATCTCCTGTTCCAGTGATGCTGACACAACAGGAGTGTTTTTTTCTGGTGTAATATTTTCAACAACACTGGGAAGGGATTGAGACACAATCGAATACACAATATTATAAACCATATTAAAAGACAAGTCCCTAAGTCTAACTTTCACTATATGTTTAATACCCCGCAGGTTGATATGACAGTTCTTATATATAGTATTTTCTCGACACATATTTATCATTTAAGCTATAATTTAAAGACACTTTCCGTATGAGAAAGATTTCTGTATCAGACTCGCTTATATTACCAGAGGTAGGGGGTAAACTTGGTCTACCCATTTTGACCGTCTATCGGATAACTGTAATATCAAACCTTAATAAGTCCAGCCTTTACCATTGGCTGCAACCCATATGCAAATACAAGGCAAGTAAACCAATCTACTGAAATTTCCTGTTACTGGAATTTTTCTTACTGACGATTAGAGAAGCTACTATAAATCAAGTAGTCAACTTATACCATGTTAAGGGACTGTAAACATTGGTAAATGACACGTAATGTTGGTAATCATTTTCAAACAATCCGTGATAACTAATACACAGTCCCTTCAAAAGTGGTGAGAATAGCAATACTATGAGTGTAATAAAAATTTTTTGCAAAATAAATTTACTACCTCATTAATGATTGTGTAAACAACAGTTCTCTTGTCTCAGTTCAGAATATATATAGCCTAGAAGTTTTCTTATGGATTAAGGAGTGGTGACTTGAGTTTTGCTGCTGTGTGAAACCAATGTTTCAGAGTAGTTATAGACCTCTTAACAGTGTAATACTAATTTCTGTTTTGATCACGTCAGTGACATTTCTTTACTAGTCTATAATAGTTAATATACCAAGTATCATAAAATGATTAGCGTTAGACTACCATTGGAAACCTGGAAGCACTGTACGGCTGTTTTGTCCTAGTATGGGACTCCTTAGCATTGCTGGTACATGAGCCCGCGTTCTGGACTCGAACCCAGGACATGTGTACACAACAATCGATTATTTCAATGGCAAAGAAATATTTCTATAGACTAAAACTTTTGTTCGTTTTATGTGCACTTTCACTAATTATACTAGAGTATTAATCCGCATTAAAATTAGAATTAGGTTAGTAGTCTGTAATAACGGTATCTTTAAAGTAGCTTTATGATTTATGCCAAAATGCTTTTCTAATCATTTTTATGCTTCGCATAGATAACTTATTTTCATGACAAATAAGTAGTAACTTTAAAATATGCATCATTCTTTATAACGCATGATCTTCATTAAAATTTTAAGATCTGATTGTTGTTTTTTTAGGGTTAACGTTTAGTTACATTAAGCAAGTAATCAATACGTCACATTCTTAAAGTATTGATCTAACAACTATTTCAGAAGTGTCTCAGTCTAGTATACTTAGAGTAAAATTACTCACACTAAAAATATATAATCAATAGCTGAAAACTAAAAATATTTTTTTACATGCACAGTTCCTTTTTTTATTGAACGTGAGACTTAATTTACAATAAAATCGATGTCAACTAATGTGCAAATTTGTTTTGTATACTACTTCAACATTTTAAGTAGTATCTACAAAAAGAACTAAATAATCATTGTGTAAAGTTAGGGGATAAAAATACATCGATTAATATTACAACTCAGTATCAAGTGTCACTAATTAACAATACTACCACAATTTGTAAATATTTTACTGATAATTAATTTCGAAAAGAAATTCGAGATTTTTTTTAAGTTGGAGATTATCTGCTTCACAGGTTGACTGTAGTTAAGTAGCTGTTAAAAATCAAGAAGAGTTGGATGGTTATTTGATCGTAGTTTGGAGCCTTTCTGCAGTATTCACTAAAACTCCAGCCGGAAATTGAACATAGGATTTTCAGACTATGCAGTGGGCGTAAACGTGAAAAAAATGACTAGTGAGACTTAAAGAATTCAGGAATGGAATAGAAATCATTGATAGCATCGTAGGATGTCTGTTTAGGATCGCAAACTTAGGAATTTAAAAAAAATACTAAATTGAGAATAGATATTTGGTGATACATTGATTCATTGTTGAGTTGTTTTTCTATTAAAAATGTTTACAATGAACAGATGTAATCATATTCATACCGACAATAATAAACACTAAAATTATTAGTTCATCAATTACAGCAACAAAATGTCACATAAGAACTTTCGTCTAAATTTGATCGAATAGTTTCATAGTATTTGGGCGCCGAATTGATGTGAGACATTAAAGAGGAAGAAAGTATTTGAAAAACCTCAGCGAAAGAATTTGAAGTAAATCCAACATTTCTCCTGGCAATCTGGTTCAAGCTTTTTCAGGGAAATATAATCAAACATCAAAATTATTCGAATTTGGATTTACTTCAAATTCTTTCACTGAGATTTTACAAATACTTTCTTCTTCTTTAACAAAATGTCGCGCTTTTTAATTGAATGCAATTAAACAATAAAACTAAATCTTGAAAATAATATCAGAAATGCATCGACATAAGTGATAATTAATTAGTATTAAATATGGTCTTTGATTCTTTCATACGTAAGTACTAATCCTTTCAATTATATAATATTATCATAACTTTATCTTGAAAACTTAATAAAAGCCAGTACTTTATTGATGATCATCTGATTGTTCTCGACAAGAATGAGATCAGTTGTATTGTGGTGTCTGCTACTTATATTGATATAAGTAGTATATGACGCGAGTCAGGAATTTAATGTCTGGCAGCAGAAGATGGGGAAGATCAAGAAAAGAAGAGCGGGAATAGAAAGCAATTAGTATGGAAATGTAAGAACAACGAAGTTCGAGACAATTATTGAATATTTTGCAAATCAAATATTATAGTATGGTTTTTCTATTTTACCAAGTAACTCTGTAATTTTGTGATAAATATAATTCGATTGCCCCCACCCGTATTCTGTTCACTGCAATATTGTTAACAAATAAGATTTAATAAAATAAACTAATTATTAAATGTTCGTAGTACAACGTCTTCACCTATTCAATGTACTTTTTATTGTGAGATGATAAATGGGGTATACCATGGAATATGAAAAGCTTGTTTAAAGCTTTACGATGATTACAATTTTTCACTTTATCATTTCATGTATCACAAGAATATTGAAATTATATATAAAAGTAAACTTTCAAATATCTTTCCAGAAATACATAACAAGATGAATGGAAATAGAAACAATTCCAGACATGTAAAAACGTATAAAGTACAACATTTGAGAACATTTGAAGTTACTCCTAAAAATGTATTACCAAATACACAAACTGCCGTTGAACTACTGATGCAAGGGTGTTACACATATGTACGCAGTTTTAACATGTCAATCGATGATAATAATGGTGAACCATATCTCATTCTAAGTGATCCACGTAATGGAGATGTAAGTCTACTATTATATGCTTTACTATTAAAATACCTATTGAAATCAGTCATATATTGTAATTTTATTGGATTTTCAAAGACGCTTTACAAAAAAAAACATTTTATTTCCCACTAATGCAATTACACTGGTACAATTACATTTGTTCGGAAGTAAATATACCCCATTTAGTTGAAACCAACATTTTAAAATATCGTTATCATATCTAAATAAATAGACGTGGAAATTTTTAAACTGCCATATGTCTATGATTCATGATTTACGTAGATACTTACAATTTACATCATTTATTAAGAAATTTAAAACTATAAAATTTCCGTATGTTACCACATAACTTATGTTACTATTAGTGTTTAACGGAAAAGTACTGAGATGTAAATGAGAGCGGGTTGTATTGTCATAATGGCTTCCACTTTTACAGCAATAATCATTTTACACAGAGATTACCTAATCTTTCGATTTCGAAAACAAACGATTTCATCATACAGGTGTGATGTTTTCTTACTATCCCTAAATATGATACAATCAATAGAGAACAAACATTGGAAGTAAATAAGCTTGATTAATTTATTCTAAGAGTTGCTGGAATAAGTAAGTTTCTTTATGAAACACACATAGTAATATTTGGTAAAATCATCTTGTTACTTTGATCAGCGGCGTTAACAGTGAATTCTAGTTTCATTATCTGAATTGGAGTACATCGATAGTAACAAAGATAGCTTTGCAGGATACTGCCTAAAAATATAATAACTGTGATACTTAAATCTGCTTCATTATTATTATGCAACATTAGTCTCATGGATTTAAAAGAAAACTACAATGTCACTATTAGAAATTTAACGATTAGAAGATACTTTATTCAATTCGTTTTGTACATTTTGTGTTGTTACTAAACTGAAATCTCAACATTTTCATTGCAAATTACATGAACAGTTTACCATTAATTTAAAATTTGTCTCATATCTTTTAGCTTTACAAGCAGATTTATTCTTGATAAATTACTGAAACTTCTGTCATAAATGTATAAATTTTAGAGATAAAACCAAACCAAAATTATTTGAATGAACTAAGGTACTATTTTCTACATATTTACTGACAATCCCATATTCTTTTTCCAAGAGTATGGTAAAGGGACCAGCTCAAGATGACAGCGATAAATATTTGCCTATGGGCAGTTGATCAAAAAATAATGATTGTAAATGGATGATTTCTGAAGAAAAACCATTATATTTAAATGATACACAAATTTCACATAATAAATGGTTCTAGTCAAGTCTTTAATGGGTTGTTCTACTCGTAAAACTTCCATAATAATATAGAGCATATGTGTTCTCAAACCATTATAAGGACTGAGAAAAATTTTTAGGAGTCCTTAAGTTGTTTCTGGTCAGATTTTAGGGTTAATAAATTTAAAAGTCAATGTTTTAAGGTTTAAGGTTGGAGTTAGAATTAAGAGTTTGGGATTTTGGTTCAGAGTTAAGACTGATTTCCTGTCATACACAATCTACATAGAAATCTTTGACCACCATATTTTCTACTCTCTAATGACAAAAAGAAATTTTTTCATTGTAATCCTAACGGTTTCAAGCCTTATACAAAGGTATTTCTGTTTCATACTTTATGTTATGTAAGATCAATGTCATGAAATTTCAAACAAAATCTCATAAAGCATTTTCGTGATTCCGATTGGCTCGTACCTATACTTCACTTTCAACATGTACACTATGATTATAAGCAATCAGATACGGATTATAAACAGAGATGAATGGGCGACAAGCATTAGAATCTAAGACGGGCATTTCATCCTGTTTTGGACTCGTCAGCTGGATATAATTGCATCCCTGAGTTCATGTTCACCGAGGGACTCGAACCCACTGATGACCGCTTCAAAAGCAATCTTGAGTTCAAATGCCCATATCTGCTCATATTCAATATGACATATTCAGAATATCGATACAATCTACAAATGATACACATATGCCTAAAATAGACTGATTAATTGCAGTCTTAAACATCAACTGGAAGATTCAAACAACCAATACAAATCAATCAAAAACTGATTGTTTGTATTTTATTATTTTCTTAGGTAATTCATACAGTTCTCAAGAACATAAAAATATTTTTTCTAACCGAATACTACCTATTGTAATTCATCAACAATATAGTGAAATACTTATCGTTCAATCACTAAAGATAATCAGTACACACTTTGAAAAACCTTACCTATTCCAATTAGCACGTTATTATTATAGCGTATTTATGGTATTATGCTAGTACTTTTTTAACGAAATGCTGATTAGAAATACAAACAAGCTTTTTGAAGTGAAATATGTTATTAATATCGAAAGAATCCTATTCATGTTGCCAGTAAACACTAAATTAACATTGAGAAAGAAAACGGCATTATTTATAATCTCATTATAAAACTATTTATATTACATAATACTTTTATACTTGAAGAGGAAATATTTTAAAAAATGTTACAAACACTTGATTTTCTGTAAAAGAAAATATGTAATCCATATTTTTCTTTACTTTCTGTAATAACGTCAAGAGTATGATACCTTAGTATTAGTTTGATGAAAATGGATTGACTGAGGTCGATCGATCAATTGGTTTCATCCACAATTGACTAAACAGGTAGTTTACCTATTGAATTTCTTCATTTATCAAAAAATACGAAAATAGTCAATTGAATAACATTACTGTTTACAAATATTACACAAAAATCACTTTAATTAAATAAGTATCAGATAATTTATATTTAATTAATAAACATTACCTTTCTTATTGAATCAATTATTCAATCGTAAGTAAAATTAGGAAGTCAATAGATTAATTTCAAAGATTTGCCATCTACTTTTTAGTGTAATGGGACATGTTGAGATTAGATTATAAGACTAATAGATATTCAATAATGATCGTGTATCTATATGAATAAAAAACTGAAAGTTTTGTGCCTGAATAGCATTACAAACATTTCCTGCTAATCGACCATAAACCTTTAAAAATTTCATTTGAGTAGAGGGGGTGAATTTTTAATGTTTTTCACACTTATTCAATAAACTGACATATGTTATTATGAATAATTCCTCCTTGACATATCACTAACACTGTGTTTAACAAATCTAACCAAAGACAATTTGTAAGGAAAATTATACTTCCTGTAAGTAAAGCGTATACTAATATACAGATGTTGATTACATTGAAGAGAATATACTTGTGGCCTTATTTTATAAAAAACCTTAAACACTCAATTTGTTCATTTATTTACAAAGGCTGAAGTTGAACGTTTTCGTATTGGTCGTATACTTTATCCTCGGTATCGAATAACTCCTCCAGATGTGTGTCCAGTAAACAATCTACTCACATTCACTATCAAAGCTGGTTCAATGGATGATGGACGTCCAAGACGCAATGAAATACATTTATTTCAAGTAACTTAACAAATTATGTCTTTATTTAGTTGTTTAAAAATATGAATGAGAATTTAAATTGACGAGATGTTTCTGTTTTTAAATTATTTAATATTTAGATGGTTTCTCTGACTTAACACCTTACAACGAATAATATCACGAAACTGGAACCCTTACAATATATATATATATATATATATATATAATGTGAGGATGACTCACTAAATAGTTGAACACATTTGCAAAAACAGGTTTATAAGAAGGGAGTTTTCCCCCATCGATTTTATTTCCAAAAAGGACACAGATGTATATTTTTTATAGAATAGTTAGTATGGTAACATATATGTTTGTTAACATGAAGGTTTGAAAGTAAAATCAATAAAGCCGCCTGAAACTATCAGAATTATAGAAAATTAGAGGTCAAATACACAACTAAATTTGATACAAAAAATAATTGTGTTATTCCTTCACTGAGTAGGTTGGCAAAAGTCACGATAAATAAAAGAAGAATTTTATCAAAGACGATAGTCTAATCATAATAATTTAAAAATTGGTTCTACAAGATGGAATTCCACATAACTTAAAAGTAAGAAGAAATAGAGACAAAAATATTAAAGGTTTATAAGTAAACTACAACCATGGAGCTAACATCAGTCACAATAGCTGTTTACAAGCATAAACATTTGACCTTAGATTTTGTTCAACTAGATCTTTCACAAGATGTAAGTATAAAGATTTATGTAGATTGAGGCTTATTTCATAAATGACATTAAACTATAGGTCTGATGTTATTTGGTTATGACTAATTACAAATAATAAAAGAGATGATTTTAAATTTTTATTTTGTAGTTTGTAGAGTCATACTTGGAGTTGTTATCTAATGCATTGAGAAATATTTTTGATAGTTAATCTGTACAATTTCTTTACATCAGTTCATCAGAACTAACTACGTTACTTGATACAGAGGAGATTGATGCTTCATAAATAATATGTCATTAGTGAAGAACGTAAGAAGTGTAAAATTATGATTGACAGGCTGATGTTAACCTCATGATGCCTAAGCTTAATTAAGAGATCTTCCATTGTAATGAGAAGTTGATCTGAAGCACACTTTTTATTCTAACAACTGGTTTTATCACTTACCTTTTTAATAAGAGTTCTCTAATTTATCATTTTCTTTTTTGAAACTTACTTTACAGTATGCATCACAGACTGAGCTTAGACTACTCCTGAAAACATACATCTTCTTTAAAAATATATTATTTAGTGTGACATTAGTCGTGGATTTTTGGAAGGAAAGACATTATTAAGGTTTCGAACACAAAGAGAAAACTAGTATATCTAATTGGTTATGTACTGTATTAACATAGTGCTATTTGTGCTTGTTTGTAATCGTTAAGCTACTGGTAGATTTTCTAAATAAAAAGAAAATTCACTGCTCAGTAAAAATAAATAACTTATCAGATAATCTGACCTCTCTATAAATTTGGACAAGGACAAAAATGTTCTCAGTACCGAATTATATACATTTTTAAAAATACTGTTCTTTGTCGCCTCACTGATGTCTCACCATGTGTTATATCAGTTGTAATTTGATAAGGTTTCAATTTGTCTAGCCTAGTGGAATTTTGTTTTACTTTCATGAAGGTGATTTACGATGAAAGATAATGAATAATTTTCCTTTGGGACAAAAGAACATTGCTCGGGAATGCTTGTTAAAGCTGTCGGTTGATTTCTATCTTCCATTCTCACTATATTGTTCTCATACATTTTATAAATCTCATACTATCTTCTACCAAACTGGGAGTAGAAATGACAATTTTTAACATTCTTAATGATCAAACTTTATTATTTCAAATAAATAAATATGAATAGTAACAGATTTATTGCTACATTGTTTCCAAATTATAGATCTACATTTGTATAGTTCTACTTTCTGCATATTATCATGTAGGTTTTAACTTGTCCTGCTCAAACAATTGTCAATGTTTTACTGAGAGCTGGAGCTCTAGACAATGATTCATATGATCAAGAGTAAGTGTACCTTTATAATTTGATTATTATAATGTTAAAAAAAGGAGAGATTTTAATCAAACTTTTTCTGGCGCTATAATGAAAAGGGTGAATGTTATTTATTCTCCAATATGAGCATTTTTTTAATATTATAGACTTTATTAATAAACATTTTTTTGTGTACAGAATAAACATTACAAGGTAATTATAATTAGTGAGTGAAATGGAATGGAAAAGGTCACATATATTTACTGATTATTTGAATCTATAAATCAGTTAAGCAACTTTCATATGCACTGATAAATAGAATTTTGGCATGAAATATAGTCATATGTTATCTTCATATTTTATTGTAATTTAATAAATACATCATATCCGAGAGAGGTTTTGTGGAGATTGTAGTAATTTAATAATTGGATTCATGAGTCAATTGAAGCTAGACCACCATCAAAAACCTGGGAGCACTGAATGGCCGTTTCATCCTAGCATGGGACTTCTCAGTATCGCGCGCGAACGCTTAACCTCTAGACCACTGAGTCAGTATTCAACGGTGTTAATGTTTAACTTCAAATAATCCATGAAATTGCGCCACCGTCCACCATCATATCAGACTTCAGTTGTCAATATAATCAAAACAATGAGATGATGGAGAAGATATGTAGCTCAGGTGGATGCTTTTGATGGAGTTTTGTTCTCTCAGCTGGATGGTTTGGTCGTGGAGCTTGTTTATTGCAATAGACAAGCACATTGAAATCGATCTAATGTATCAACCAATCAGGAAAATTATGCACAAACATGGGAACAAAAATCAAACCAATGGGAGATGCAACCAAAATAAAAAAGTAAACAATGACAAGTTTAAGATCAACAAGAACTAATCAACATCAAGGTTTACATGAGAAGCTGTGAACCATATGTGGAGAAATTTGAACACTTCACTTCTATCTGAAGTTTGTGCTGATGATGTCGTTCAAAAGAACGATGAAAGCTCTACGACCAAACTATCCAGCTCAGAGAACAAAACTCCATCAAAGTGACTATTTAATATGTTTGTTAACTGCTATTCGAACACAATCTTTTAAATAGTTTTACAAAAATTCCACGAATCCATTTTTATCCCCTGGTTCTTATTTGCTGCATTTGAAACGATATGGCACATAAATTAATGACTTTATATGAAAAGTTTAACTTATTTGTCAGTGAAACCTTATGATGGTGAAGTATATTTATGCTTATATCATAAAAATTTATTTTTAATAACTTAAAAAAGTGAAAAAAGTATTTGCATAATAATTTTTAAAAATGTATTAAAAATTATCAGATGTGAGGTTTTGTGCGTGTATTTATGTAATCAAACTTAATTAATTAGAGACGAAAGGGCATCCATTTGGCAACAATGTAATAAAAAGCAATGGTGCCACAAAACAAGGTCACTGAAATCAGTTAAACAAAGAGTGAATATTATAATGACTTTCATGCTGAATAGGTACGGGTTATAGACTAGTGGAAAATTTCAGATGATGAAATTATAAATGTGTGGTTGATAAAATAGACAGATCAGTTGTTATATATGTTAACACGCAGATTGCTTAAACGTGTTACAACTTATAGACGTTTTTTTTACTTTCAATATCTTTGATATTTTCATACCTTCATCTCGATTACTCTATTTTTATGCAAAATAACTTCTGTAAAATAAATATGTTTCAAGTGTCAATGAAACTTTTTTTTAAATATTTTCTTTTCTATTTCTTCTAACAGCATAAATGACTCCATGCTAATCTCCAGGGCTCCATCTGAACCAAATCTAAGGATACCATTACAAACAAGTTCAAGTGGAATTCAACTTCCACCAATGATTACCAAAGAGGATAGTGTATATAGTGAATCACAACTCAGTAAGGAAACTAGTTAAAAAATTACAATTAACAATTATTCCCATATTTTATTAATTATATTTTGCTGATATCTTACTAAGTTCATCAATTTAATGAAGTATATTAAGCAGTAGTTTGGTATGAAATTGAAGAACCAATTTTAGCTACAAATATTCTCCATCATCTCAAAATATTTTTGTGCTTTTCATTATCGGATTGGCTGTTATCTTTATTAACTTGACAAAAAAGCAAACCATATTCACTTTTCATCAATACTGAAGTGTCGAGCTGTTCATATACTAACTCTTTGACCTTGTTTAATTGGTACAATTCATTTTGCTGTGACTTTAAAATGTATATTAGAAGCATCATAAAAGAGCTGAAAATAACCTTCAAGGATATTTATTTTCAATATATAATGGGACTTGTGGAGATTGTAGAATCATCATAGTTTAGATCACAAACTAGACATCCACTGCTTCCTGGTGCCAGTGGTGATCTAGCTTAAATCTGTTCGTGGTTTAAATTATAAAAAATCATATCTATTTGTTCAATGACATTAAAACAAAGAGAAAAATGAATTTAATTTCAAAGAAAATAGAACATTTAATGTCCCCTAACAACTAGGTTTTCTGCTATAAATAGGGTTATTTAAAAAGAATGTTCTACAGTAGACTTATTCTCTGAATCCTACTTATTTTATTCACAAGCACTAACTCCATATCAATGTTTCAATCTTGATCTTGTTAAATAAGAACAAAATACATGTTTAAACAAGTGACTTTATATCATATAGAAGGTCACTGATAAGTTGTGAATATAATAATTCACTAAAACGATTTTGTCAGAAATATAGGTAAGGTAAATCGCTCTTTTTGTTATAGTTAATTAAATATTCTAGTGAGAAGTAGTGACCAGTGGAGTTCAACAAGGTCTCTTGTGAGATAGTAACTCACTGAAGACAATGGTGGATGTGTCACTCAATTTCGTGGATTAGTTGAAATTAGACATTAACACCGTTGGATGACAGCTCAGTGGTTAAGTGCTCTCGCGCGAAACCAGTAGGTCCTGGGTTCGAATCTCGCTGGGTGCGAAGTCGTGAATGCGCACTGCCGAGGCGTCCCACAATAGGATGAAACGGCCATCCAGTACTTCCAGGTTTTCCATGTTGGTCTAGCTTCAACTGACTCATGATCTTAACCATTGATATATTCATCTCTTATTCATACAAGTTCAATTTATATAGGAATGAAATAGTCAAGAATGATAATGACATACTCGCTCAAAAAGATCATGTATAATTTGTTGTTAATATAATAGATGAAATGAAAAAACCTATCAGAATAACAATGTAGTAATCCTAATAATATTGACAATCATACTAATCACAATAATGATTTAAATGTCTCTGAAACATCTGAAAAATCATTAAAACTAGTAAATGATCTAAATATTTACTAAAACGATATCAAAATAATATGTTGTTCAAAATAATAATAACTGTAAAATAAAAACCTGTAAAACTAAATTATCACGAATTAATGTTTTTGGTATTGTTGAGTTCTTTGAACTAAATGTAGAAGTAAGTACTGGTGATATTTTCCATAGCGACAGTGGAACTTCTGTAATTATGCCATCTAGCACAGAGAACTCAACGGCGCTAAAAGTATCTATTTGAACTGCGAATCTTCTCCATCGTCGCATAATGTGATATGTGTATCTAAGAAATGAAGAGACTGAAATGGACTCATCATTAATATAATTGGATATCTTATAACATTAATAAAAATATATATTAAATAGAAAAAAAACTTGCCCTGTGAAAATAATCGTACTATTATATAACAGGAGAATCAAATGCGATTGTCTACAGTTTCAAATTACAAATTAATCTGTACAATGTGGAATTATAGTGACTATACACACATAGGTTCATTCTTTATTTACAAAGACATAATAAATGCTTTATTATATACTGATTTTAAGTTATTCTGTTGCTTACTTAGTGTAAGTAAAACATCTAAATGTGCTTAATAGCATCTTCAACTCATTCCTATCAGGAGGTTAACTGCCACCAATTCTCGATTAGTTTTCATTACCAAATGAACATTCATAAGTTGGGAACCTTGATAATGGATTAATCAGCACTGATAGAGTGCTTATTAAGATTAAAATTTAAGCTAAAAAAGGAAAGCTAAAAACGTTGATTCTTGAATTACCCTCCCAAAATCAAAATCCCTTAACATTCAACGAGGACTATATTGAAGTCAATTTAATCTAGCTATTAGTTTTACTGAAACTTCATAGCCAGAATTCGATGAGTTGTAAAGATTAGATAGCATGATACTAATTACTACACAATATATTCAGTCATACATATGACGTTAGCCTCAGTTTGGATTATGATAAAACATCTTGTGAGTTTACACTTTATGGAGAAGATTAGGTATTTCAAGATCATAGATACATTTTTATGGTAAATACTAGCCTGGATGAAGATTCATCCAAGTTTTTCTATCACTCAACTTGAACCATCATACAGGTTTTATTTCATATATGAAATATTCGTAATGTTTACCAGTATGCCGTGATAATAATGTAAGGTCATCTTTTGATACGAACATCCTTAGTTACTCTAACTTCATAATCAAAGACAGTTTACCATATGAAAGATTATTTGGATTTACATAAAATATATGTTAAGTTTGATGTTCTGTTGTTTGAATACCACATATCTGCGGTATAACCAAGCAATGTGAAGTTTTGAAGGAACTATTTTTTTCAGAACTAGTTTAGGACAGCTTCATTTTAAAAGTAATTTAATGTTTTAAGAGACTAGTTTTATCAAATGACCAAAACAGAATAATGATAATGTCGTTTGTTAAAATGTTTAGATTTGACTCATTTATTGTCTCATTTGAGACTGACACCTTAGATTTATACTGTTAAAAAAAGTAATCTGAATCAAACTTATGTAATTTTTCTATTGGTTTATACTTTTTCTTAAACAGATCGTGAGTGGATTGACTTAGAGGTTGCACTGCTTAATCACTGTTTTGATGACATTGAATCAAATTACAAAATTTTGAAAAGCAGAACAACTCGACAGTTCTCTAAATCAGCACCATCTGTTGCTACATCGAGTAAATCAAAAAGTCGAGTTTCAAGTATTAGTGTAAATCAAAATTCTAGTAAGTATATTCAGTTTATAAACTTTTTGTAAAAAACGATTTTAATTAAATTAACTTGATCACATACAGTTATAACAGTAAATATTCACAAGAGCAGGAGATCGATTACTTTGTGTTATATATCACTGATTACCAAGTATGTATGCAGTTCATAGTTAGTCACATATATACTTGGTAATCAGTGATATCTATCACAAAGTAATCGATTTGCTGCTCTTGTGAATATTTACTGTTATAACTATATATGATCAAGTTAATTTAATTAAAGTCGTTAATACTATCAAAATAAATGTTAGTTTACTTGGTATTGTTTGCTTGAATCTTCCAATTCAGATTTAAGACTGCAATTGATCAGTCTCTTATTGGCACATGTGCATCCTGTGCGTATTGCCTTGATATTGACTTAAGTCACAAGCATTCTGGGCACAGACAGATAGTGGCTGGCAGTGAAATCCAGGACGCGCGTTTCGTCCTATTTGGGACTCGTCAGCTGGATGTACCTGAATCCCAGAGTTGATGTTCACTCTGGGACTCAAACCCAGATGAGCCTCAAGTAGGACGAAACGCGAGTCCTGAATTCCACAGCTAGCCACCATCCATCTTTGCTTATAAATGTTAGTTTAATCAAATATTTGAAAATCATATTCGGTAAAAGTATACTTTGTTGGTAAACTAGTTAGATAGCAGATAGTGATTTCAAGATCACAGCATATATTTCATACAAGAATGCTAATGTAGGATTGTATTTTATAATTATGTTATAGTACACAATTTATAAGAAGTCATATTGCTTTAAAAAAGTGCTTTTATGTATGGTGATAGACATCAAATAACTGACAGAGAATGGAAGGAACTAAGAGATAAAAGTTATGCATAGTAATATTCTTTGAATAGAAGAAATCTATATGGATTGGTGCATTGTTCACGCGTTCAAAACCCCCGTATAAGTCAATCGTAACGTTCGTTGTTCAACAGATTTTGGAAAAATCGGTTACACTAGGAGCTGTTCTGAATGATGAGGCTCAATTTCCAGCAACTGACTGGTACCTTTATTGTAAGGACATTCACTCTTAGCGCTATTAAATTCAACCCTGTTCCTTTGAGGTTTTTGAAGAATAGACGAAATAGTTTTTAGAAAAAGAAATTAAAGTAGACGTTAGAATGTCGAAGTTGAATATATAAATAAATAGAAGCCTTTCAATCTTATTAATAGTTTTTTGGTATATGACATAGAACGTTATAAAAAGATCACTTACGATACATTTGTAATCGGATGAATCCACATTACTACTCATTATCACAAGTTATTCTCAATTCTGGACAACATTATGCGTAGACGATTGGGGATTTCAGAGGTATTATCACAGATTCTATTATAATCATCAGGTAGTAGTAAATAAGCATCGTTTTTGGACCTAAAAGAACGTGTTTATACCATTATTAAGATTAAAGCTATGTGGTTCAGTTTGAGGAACACCCTTAAAATATATAAAGCTCCAAAGTTTGAATGATATGGAGTCATATAAATGAGTTTTTATATACCACACGCTATTATCTTAAAATCGAACATCCAGCTGAGAACTTTAATAAATTTATCAATCCTGTAAGACCTATTAACATATTCTAATTCTTTTAAAGCATTTTTCATAAATTATTCATTTACATCGACTGTACTGTGATTAAGTTAAACTGAGATTTTCTTGCTCAGGGTTATTTTAAGGTTCCCTGAAAGTCATCGACAAAGTATTCTGTCATCAAAGGTTGTATTTCTTAATAAATCGCTAATGACTATCGAATGTAATTATCAACGTTTTTATTGAAGAAAATGTTTTTCTTTGAGTTCTTTGAAAAATTTAGCATATATTTAAACATCCAATGTGTCCTTGGCAAATTTTCTTAATTATTCCTTTAGAAAAGTATGTATTCCATAGGGCGAATTTGAAATTGCGTATTTAGAATACAAAGCCGATTAATTCAAGCGAATAGCTCATTCCTTTTATTGAGTCTGAAAATGTATTTAATCTGAACAATAAGTTATTTTCCTTAAAGAACTATTTTTGTAATAGTACTGTAATTAAATTATTATAATACGTCTTCTCAATAAAGAAGTAGAATTATGTATTTCGAAACTGGTAGCCTGTTATAAGACTTGGTATTTTACTAGTTAGTTTCATAATTATAGACACTTGTAAAACAGCCATTGTAGCATGAAACTCCTTAGTAAGGGATGCCCAAGACCTTACCGTGGACTGAACATAGGACCTTCAGATTTTACAGCTAGCGGCCCCTAGTAGGGTTGTAGGTGCACGTTGTTCATGAATATAATACTAGGTTGAAATAGCTGTCCGGTGTTTCCTGGATTTCACTGGTTGTCTATCTGACGTGTGTTTGTGATGTAAACTATTGAATTTAAGAATCTTCACAACTGTCTTACTTTAATCATTATAGATCGGGATTCTTTATTATATTAATATAATTACTTATAGTTCATACTCCAATCTATAAAATTTTAATCATTGTAAATAAAATAAATCATTACACTTCTTGAAGTATGATCATTTTAATTGTACGTCAAATAAGATTTCTATCGTTCAACTATGAATGTTTTTTCTAAGGGATTTATTAAATTCGTTACAAACTGTCCGGAAAAGTTGATAAAAGTTGCTCACAGGACAAGTAAGCAAAGAAAATACAACGAGAGTAAATGTACAGCTTAATTTCCTCACAGTCAACGAAGGATCAGACGACTAAATTCAAATAATTAGGTCCACTACAGAAAGTGGTTGTAACTACCGCTGACAAAGAAAGACTCAAATAAAATTAGACGTGCGGAGCATAGATTCATTGTCATTTACTCTTGATGATGACGATGATGAAATGTGTAAATACAGATAGAAAAGGGTACGTGACAATGAAATAACAGCTAAACATATTAAAAGTGATTAGATCTATTATGTAAACTAGTTGTTGAGTGACTAAATCATATTCTTTCTATACACTAAAAAAGAACAACCTTATTATATTCACTCAGCCAAAGTGAACGATGTCCGGAATTTTTCAAGTTTGAGTAAATATATTTCTAAAACTATATTCAATTGTTATAAATCATAGTTTCTCTAATAATTAAAATTTTTTACTCTGTACATTATTCAGCTTTGGTCAGTGAGTTAGATGAACCTGTGAAAAAATGTGCTGTTGATTTCTTTGAAAAACTCAAATTCGCATGCATTCTATTGGCAAGACTTCAAGACTATCTTGTAGATCCGAATTCTGCTCACTTGGCCAGACAACTATTTGAATTTTTAAAGTAAGTAAATAAGTACATCATTCATTAGCAATTAATAATTACTTTTTAGAAACTTAAGTGGATAAAAACACGATCGATTACGACCAATATGATTTACCTTATCTGAAGTTTATTGATGCTCTATATAGGATTGTTTGAACAATCGAAACAGCTCAACTACCTGTTACTAATGCTGCATTATTGATAAACCCGCCTTCATTTTATAGTTTTATTTATGGAAATTCAAAAGACGCGAGCATAAACCTTATCATCAGAATAACTAGAATAGGAGCGTTTTTAATGTTACTTTATCGATATAATTTAGTCTAAAATAATCATTCGAAAATTATAGAACCACTAGTCAGTAACCACACTATGAAAGAAATCACATCAAGCATCAAATGAATATGACTGGAACGAGCCATTTTATCACTTGGGTATGATTATGTGGCTGGTTACGCTAATTTGCGTTTGTATTAGTGTTTAACCTATCCATGAGTGTCTTACTAGGGTGCTGTTTATTACTTATTAAACTTATAACTACGATGCATACTAATAAACATGTAGCTAATTCAATAAAACTATTAAATCATCATCTTTTCTATAGTTTAAACTGAATTGATATCACTTTTGTTAGATTCATTGATTAACTGCTAAATAAAATGAAATTGTTTACAAACTGGGATCAACCTAACTGTAATTACATTTTTATTTTATTATTTTAAGCTCAAATTAGACACTATTCAACAGAAATTTATATTAAATTGTAGGGTACAGTCTCGTGTAAATTGAATTAAATTTTTTTAATATACATTCCAAATTGCCGTGAACCAACAAATGTACACATTTCAATTTATAAGTTCTTTTCAAAGGCTTGAAAAATGCATATTGGTAATGATGTGCATTCATTGTATTTGTTTATTCATCTTTTATTCTAGATATGGAGTTGATGCTACACGAAACCCTAAAACAAATAGATCAAGCATTGCTCAATCAACTATTTATCCACTATTACCAGATTATGTTGTGCTTTTTATTCAATCGAACTTGACAAATGAATATGAGAGACTATGGCGCAATCTTGGAGATGCATGGAATGTACCAAGGTAGTTGAATAACTAAGCATGTGATCCAGATATTAAGACCTCGGCTTCCTTAATTAGGAACTTATGATTCTTTTTTAGAAATTATTATTATATCCTTGGGATGACAAGTAACGCCTGGGATTATGGGTATATATGAAAAATATGTGCGGAGACATTTGGTTGAGAATGAAGAAATAGTTTTGAAAGTTCTGTCCGTTATCCCATTATAAATAGATTAACAATTTTACTATCAATCCATTATAACAAATAAATATATAATCAGTGGGGTTGATATCTGTTCTGAAAAGCAAATGACAACAAGGTAAAAAAAATAAACTCAACTGTATTGGTAGTTGATCTTCATAAAATCAGCTTCCATCAGTTGATCTGTGGGTGACTTTCATATGAAACAAATCCACTCACAAGATACTCTAAGCCATGTGTTATATACTGATTAATGCTGTAGGTCATTCACAATAGATTGTGATGTCAGAAAAGTTTCGACTTTAATACGTAAACAACATGACAATGGATAATTATTAAATCATTTTAGAATATATCAATATTTGACTTGAAATTTTATCAAATACCCGATAGATAATGTTTACAACTTATTAGTAATAAAGTAATCAGACAGTTCAGATTTTACTTCCAAGGTGTCAAACTAAGCTAAAAATGATCAATGTTATTATACGACAATTAAGTTATTAAATGCAGAACTATTGAATAATTTTACAAAAATTTCATATTAAATATTTAGAAAAATAATTGTAGATAATATAGACAACCAGTTGGGTATTTAACAATAAATAAGGGTGTGTTTTTTCAAAGAACTACGAGATCATAATATGTAGTAAGTGGGAATCTCATTAAATTTTAAATGGTTTTGTTTGTGTTATGACGGGTGGTGTCTGAAACCAGATACTGATACACGACATGCTGTGTTTCACTGTGGGTTTCGTAATCGACTGGTGGGTATAGGTAAGAGTGGGTGATTAGCCCAGTCTCCACCACCTGAGTTACCGCTCACGATAGTTCATGAGTCATTCGTCTCATTATTCAGGAGGTACGACGCGGACGAGTGAGTCGGACCTAAGATCTATGAACTAACCTTCCCCCCCCCAGCTGCTTACTTGAGCGAGAACACAAGAGTGAGTCAGAAAGTGTATTGTATTACTGACTAAGATACACAAATACTCATTCATATATATACCATTCTATCCCTAGGAAATCGACCCATTTCTTAGCCAATGAAATGTATTTGTCTTTCAGGTCACTTGTGATTTCTATCGATTGACCTTTTCCTTAAGCTATTTCTGATTGGCTTGCCATATCATTTTGCAACCTTTTTTTTGTTTTACTGTTATTCCAGTAAGTTACACACGAAAGATTCCGAGTATTCACATTTTTTTACTTATCAATCGGATATTGTTATTTTTTCTATTTTATTTTTAAAGTATATTACACTTGAACAAATTTTACTGTGACTAAAATCAGAAATGTATTTAGTGTAAATTTGACTGAATATAAGTATACTGAATCTAGTAATTTGTATTATGAATTAGTTATCTCCTATCACAACAACTGAACAGTGAAAATAGATTTCCACTGTAAAATTTCCTTTCGTTTTTCATTGAGATACCTTTCAACAGAATATTGTTTCTATTATTTGAAAACTCATACATTCAGCAATCATACTCAACTAATCATACCCCTGGATATTATTGAATAATAAGTTAAAAGTAAATACACAAAGGCTGAATATTATAATAAAGGAAATTTTGTATGAATTGCGTTGATTATGTAATACATAACTAGACTTGTTATGGATGAATAATGATTGATTATAAAGCCCAAGTTATCAACGCCGAACCCCAGTAAACGGTAATCAGAAGATGGAATTATTAGCTAGTAAAAATGAGTGGCTTCAAATAACATGATTAAACACTTAAATAAATCATATTTCCAACAATAAGGACTAGACAAGCATGACATTGATCACCACCCAGTGATCAATCAGTTGTGATTACATCTCAGTCCTACAGGAGGTTAGTCACGGCTCGGGTAGCTCAGTGGTAACGTCTCTGACTGTGAAGCTGGGTGATACGAGATTGAATCCGCCAGGGAGCACCAGTTCCCTCAAGATTACAGGTACACCTTGCTGACGAGTGCCAAGTAGCACGAAATCCGGGTCCAGGGTTTCCTGTTGACTACCTCCAACCACCATGTAAATCTCAGTACATAGTGCCCGCAGTGTCGAGTCACCTAGACTGGTGGCCACATTGCAACATGATCGATAGTATTCGATCTGCACTAATAAGGACTAGACAAGCATGACATTGATCATCACCCAGTGATCAATCAGTTGTGATATTTCCAACAAAAATAACATTTATTCCAAACATAAATAATTGGCACGTTCAAATTTCTTAGGTCACTTATTAACTCATAAAATTAACATTTAAGGGTCAGTTATTACTCATCATATAAGTGATAACGTTTTCACAGTAGGCTACTGTTAAATATTGTATATGTTGTTTTTAAATACGCGAAACCTCAGCTACTGATAACCCTGAGTTTCTGATAGTACTGCTCTAGCTAATTGAAGGACAACCTAATTTTTTTTAGATAAAAATTTTAATAGATCCCAGTGATCAACATCCAACACTAATTAAAAGATAATATGTAATTAAGTTTACAGATCACAAAAATACAACTCTATAAGTGTAAGGAAAATAAAATGCAACCAATTATTACTTTCATAATTCGTTCCAAATTCTTTTTAAAACTCAAAAGTAATAAAAAAAATTTAATATTCCTTTATTCTTGTTGTTATTATAGTTACTCTCAGCTTATATTCCTGTTTGCTGAAATTTTATCTTCTCAACCTTCTGCTGCTAGGCATTCCACTTCGAATCAGTGTTACATACTACTTATGTCTGTCAACATAAGTAGCATACACCACATTATCACTATATTCTTTTGAATTTCATCATTCATGTTATATTTAAAATGATATCGTCTATGATCACACATTTTGCATTTTTTGCTTTACACTATTAACATTCCTGCTACGAGTGTTCAGTCAAAATTTATGGAGCAAATGTAGTTAAATAATGAATCTTCCTTTATAAAATTTTATTTTCACTGCCTCAAAATGATTGTTTCTGCAAATTGGCGTGCAATCTAAAAGTGTTCTGTTTGTAAAACATTTCCTATACTATCTGTATTTGTAAAAAGAGAACAAAAGTGGCTACTTTTCAAATTAACATATAAACGTTTAGCATCGTAATCATGTAGAATTTTTCTTAAAACTACATGCAGTTATTCAACCAGTGATTTTATCGTTAATGTTTCATATGAGTATTAGATAAGATGATAATAGATAGATAAGAACAATCATTTCATTTTTCACTTTAAACTGTTCCCATTGATTACATTTGAATATTTAGATGTTGTTTAATATAAATGGTGATATTGAACAATGTTCAGAAAAAAATTAACCTCTGCAAATTTAAGCTTTAATCTAAACACTATATATATATATAACGTTTTTCCAGGAAGGACTCTCCTTACGAAGATCACGTTTATATACCCAACTTTGAGAACAGATTCACGGTGGTTCCACATGAATACGAACCATCATTGTTTAAATACAACTCTCCAAATGTGATTGATAGACAAGAGGTAAGAGTTTGCTTGGCGGTTGAATTTTCATCTGTTTATTTAATTATTCCGTTTACTGGTATATTTTGAAGATAAGAATAGAACTATTGATAACATGTAGTGGTCAACTGAGTGTATAAAATTTTGAAATGCTAGCCTTATCATTTGGCTTACACTCCTCATATTCTAATAAATAAATAGCCATCAGTGTGTATATAAGTTATCAGACTTAAATAAAATAAATTGATTGACCTATCATAAAAACAAAGATTTTTTTTACACCATACTATTGTAAATATTCAACACATAACTTAAAAACTTATGACATTCTTGAGATGTAAACTGATTACATAACTCCCTAATATAACCCAATGTATTTCCAAAACTTTTTTCTAATACTCCTAAAATCTATACGTAAAATCTTCAGGAAGAATGATATATTCTGATTAAACTGTAATGAAAACTAGATCAAGCATTTAAGGCATAATTTAAAGAAACATGAAAGTATTTTGGTTCATTTGAAAAAAAACAGAAATCTGTTTTTGTTTTTCTAATTATACTCATTTCGTTAACATCTCAGCTTCCTCACTAGTTTATTATAACGAAAACTAATGCACATATACTGTTTGATTGACAACTAGATATAGACTACAACAAGAGTTAATGTACACGAAATACAGAATAGTCAATATGTGAAATAAAAGTGTAATGAATACTAGAGTATATTAGATAGTCTCTTACATTCGATTCAGACGGATATGTCTATATCCAATCACTGACCAATAACAGGTCAGTTTGATTGAATATATTATTTAGCTAGAGAAATTCATTTTAGTGTTAGTTAATTGTATTTATTGATTACACGTCGTCACTACATTATTCAACACTTTTCAACATCGTTAAAAGTTAATATTTTCAATAAGTAGTTATCTTATTTATTAGGTTTACCAACTAATATCTTCCAGTTCATTCTTCGGTAGTTATGTTTCGAAAAAAAACGAGTTTGAATAATTCAAAAAATGTAGTTGGATACGTTCAGTGAGTCCTTCACTGTTAAATAAAATGACTTGACGTTCAGGATAATAAACACGAAGGTTAGATTGTATATAATGTGTTTTAAAACGAATCCTTATAAAGCTCAGGACTATAATAGATAGGGTTAAGGTATCGAAATGGTATCAATAAGGTATACCTTGTTTGGCTCAAATCAAGTCAACCATAGTCAAATTAATTAAATACAATATAAGTAGAGATGTGATTATAAATAATGAGCTACCTAAGAAGTGTGTTTAGAAATAGATTGGGAATGAAACCTCAGTTAACCTAAAAGCTTTTGTTACTCTATCCTAGTGCGTAACTTCTGATTAAGTATACACTGAAAATGCTTTCATGAGGTATAGAAGATCAATAAAAATTCTTAGAGAAAGTTTACTTGCTTTGCAATACATCATACTGAGGACGGTATCTACTCTGACATTATCAATAAACAACTTCATTTGAAGTCAATATAATGTATCACTTAGAATTATCCCATCATTTAAACGATATTTTATTCACATGTAAAAACTGATAAAAGTCACTTAATGTCAGCCAATTTAACTTTTTTTTCAAATAATTAAGTTGTCTAAAAGAACTTGCCATCTAAAAGGGTTAATACATCGATGTGAAAACGTTATCGTATTATCATGCTGTTATCGATGATGAAATGTGTATCCATTGGCTAATGGAGTGCAAAAAAAAAAAACATTTCTAGCCAAGATACTTATCAATACAAGGTTGATCATCTGGTTTATAGTAATAAAGTATAACATTTTTAAAGATTAAAAATCTTAGTCTGAGATAATTTAACTTATTTCGTAAATACAATGCAACTGATATGACATTAACAAAAGCATGCATATAAAATGTCTGATAATGAATGCAAAAGATAGAAATGATTTTTCCTGAAATCAACTTCTAGAGTTAATTATATTTGATATGAATTATAAAATGCATGGGATATTATTATGAATTATAGAATGACAAATACTAACGTTTACATTTGTTAAACGTTGAATGGATCAATTATGTTTCAGTTCATATTTTATCTTGCAGTAAATCTTTCAATTAATACGACTTATTCTGATTAGCGTCTTTTTAGCAAGGTTGTTTTCTACGGGATGGGGTTGCCGACCCCATGCTCAACCCTTCTCCTTTACTCGGGCTTGGGACCGGTAGTGACCCTAGAGGAGCTACGAGCGGTTATTTGTCGATATTTACACTATAATTAAACATGGTTTCTTTACATATAAATTCCTGTTGTCTAAAGTAAACTGAACAAATATTGGTTGCTTCTGTGTTACTAATTGTAGATAACGTATGACTGATAATGGCTAACAAGTAATCTCCAAATTTGTAAGGATATACTATTGAGTACATTACTAACTGTTAGGAAATATGTGATTCATGATCATGTGGAAGTACCTCCAACCATCTAAAGTTATTCTTTACTAACAAGGAATTAATTAAAATGTATCAGTAAATAAGATTTATTTAATAAACCAATGGAATAATTAAAACCGATTTAATGCAAAAGTTACGTTATTCTATTGTATTAATATGTGAAAACCAAGAATGTACAAAAAAACAATTATATGTTGTTGATGGAGTTTTGTTCTCTGAGCTGGATGGTTTGGTCGTGGAGCTTTCATCGTTCTTCTGAACAACATCATCAGCACAAACTTCAGATAGAAGTCCAAATCATCCACCTGAGATACGAATGTTCTCTACCATCTCACAAATATATGTATTTATAAAAATTTATTCTGAAGATCAACTAGAGGAAAATACACATGAATTCAACTAATTTGATAAGTTAGTAGCTATATCGATTCAGTAGCTCAGCAGACAATGAAATAGCGTTTGAAGATGGAAGTAGTGAATTTGAATCTCATTGTGAAAATCAGTACTTTGGATACAGTGATATTCAGTAGACCAGCCCCATATAAAACAAAACGTAAGTTCTAGACCTCACTGTTAGCCACAATTCGATTTTACTGAAGAGACTGTCTTTATGTAGATGGTAATAGTGAGTGTTAGCAACTATTAATTCCGACGTTTTTTTATTATTTAAAAATAAATTCATCAGTAAAATATATGAAATTATATGTTAACCTAGTTTGAATGATTATCACAACACAACCGTATGATAATATTAATGTTTTAGGTTATTGTTTAATAAACTATATAAACAAGTAATATTTATTTAATGGACATAAATATTCCGACTATAACACTGGCACATAATTGACCAATAAAAGTCACTACTATTATAGATTAATCGATTTGCGAATTCACTGACCGGATAAGATTCTCTTGTCAGATTTATTGAAGGCCAGAAAATGACCTAAACTCCATAAGCTAATTTACACCGTCTCTACAAAAACAATATGTAATTCAAATATGAATACTGAACGGTCAATAAACATTGTTAACATGTGCACTATTTAATGTTCAGTTATGTATATTAGCCAAACGAAATAACAATTTTGTTGTTGAATCTGGTTTACGAAGACGTACCAAAATACACATAATGTGCATGAGTATAGATCTTGGAGATAAATATTTTGTCTTCACCAGTATCTTTTATATAGTCTTGATTTCTTTCTTTTGTTTCAGACAAGATATATGCTCCCGCCAGGCAGTAATTTTAATGTGAATCAATCTTCTAGAACACCACGTGACAAAACCAAGTAAGTGCGAGCACAGATATAAACAATAGGACAACAGTTTTCATGATTCATTTAAATCAGTTGTGGAACCAATCCAACCTAGCGAATCGTTTTTCACTAGCTGACATCAATGAGTGTCAAAAACTGCCACTTCAAGACTAACTAACTACATATAAATACTTACGTGAATACTATTTATAGGTCATACCATAAATAATAAAAGCTAAAAAATGTATACCACTCGTACAAACATAACTGTTATATCATAGCTGATATCTACTCCAGCAAAATGACAAATTACATGTATTCGAAGAATGACAAGTAACTAATCTTTCTTGATGGAACTATTAAGTTTCTTTCATCAAAAGTAAAAATATAGACAAAATTTCTAAGTAATAAACCACTCATGTAAACAGTGGTATGGATAATAATAGAAAAAAACAATCGTAAACAACTGAATAGTTAAAATACACATTTACGAACTCAATGCCATCATAGATACTTAGTTTCATTTCAATTGATAATAACTGTTAGAAGATCATTTGAGTTGTTCATCCTTAAATTGTGTAGGTGAAAAAACAATCAATAGAAAAGTAGTGTAAAAATACACCTGTACTTGCCATCAAGAGGAACATGAAATATGCACGTTATATGTCTCAAATATAGATAATTAATGCTGTGCACCTTGTTTAAAGAAATAATCTCCACAAAACTCATTGTTGCCTGTACAATTTTATTTTGCTAAAATAGTTGTGTAGTATTGACAAGAAACATAGTTATAAGTGGTTTAAAATACTGAGAAGACAAGAAAGTCAATAGACTAGCCTTTTATGGAATTTGTTACCTAAAGCAATGTTCATCAAGATTATTCGCTTTCTGCATTTTTACTTAACTATGTTATAAACATACTTTTAAAGATAGCACTCATTGCTTGAATTTTCAGGGATTGATCTTCTACCAGGAGATTCACTCGTTGACTCAGAATGCGCAGATGATATAGTTCTGTTTGGTGAAGACGCTGAAAAATATTCAGAGTCTTCAGACTACAAACTTAGCAACAATACAAGCATGATTGGAATGCGGTTCTCTCACTCCATATGTAAAATGTTACCTCAGGGTTAGCTTAATTCATCCCCTGAATTAGGGATAGGGAGTGAAGTAGTTGAACGGATTGATCGCCTCACTTACCTTGGGAGTTTCACCAGTACTGATGATCTGGTGTTTGGCGAAATCTCGGTATGTATTCAGAAAGCTTGACTGGCTTTTGTCACCATGAGTTACATGTGGCGTATTCGAGATATCCGTCGTTCAACCAATGAGCGAATTTACTGTGCAGCAGTTTTTTCCGTTCTACTTTAGAGGCGTGAAATATGGTTATCAAGAATGGAGGATATTTGTAGGTTACTGGTATCCGATCATATGTGTCTATGAATCATTGCTCATGTACTTCGGGACTACGGAGTAAGCAATGTCTGAATTTGGAATAGAGTACTAGGTACAAGGATAGGAAATCGATTGATGAGGTAGTAACTTTGGAAGCAAATAACTGACTACATAAGCAATCATTATAAAGCTAAACTCCAAAAGTGCTTTCTAGTCTAATAGAGAGACCTTGGTTCAAAGTTTATAGGATCTGTAAAATAAGTTTGGGTGAACTTTGAGGACATTCTCGCCGCGAGTAGAATAATTTAAGTCCGATTTGCTCCATAACAAAACCTTGTTCAAAGCTATGAAAACAAAACACTCTAGAAAAGAGTTTGTAAAAGCCAGAGATTTAATTTTTCAAAGTGTTAGATAGTACTAAGCAGTACAGAGTGGTAAGATTTGTATAAATACAATTAAAACAGAGAGATAATATTGATACTCCAAGAGTACCAGTTAATGTCTCCCTTTTAATAAGGAGGAAATAAACTTTGTACTTATTATCAGTCCCTGGCCTTAGGAACGGGTTAGTATCTGAAACTGAACATAGTTGTTATTATGGATAAATAGCTTCGTTATTTGTAGTGATCATTGGTTAGACAGCCTAAACAATAATTATTTTTATTAAAGTTGATCAGTCTTGGTTGGTATATCTGCATCCTCTTGGGATTCCCGCGATATAACTTTTTCCATCTATTCTACACTAACTTGCGTCAGTGCTTATATCGAGGCAATCCACACAGGATACCCATATAACAACCAAAACTGATCAACTTTCAGTTAAAAATATTAACAACGGGATAATCCAATCCATTTAAAATAAAATAAAATTCATACCTGTTGCAAAACTGAGTAGCTACCTGAACTCGATGCTTAATTGAATAATAAGATGCTGATTGAGGCGGACGATATTGAGTTCGAGTCCCGGGGCGATCATCTACTCTGGAGTCCAGGTACATTCAGCTGACGACTCCTAGATGAGATGAGGCGCGAGTCCTCGATTTCACTGCTAGCCACATTCCACTTATTCTATATTTAGAACAATGATGTTTGATGATGGTATGAGAAAACGTAACTGATCGAAGGACTAAATCGTTTAGAGGTCTAAAGTCTTTTCGAAGTCTTACAATATTCAGCCTATCTATATTAATAATTAATCAAAAGAAATGGAAATTTGACTAAAATCGATTAAAAAAAAGCGTTATCTTGATTAGATAAAAGATGATAGGACGGATGAAGAACGTTTGTGTTAATGTTACAGGTTCAGTAGACGAAACATAAATTTTAAAACGTTTTTGGAAGTAGAAAATGAAAAAAAGCATATCAGTGAATCCATTACTATGTCAATGCTAGGCGAACCAGAAAATCTAAGCGTATACAGAAATGACGATTCACATCCCACTGCCACAGCGATGAATTAGCTGCTATAGTTGCCCCACTTTTATCTTTTCAAAAAAAATGTTCGAACTTCCAGTTTAATTATTCAACATGCAACCTTTACAAAACATACTATATCCTTCCCATCACCCTTTATTTAATGAAATCTTTATTGTTTATCTTATTTGAGTTCTCATTGCTTATTTAAATGTACCTATGCATGTGAATGCAGACAGTGTACTTCTTCTGATCTAATTAACTAGAATTTGAAAGTGATGTTACATGATATGGTGTAACAAAAAGAATGCATTTTTGATCAGCCAATAAAATATGTTGTTCAGTGTGACAACTTAGAATTAATACATTAAACTTATTCGTAAATAGTTAGCTCTGAAAAGAAAATGAACACAAGTCTTTAGCATCTGACGACAGAAATTGGCGATTCACTCAGTCAGAACAACGTAAAACTTCGTACGTACGTACGTACATTAGTTCGATTTGCCATACCACATTAGCACACAAATAGAATTGTCGATTCAAATCCCGTAGTGGTAGAGGTAGTGAAGGTATAAACAGTAATCGGAAAAATTAGGGTTTGAACATGTTATTGAAGGAGTATAATCCAATGAAATAAATTTGGAAAGAGAAAAAAGGACATGAAGAATTCAGAAGATTAGAATTTGGAAGAACACAAAGCGTGTATGCACCTGCGCCATTGCAAAGGATTTTGAGTCATGTCATTCAGGGTCTCTAACCACTGTTTACTATCATCTGGCGGTCCCAAACCAGGTAGTCTACATCTACCAACACGGCTCAGTCCACTTGTCAGTGGCTTCATGGACCTGTGCCATGTTTTGGTCTGGCCGCCTCTAGCTTTCTTCCAACCTACTCCTATACCATTGAGCATCGCATGTCGAGGTGAATAATAATAATATTTCTAGAAAACCTGTGACTTCAACACTGGATGTTGAAATATTTCGCTTGCTGATCCGATACTATAAGGGTCGAAACACCGAGATAAATGATACATATAATTTGTAATACATTTTGAGGGAAGGATTTAATTTTTGCTATATTTCCAAATGTCAGTAAACTTTGTTCGTGTTAAACGTAAAAAATTAGGTTGAATTTAGACTTTCGATAAAGAATTATTTAATTCCACGTTCAAGAACTTTAATTTGTTAACCAATCAGTATTTCAATTGTCAATATACTTATTCTATAGACTTGTTCAAGTTATTGAGTCGTTTGAAGCAAGCTCTGAAAGAGAATTAACAGTAGAAAATGGTGAATGGGTAAAAATTTTAGAAAAGAATGGAAAATGGTATAAAGTTCAGAATAAGTTTGATGAAGAAGGTTATTGTCCAGGGTCAATACTGAAAATTCCAGGAACTATGTGATATTTTCAAATGTAAGTTTTAGTTCAAAGACAGAAGTTCAAGAGAACTATATATATATATATATATATATATATATATATATATATATATATATATATATATATATATATAAAGTGAGAATTCAGAATATCCATTGCAAAGTCCGTGATCACTCGACATCTTCAAATCATTAATATATACGCATTTTCTTTCCCACATTTTATAGTAGTTAAAATTTTAAACTTATATTCTATTGCTCTCTAAGAAACGAAGAAAATTAAGTAAGTTTCAAGTTGTATTTGTGAATACATTTGAACATTTACTAATCATTAATGAATGAGTCAGTACAGTTTTTCTTCAAACCTAGTAAGGTTTTTATTCATATAATGAAGGTTGCTAGTAATGTTTTATAATCCACTGGGAATATATTAAATGTTAACAGACAAATCAAATAACTTGTTTGAATAAGTTTGAGATGATATACCTATATGAAGCGATTAGACAGTGGTGGAACGTTTTGTATCGGAATATTGGAATGCTCTAAAACTTACAAATGATTAGCATTTCCTTTGAGAAGTTGGACATGTGTAAAAGAGCATACTTGAGGGTATCATATAACTAACATCTTGTTAAAACAGAAAGCATGTCCAGATGCAAATATTGCTGTCTATACAATGCCTTTGTTGTTGTGTTCTTTGGAATGGATAGTGACGTACTTTTTTGTCTAGACAGTAAGCATCAAAATGCTAAATTCTCTACTTATAGTGTCTTGATGAACAGCTGATCAGCTATACTATCCTGGTAGTAGATGATCGCTGTTTTTAGATATGTAGGATATCCAGTTTATCGAACAATACATATTGTATGTACCTCTAATCACAACATGGGGACAAATCCTCGGGCACCACTAAGCAGCTCAGATATATATACATGTTGAAATTATTGAAGATTGATAAAACACCATTGACGCAAGTTCTGTAAGTACATCTGCTTTGATATTTACCCACTGAATTTTTCCGTTAAACTGTTCAGTTCCTTAAATGGCGAAAATTCTATACTAATAGCGAATGCTGATTTCAAATAAATATTATGTCCGTATGGGATCCGTAAATGCGTTAGCTGAGCCGTTGATGGTATCCTTTGATTGATGGAATAACATTAGACGAGTGGCTTCCGACGACAGAATACTCGGATTTTTTAAAGAAAATCACCCTTAATATAATCCCGGTTCCAATTACAAAGTACTTCGACTGCACCAATAGCGTCTACTATTTCGCTATTTCATCTGGAACAAACGGAATCTTCTTACTGTTGACTAGTGGAATGTATCGACTGTCAACACAGTCTCTGAGATATATTTCTCCTTCAAATGCATACACAATTCGTCACTTAAATACCACAAATCTATACACTAAACTTTCTTGACTATTCATTAGTGCAATGAGTCATACGTTTAGCAGTCTTTTTCCAAAAGGTTAATCTTGTTAACACACAGCAATTGTTTATCTAATTTTTTTAGGAGTACAAGGACAATGGTTATCTTTGATATACATCGAGATATCTTAATGCTCGATAAATAGAATAATGTCTGTAAGATCTAGTTCGTGATATATGTATCAATAACTGAGTTAGGGTCGGTAATATACTTACAAGTACTTGTAAGTAGTTTTCCATGGAACAACTTTAGCTGAAGAAATGTCCACAAATTCCCCCACTATATAAGGTTTCATATTCGTCTGAAATAACACCATTGTATTTACTGCTAGCCCAGAAAATCGAACCTTTTTCGTATTGACTAAAGAAAAATTATTTGAAAATTTTTTGCCAACCGAAAGATAACTGCGTATTTAGCATACAACGCTCGACTATGACCATCTAGTTTTCTTAATACCAAAATACTTAAGAATATAAAGTACTCATTCGTTTGTTTCGCAAGTGAATTCATTTTCTGGGTAAGCAATCTTAAACTAATTATACATAACAGAAAATGTATGTTTCCGCTATAAATGACGGACGAGCCAACCATATATCTGCAAAATATGAGTATTAGAAAGTCCCAATTTTCCTAACTGTATCCCTTCCTGAGTTGAGTTATTTTGACCCTGATCATTGCGCGATACAAACTGTATTATTCATGAAAAGATGAGTTTCAAAGTGTAGCGACCAATAGAATTAATGTTGGCGTAGTGTTGAGTATCGCCTACACAATATCAAAACGGTACATTTGACTACTCAGCATTCTGATTTGTCTAATTGATTAATATTATCGAAATCTTACGGATTACTTCCTTTAGTACTATATTTATTTACTTCTTTTTGTTTCTTCTTACCGTATAATCAGATATGAATTCGTTGAAGACATTCAAAGAACTCTAAAGAAATTATTTAGTTCTAATCAAAATACTTTCATCTTTTGAGTAAAGATCATTGTAATTTTTTTCCTACTACACAACTCTCTTTGTTCAGAAGTTTACGAGACCTTTTTCCATTTGTTCGTTTTTGGCAAAATATTTAGTTAGAAATAAAATCATAACCATAAGGTAATCAGAGTTGTGTTTGTATTTTCGTAGTATAGTAGTAAACCCTAAAACACAACTGATTGAGTCCGATCACATAATATTTCCCTAATTACTTACAGCACTATTTAATACGTTTATCTCAGTCACTAAATCCCCTAGGATTTAACGCCCACGGTATGTCTATCTGGCAAACTCTACAGTTTGACGGTGACATCTAGAATGCAATTCATTGACCACAATACTGAAACACCACCAACTGTCAAACAAGCAGGCAAGTACACTCCGACGCTTTACGTCTGTATCAACTTCAATCAAATTCTCGACATTTTAGGTTTCATTTCCACCTAAACTATCGGATTACATTTCCTAGTGTTTCCTAAAACTTACAGCTGCTTTAGTCAATCTGGATTAAATAAAAACTGTACAGACATGCTAACTAGGGCAGATTTGTTGACAGTACTACGTATAACGTGGGTGGTGAATTACGGCAATAAAACCCATATGTTCATAATTTTTGGAAACAGCTGACTGTAATACACTAACGGGTAACTAGGGTACAATTTATGGTATGGCCTAGTTCATATTGCTGACTGGATCCTATTATTCAGTCTTTTGATGTGGCTACTAAATTGAATAACTGGATAATCAAATGTACTTTGTTAGAAGTCAGACAAATCCCAATGACTCAACCGAAAATTTAACCATTGTATCATCTGTTTCAGTTTGAGGACCGAAGTAGTGTTATTAGTCACCAAACAATACTGACGGATGCTAGCAACAGAAAATGCGTAACCACTAACAACCTGCCTTTGAGCATCGTTCGTACGCAGCAGACGTTGAACAGTTACGTCTTTACACATCACAACTATTATACGGGGAAGCAGATAGATTGACAGTATCAATGAGTACGGTCGATTAAACTTAGAAAGAAAAAAGTAGCGGATTCAACGTGTCTATTCTTCTGAAAACAAAATCTGAAATCTGACAAACCGTCAGAAAAAAACGAGAAATATACCTAGAACCCTAACAGATTTCAAGAACAAAAATCATAGCCAAACCATCTAAACGTATGAAGATCTGAACTTGGAGCAAAACAATTCCCGTCAGAGTTTGTCAACTATAGTTTTGCTGTAATAAATACATAGCAAGAAGAGTTCACAGTACGAAAATCGCTACCCTCCTTTAAAACTCGCCTGAACAAAATCGCGTAATCTATTCAATTAACGGAAAAAATCAGAATAGCATATTTTCCTATTCACTTAGATCATTTATGAACTAACAAGTCACATTAGCAGCGAATACAAAACTGTATTCTTCGTCCTAGAGATATATAACAGTGTGTGGAATGGCTGAAAGTATAAATACTGAGATTAGTTATTTTCAGTTTACGGTACACCCCAATAAGTCGAAGCAATGATTTTACAAAGAGCTTGGTAGTGATCTACCTATGAACTATTTTTAAAAACGACCAACGAAATGCAAAAAATTATCATAATTTTAGCAAATGTAAGATCAATAACAAGAACTACAAAAAGTAGCTACTACAATGGTGAGAATACTGGCAGTAACAACAGTCAGGAAGTCATTAATCAAGCCCTGCCGCAATGCGTTCCTCCTTGAGCTCTTCTGCTGTTATGGCGAACTTGCCTTTAGCCCACTCATCAAGTTTTAGACCCTGGACGATGGTCCATTTGCCATTCTTGATTTGGACAGGAAAACTAAATATAACATCTTTTGGAGCATCATAAGAACCATCACTGATTACAGACATCGATACCCACTCGCCCTTAAAACAGAATAAGTTTAACTGGAAACATACCTCCTTCGTTCCAAGCCACCAGTCGTGCATATGGTCTGAGACAGACTTAGCAGCAGACAGTGCACTACTTAGTTTCCTGGCTGCTATAACAGCAGCCCCGCGCTTCTGAATAGCGCTTAGGAACTCGTTTTTTATCCAGTTATCATCATTAATTGCGGTAGCGACAGGAATCTCCTTCCCATCTTGCTTTACAACAGCATGACTCACATCGACAAACTGCGTATTGCTGTGGTTGCCCCATATAATACAATTTTTTACAGAATCGCATGAAACTCCCAAACGTTTGGCTATCTATGGAAAAAATTAAGAGGAACCTAGACTAACAAATGACTGAGCACGATTGTGGTCAAGTCTTGTGAGCGCACTAAAGTTTTCTTTAGGAATGGAAGGAGCGTTCTTCATCAGTGCGAGTGCATTTGTGTTAGCAGGATTACCCACAACAACCACTTTGACAGTCTTTTTGGCATACTTGTCCAGAGCCTGCCCTTGCTCCTTGAAAATTTTCACATTAGCATTAAGCAAATCTTTACGCTCCATCCCTTCTCTCCTAGGCATAGCCCCAACCATAAGTGCAGCATCAATTTGATTGAATGCTACTTCTGGTTTATGTGTCACAACCACACTCTTTAAAAGTCGAAATCCACAATCCTGAAGTTCCATTTCAAGTCCTTTAAGGGACTCTACCATTTGTTCAAGATCGAACAGATGTAAGATAACTTCCTGTAGTTGTTAGAAAAGAACATCTCTAACTTGATCAGGTCCGAACATATCACCACGAGCAACCATCCCGGCGAGTGAGTATCCTATTTGCCCAGCTGCACCTGTCAACAAAACTCTTATTGGCTTGAAAGGTAATAGTACAAAATACCAACTAACCTCCGACATCTCTTATTGTTGTTGGATAAATTTCTATTGAAATACGCACGGTCAACATGTACTCGAAACGTTGACAGGATAAAACAAATTAAGACAGTTGTACAATATACATCGTTCTTCATAGCTGACTTTAGCGACTCGACGATATCATTTGTTCATACAGTCTACTTTAATGAGTTTCCTTGATATGATAAGGTGTATATTCCTGTTTTGTTTAGCGAGACCAAAGTTACCACCTGTTTCTTTCCTATCTTATCCAAAATGGATGTTCTCTTAGGTGTAACTTAAAGTAAAGATTAAACAATAATTTAAAATTTGCCAATCTCCACTTTAATTATTTGCACGAAAGTCCATTCTCTTCTCAATGGGTTCCATGGCACAATTTGTTTTGGATTCCTTGAATAAAGGCTTACAAAGCATTGAAACGTGTCTTTAGTATGGAATAAATCTCCAGCTCTCAGACAAAGATCCTGGCTTTTACTGGGAACTACCTAGCTGAAGGCACTCGGTCACACATATAAAACAGGTCACAACTGGATATGCTATGCTACACATCCACTGCAATTATTAGCCAGTTTAGAACAAACGTTTCACAACATATCGGCAACTTTCTAAATATAAATTTGAACTCCTTCTTTTCTGACTTATTATTCGACTGGCCTGGTATCCTCCGATCATAAAAGTGTTACGGACAAGAGCGTTGTCAAATTCTGAATATCTGTGACATCTTTGAACCTTTGTCACTTTGGTTTCAAGATTTTTTTGTGATAATTAGTTTTATGGGTCCAGAATTTTAAAATAGAGCAACAGTAATTCCATCAGTGATAACATGGATTACCCGGATTATATCACATTATATTCTAGAAAGTGATATGCAGAAAGCTCGTTCATGTTCATTTTCTTATTTCTTCTCAAAGGTGATGTATCGACTTTCGCTCGTATAAACGATAATGAATTTTATGATACATTTAGAAGTTCCAGGTACTTGACCTTAATTCCTTAATTGGGTCTCTCTAGCATTCCGATGAAATGCAGATTAGACCAGTCTCATGTAATCTTGGATTTATTTCACTACAATCCAATTGCAGTTTATTCTACTGTCAGTGTTATTTCTATTCTAATCCAAACCAAATATAAACCGCTTACTTTCTCGTTAAGCTCTCCTTCTGACAAGTACTCTCCACGTGAGTCTCGACAACTGGACTACATTTCGCAGTTTACTTCAGATATTCAACACATTTCTGGAGCAAACAATGTAGTTGCAGACGCTTTATCTCGCATAACTTCCTTGAACAGTTTCCAAGGAATCGACCTTCTTAAACTCGCCGAGCTTCAAAAAGAAGACAGTGATCTTCAGCACGAGTTATCGTCCACAACACTTAAACTACGCATCAAACAGATGGGAACAGGTAAGGAAACCTTACTTTGTGACACATCTACAGGTAGGGATCGCTCAATCGTGCCGAAACATTATCGACGCAATGTCTTCAACACATTGCACAAACTTTCGCATCCAGGTGTTCGTGCAACCATCAAGCTTATAGCAGAAAGGTTTTGCTGGCCTGGAATGAATAAAGACGTGAGGGAGTGGGCACGCTCCTGTGTAAGCTGCCAAAAATCTAAGGTTATAAGACACAATAAATATCCCTTAGGCTCGTTTAAAACTCCCGATGCTCGTTTCGACCATGTTCATTTGGATTTGGTAGGACCTTTACCAGATTCAAATGGATACTCTTATCTCTTAACCTGCGTAGACCGTTTCACTCGATGGCCAGAAGCAGTACCTATCAAGGACATCACTGCTGAAACAGTGGCCCGCACCTTCGTCGAACGATGGGTAGCAAACTTCGGCTGCCCTTCAACCATCACTACAGACCGCGGACGTCAATTTGAATCTGATCTTTTCCGTCGTCTGACCACTCTTTTAGGAAGCACTCGCTTCCGAACGACCGCCTACCATCCACAAGCAAACGGGTTGGTAGAACGTTTTCACCGACAACTGAAAGCTTCGCTATCAGCTGCAAACGTTTCACAGTGGACCGACGCTCTTCCACTCGTCTTACTAGGTATCCGCAATGCAGTGAAAGCTGACATTGGATACACTGCGTCTCAACTCGTTTATGGTACGACACTTCGACTTCCAGGAGAATTCGTGGATCCTTCATCCTCTTCAATGAACATGGATCTAACCTCCTACACGAACAGGCTTACAAACGCAATGCGTTCAGTTAAACCTGCTTCCACTCGACCTCAATCAACTGATGTTTTCGTTCAACCTGACTTACGATATAGTACACACGTTTTCGTTCGTCGAGACTCGCATCGACGACCATTCGAATCAGCATACGAAGGACCCTTCAAAGTTCTTCAACGTGAATCTAAGTACTATATAGTCGATAAGAACGGAACCAACGATAGCATCAGCATCGACCGCTTAAAAGCAGCGTATTTAGAAGGAAATCCTATCTACGTGGATTTTCCTTCGGTACAATCGAACGACACGACTCCGACACTTATAATACCTCATTCGACAACCAACACACACGATGATACTTCGACAGTATCCGAAAATAAACTTAAAACGACGCGTTCTGGAAGAAGGGTGAGATTTCCAGAACATTTAAACGACTATTGCATGTACGGCATTTCTCGACATTTTATATTATTTTTTATTTAAAAAACAAAAAACAATTTTAATATGCTTATATATTTTTATTTCTATCTAAAAAAAACAAAACAAAAAAAAATCAATTTTTTTAAACGCTATTACGTGTTCATGAGTTTATTTTCCATTTTTTTTCCGCCGACATTGTGTTTTTACGCACATACGAGTGTATTTCGACATGCACTTACATTTCCTTTTTTCTTTTCCAGGACGGCTGGAAAAGAACGATGACGTTTATGAGGATCCGAAATTTTCATTGTACATTTTCTTTCTTTACTATGTTGTACCTCCGTCTCATATAGTAAGGAAAGACGACCAGACGCTGCTAAATTTAGTAAGCTATCAGAAGAGTGTTTACCAACGACAAACTCGTTGGGTTTAAACTTCTGGCTGGCCACATCTTAGGGTCGTCACTGCCCCACTAGGGGAGGAAGTGATCTGTAGCGGTAAATAAATCCCTAAAATAAATAGCTCTGTAAGTTTTCGACATTGGATGCTGACCATATGTTTTAGTGGACTCATCTAGCTGAAGGCGCTCGGTCAGGCATCTGCACCAGATCACGTGTGGTAACGCCGTGCTCAACATCAACCGCAATCGCTAGCCAGATTAGATCAGAGAATTCCGATATATTGGTCATCGCCAAATATACTCTTCCGATCTCCTCGACTCTGTCTTTTGATTTCTCTGGGCGGGAACGAAATATATTAGAAGGTGTTACTGGTAGAAGCGTTGTCAAACACTGAATACCTGTGACATCATCAGTCTAAATCTGGTGTTATTCCAATACAACCATTATTTCAGTTGTGCTCACCCAGGCCGATCTTGCTTTGTTTATTACTACTGTATATGCTAGTGAATTAAACTACTATAAAACATATTCAAGAGGTTTCGTATTCCATTTTTTACCTGATTTATTCGTTCCCAATAATCGACTAAAACATGACCAATATAACGAATAGCTCGCTTATAACCCTTGTCACATGACACGCTGTAGAGGCAAGTATTTCTAGAAAGCGAATAGACATATAATACTGCAATTGTTGTTTTGCACTGCGTTCGTAAACTGGTATTGCTACACTATAGTTTTATATACAAGCCCTAATAATTCAAACAAAATATGAGGAGTAAGAAAAGATTTCTGTGGTTAAAAACACTTCTGTGCCACTTTCGTTTGTATGTTTTTATTATTGAACTCCTCAGGAAACCACACCGATCAGACGCTTGTATCTTTTCTCTTCGAAAAGAAAGCAGTCCCTTACCTAATCACGTGAACTTTACATGTGATTATTTCTGGCTGTCTCACCAGATTAACGGTTTTAGTTTTGATCGATGTGGTTATTCAGAAGCTCTCTAACAAAGAGGTAAAGATGAGTTTCAATGAAAATGAGTGTGAAATAAACCCATCCAAACGTTTTTAAAGGACCATTTTGCATTTATTCGACTTGAGAAGAAACTTAATAAAACCAGTTCGTAAAGAACTCATCTTCTTGTTGTCTGTTTGCGCTTACCTACACCTTGACGAATAAGCATAGCCTGTAAATGAAGAAAACTTTTACTACGACAAATTATACCATTTCCCTGACCCGTTAAATGGCTAGATATTGTAAGAAATAATAAAACGGCCTCGGTTCTTCTTTCTGCTGACAAGACAGTTGAGTTAGTCATACGTGAAATAGTTTACCGTCACCTGGGTTATCTATGACAACACAGAGTAATCAAATCCGTCGATCAACATAATAGAGAAGATTGTGTGAACACGATACAATCTGTAGCTCAGAAGATACACTCGCGAAAAAAAGCATACCTTAACTAGAGCACCGATAATACTGAAAAACGTCACCGTACTCCATCACACTTCAGAAGTCATACCACCATGTATTCAAATCAATTAACGGTCCGTTGAAAAGTAATACTTTCGTATTTTTCGAAATATAACACACTTCAATTAGCATTAGTTTTAGCGTTTTCGTAACAATCGGTTGCATCATTAAATCTAATGAAATCTAATATCAAGGTTTTCGATGTCCATACACGCCTGTCAACATATAACCACAAACCACACAGCACCACGATTTTTAATATCAGTTGTTTGGCGATCAGTGAATCAGTACGGGTTAAAGTTTGAATCTCACTCTCTAACTGTACTTGCAACTAGAGAAATGCCAATATTCAGAATGAAAACAGTACCAAGGCACCGAAATTTATCCGATTAGACCAGACCACGTTCTACTGTATAGCGTACACAGTGTTTTCGAGTTGCTCGTATTGAATTATATCAAAACACAAACACTTTGCCTAATTTAAACGGTTCTAATCTAAAAAAGAGAACAACTTATATCAAAAATACAAAATACCTCTAACAGTACAGTTTGTGCAATACAGTCAAAGGTTTTCCTAACACAAATTAGCGTATTAAACGACAAAGTAAATGGCTAATACACAAGAGTCTAATACTTTAAAATCAATAAAAAGTGTTGCCGACAACATAGGATCAGACATCTATCTGGAAGGATCCCAGCAGTCCTCACAAGCAGACAGTCAAAGGTAAACAGTCACACACTGAACCACGCTGTAATTCTGAGCTTAGTCAAACACGACCTTATTGTTGATAATCCGGCCAAATGCAGCAGAAAACCTAAATTAAGAAAGGTAAGTCTTTATATAAAGTCACATAATAAAAGCTCAGACGAGGAAGACTGAAGAACACAAAGTGTCGTTAAAAGAGATTTAAATAAATGTCAACATACGCAACAAGGAGAAGAAACAAATGAATGAGATTACTGTCCGACGAAATGTTGTGGAGAGATTTTCAGCGTTTTCTTTCCGTTAAACTGGCCCTAATAACCTCTCCAGCTGCTTTAAGATACCGTTAAATACATTCGGTCATGGCTCTCTTAGCTGACTAATCTATGTCAGTGGGAGGCACAGGACTAACAGCAGTAAGCCTGTATATCCATAAAACTAACAGACAACCCATAGTTATTCGGGTACCCTTGGAAGGCAGAGCTTGCGCACATCTCTACTTACAGCCTCTGTCATCATTGTCCTTACCAGGCAATCTCCATCTATCTCGCACTTAGCAACCCGTCTCATTGGCAGTGAGCCACAAGTCGTTGTATAGTTAGCCACAAGTACCACATTACCTTCCCTTAATTTTCTGTGTCTGCAAAACCATTTTAGCCTTAATTTCAGCAACGGAATGTACTTCTTTATCCACCGACGCCGGAAATTATTGGATGAACAATAAACTTGTATCTATCGCTTCGAATATCTGTCCGTAATACTGCACTCAATCCTTAAACCGTCATAATATCTTAGTAAAAGCAGGTTGTTTGGTGTGATAGTCAAGTTATCATTTTACCTGATGTCACAGGGACGATGGGACAGTCATTTATAATTCTTTCCCCACAAACTCCCATAGTTTTATCGTAAAGCCCTTGAGTTGTGGTTTGTTCAACTGGAGCATTACTCCACGAGGAACGATATGAAACCTGCGTGAATCCGTTACCAACGTTTACGTTCTACTCTCCCTTCCTTATTTGGCCGGGAAGTCCGCCACTCAATGTTGAGCTCTTAACGCCACAATCGTACATCATTTTAAGGCGTGAAAAAACGAACCATCTTTTTCTCCGACTGTCAAAGAATCTCAATATCATTCCAAGCAGAGAAATCTGGCAATAGATCACCATCACAGTTCTTACTTCACCTCGAAATGTTAGTTAGCAATAACGTCGTGGGTAAAGTGGTCCTTAAGCAAGAATGGATACAAACTCTCTCATGCTATGTCCAACACTCCACTCAATTTTATCAAATCAGGATCAATAACGAAGCGAAGGTAATGAGTCGAAAATATGGAGTCTTAGTCTTGAATCTACAGGACACTTAACGCATTAGTATACGACTTTAAATGTCACATTGTTGATTTACTATCGTTTGATAAATTACTTAAAAATCATTAGGGACCGAAATGGCCCGTAATGAAGCTTTAACTAATTTTGAATTATTTTTAATTTTCAGGAGTGGTAGTGTCTGTGAAGATTATTATTTATTGAAGGCGATATAGTAGTCTACTACTATAACCAGGAAATAAAAATAATCATACTAATGGCAGCGTATGGTTGACTATTTGTAGACATCAGATAACCAAATGATTCGTTAACTGGGAAAGTTTGTACAGTTTTGTGGGCATTCGGCTGATAAAATACACCGTACAGTGTTGTTCGTTGAAAAATAACAATCTATTCATTACAGCCCTATATTGAGTTTATCGAGTAGTGAGAAGCTTTACATAATGAATATGACAAAATGTCTAAGTATACTAATTTCGAGCTTAGAAATAATTCAGTATATGGTGTACTAATCTCAGCAATCAAATCAGGTCCCATGACCACGAGAATATGAAAATGCAAACAGGGAGTTTATGTGAATGTTTATTAAACCATGTCACCATATCACTGAACCCATACAAAAATAAGACCGAATAATAAGGGTTCAGACAATGTAGGTTGAGAAACATAAAACATAATTGGAAGGGTAATGAATGAAAGTAAAATTGCAAAAAGGAGAGAAAGAATAAACGAGTAATAATATTGTTCAGTAAAACAATGTAGGCAGGTTTCCGGAGTATTCCTTCCTTTACACCTGCTTTTCAACTTCTGCCCGCTATGTTAGCGATCGAGAATAAATATGACAGCGAATAACACGAAACGAATTTCATTATAATTCGTCAACAGACTTGTCGGTTGACACAAGTTTCTTCTTGGATGACATCTTTAGTTATCGAGACTTAGTAACATGGAGCTAAGTTAAATGAGCAATGCATGTTTAAAAAGAGGTAAGTTTCTTTCCGTTGCCCGATAGTGTGAGGTAGTATAGCAACTCACGTGCAGTTTATTTAGTTCTCACTTAACTCAATTAAGCCCTTTTGTTAACTTATTTAGCGAACAAAGTCATCAGCAATATAACAACTTATTGTACCTTTATTATTGTTGTGTTTGTATGAAATATGTATGCTTGAACATTGCTTACGGCCTACGCATAAATTCATTCTTCTAGCTTTATTACTAACTGCTTAATTGATTCGATGATCCATTCGTTTCCTTATATATATACATGTACATTCAACACTCTACACTCTCGGTTCGCTGACTCATTCATCGGCCTCTCGGCTTTGTGGTCTGAGTTATTTGATAATAAAACTGTAGTCGCTGCTTCTCTTTGCCTTCTGATTTCAAACACCGTCGAGGATTATATGATAACGGTTACGAGGGTGACTGGTCATCGAAGCACAGCCACTACAATAGCACTAATGTTTTGTGTAACAAGGCAGTGCACATTCATATGGGAATATTGTTGTGACAAGAGGTGTCCAAAATGTGGTGCTGATACACAGTATGCTAAACGCTAACTCTCCAACTGACTACTTAAGCAAGAACACAAAAGTGTATTGGACTACTGATTGAAACACACGAATACTTGTTCATATATATAACAATATACCCTTAGAAAACTGATCAATTTCTTAGCCAGTGAAATATGCTTGTTTATTTGGGTCACTTCTGATTGGCATTGATTGACCTTCACATCCCTCTGCTTCTCACTGGATCATCACACGACACTGACGATCTCGGCTTCGAGTAACTTCTGTTGTATCGTGGATGCACACGGAGAAGGGACTGTTTCGCGCATTCAGGTTTTCAGTGGTGGTCCAAAGTTATCGGCACATGATCTCAATATAATAGTTTATTGCCGGCCCGAACACGTTGTTTCAAACTGCACTGGCTTTCACGACAGAGAGAGAGTCAGCATAAACAGTGGTGTGGCCATGTAGGTTAGGCAGTCATTTAATGGTAATTTCACAACGTTGAGTCAAATTTATTATTCTAGAAGCATAGTTAAGTGTACTGACACTAACATAGATCTAAATATTATATTTTCTTGAATTGTTTGTACTGAACTACCTCATAGTAAAACATTATTCCTTCTGGATTGTTGGAAGTGTCCTATTTCGGTTCTGAAAGTAACTAGTTCATACTCTTCAATTAGTTTATGTATTTCGGATTTTGACCGCCATACATTTTATTGAACATTTTTTCAGCTGTATGACCCGTTAGTAACTCAAATTTATAATCTTTATTACCAGAACCATACAGAACTTCACAAATTGTGTCTTGAACTGATTTATGAGAACTAGACTAACTTTTGCGCCAAGCTGTAATCGTGCCATAGCTATATCACGTTCACTTGGCATCACATAAATCTGTCATAAGACTGTAATATTGAAGTTTAGACTTAAAGCTTCTTGAACTTCGTTTAAAATACACAGAATAATTTGAAACTCTCCCACTTCACCTCTTTCAGTCTACAAGCCAGCTTAGCACATATGTAGCGTAGTCCAACACGTAAAACATGAAACACTGATATCATCCATGAAATCAGAAAGACTCAAAATCCATTGAAATGACGGTAAGATAACGGTAATTTACAACTAATTAGCAACGGAATAATAGGTGTAGTAGAAAATCAATTGCTAATGTACATAAAATGAGACTTCACTGTCTCATGTGCCAGAACTAAATCATCGATTGGTCAATTCTCATTACTCATTCTTAGCCCTGAGAAGGTGTGATGAGTAACCAAACATGCGGTGATCGGTGTTATAAGTAAGAGATATACTTAGCAGATACACGTCGTTTGGATAGGGTCCAGTAATTTGTCACTGGTTCTAAAAGTATTTTGATTAATTTATCGTGAACACAACGGTAACCCATGCCTATATATCCTAAAATTACGATATTCATATTGTCATCAACTAATCGAATGGCTGACAACAGAATATCTGTTGGTCCTGGCAATCGTAATACTCCAGGAAAAGTCTTCATTTATACCCGAAAAATATGGACCCCCATGAAACTATCGAATTCACTAGAACTAGAGTAGGGTAACTAAACTGATCTATTGAGACTCGAACGGAAGCCTGAAGTCATGTCTCAAAACCAAAACGAGATTTCTAATAAACCAACTGATTAACAATAGCTAATCCTAGATATATTGGGTGATGTGGCCTTCAAATACATAACAACCGCTTGTTTTAAAACTGTGCTCCGCGGTGGTATGGTATGTCCTCGCCTTTCAATCCATCCATTTCGAATGAGTGATAAGCGTAACTCAAAAAGCTATTGTCTTAGCACAGGGTTTACTCACGTGAATAGGTGTCTAGTGGTTCTTATTGTGAAGGACCTTGTCGACGACTACAAAGTTAATATCGATCAAATTACTGAATCTCTGTTGTATGTGATTCTTTTCCAGCTTTCCTCGACGGTAGAAGATTCATTGTACAGGATAACGCGTTCCCAAAACTGTCATATTTACTGTCTAATAAGTACCTGGTTCTAAAGAAGACAATAATGTCCCTACCCGAGCTCCCAATTTTAGGGAAAATTTGACCCATAGTAAACTTCAGGGAAATGGCACCAAAACCCCAAGATTTTCCCCTTATCTTGGTGAAGGTCATTTGACTTTGGAGGTTTCCCTCAAACTTAGGAGATTGGGGATTAGTAAAGTAAATTGGTTGGGTGGGGTTCTGGACGAAACTATAATTTATGAACAATTCAATCAGATTCAGGATAACAGGTCTTGAATTTTGGCGCACAATTTACCCATCCATTTGGCCAAGTAGCGTCTTGGCATTTTAGCTGATGTCAGTTCGTGATGAAAAACCGTAAATATAATTCCTATCCCTAACCGTCAACTGCGAATCATGACCCTTATTATTCAAACTCATAACCCTTATTTGCCTCAGTAAGTAGGTGGACACTCTCAAGGCCACTGGCGTTGATCAAAGGCCGTCTATAAATTATGGTCTCACCGGATTCTGGGTATCGTTGTGATGTGTAATACGTATTAAAAGTTGCCTCAGCAACGTCAGGTGTGCCTCATCCGATCCTGTTGACTTTTATGCATCTAAGTATTCTGATACTTTTAACACTATGCCCTAACAAATATTTAAATTGAGTACCCCATCCTTCATCACTGATCCTGCATTAAATGTAAACATTCCGAAACTAAGTGGTCAAACCCACTGTTTTATCCTGTCATCTAAAACACCCTTCAAACGTCAAGATTGTATTTGGAACTTACGGATTGTAACAATACATTTATTCCAGATAAACGTGTAGAGGTCCATTTCATTGAGAGCACCAATACTAATAGTTACGTTTGATTGTCGCAGTAGGTGTCAAATTTTATGGTTAACCCATGGATGGCTATTTAAACTCTGGGACCGTCCGAGGTATGGGCAATGTGTTCTATTATGTATCTACCTCGAGTGACTCCATACCACTTAAACTAGTGCTCGTTGGTCGATGCTCCAGTATTTGATAGAAGCTTTTCAGTTTATAACATTTATTGGAACGATAGCATTAGTACAAAGAAACATCAAAATAAATATGCCTCACACCAAGTAAATAAGTTTGTGAAGAGATAAAGGTATGAGAAAATAAAAAAAACAGCAGATGAATAGTAAGGAGTGAGCTTGTAAAAAATTATGACGGAAAAACCATTTCCTGTAGTAAGAATATGGTTAAAAATATCCCACTTTTATGATGTAAGGAAAAGAAATTTACTGCGGGACCGTTACTGGCTCTTATTCTGAGCCATGTCCTATAACGTCTCAAACCGGTGTTGCACTATCTCTCGAATCCAACTAGGGAGTCACGAAGAGTCGACAGACGTCATTCCTGTACACCTTTCTTCCATACCACGGTATCAGGTTGCGAATTGACCACCTCTCCTCTTTTTTTAGCCTCAGAGTCGGCAAATGGTGCATAATGTGGAATTTACTGGGTCGACATTCATAGCACATGTCTATGCCATCAAGTATAGGTTTTCAAGATGGTGACATCATCTAGATTGTCGTCATTTTGCCTAAACACACGCTATCCAACCTCCGTATTATTAACATGACATTAGAGCTTATTAAAGATAAAATCACCTACTTTACAGCCAGGGCTTTCATATAACACAATGCACAAACCGGCACCAAAAATCTAAGTGTTAGTGAGATTATCTCTAAAAAAGACTTGTCGGAGAACTGCCTGTTCTAGGCGATTGAAACGGGGGGCAAAACGTGAAAACATTTCAACTGGTCTCCAGTTTCCCATTTCTACATAACATGAATAGAAAATCAACATGAAATCCTTTATCCCTAGATAATTTCAAAAGATAATCAATAAAAACGAGGAAACTCAGCAAGACCTTATTGACTAATCCCGAAGATCTTTAAGGATAGTGGTGCAGCGCCACAGGTTGACTGAGATTTTAGCTATGGTCTTGAATCTGTAGGTGAATCTACCTGACTATCCTTGACTGCTAATAGTTCAATTTTATGAAAAACAACCACGATCCTCTTGTAAAATACCGTTGAATAGTTTGACTAATACAATATTTAAACTATTTTCAATATTCATTCGACGCTTAACCAAAGTTTTTGAGAGAACCAAGAAAGTCAGGGTGGTTTCGGACCTGGACTTCGTTTTGTGGATCAAATATTCACCCTCTATCAGGTTGCCAAGCGATGCTATAGTTACCAGCATCCGGCTATAGTGGTGTTTTGTTAACTTGGGGGTACTATTTGACTTTGTTGACCAAGGGGTTTTGTAGCGGTGTTTATCACTCTAAGGTGTTGAACCTTGTAACAGCTTTTTACTCAAACGGTGTTAAAACTTATAGATAACTTTTATCAGAAATAGGAGCATCAAATAGTGAACGTCGAGACTGTCAAAACTTTCCACTTGTATTTAACTTCATCATTAACATTCCTTTAAAATTTTCGTTTTTGTTCTAAAACTTCCCAGGGATTGATCTACCATGAAATTCACTTGTTGTCTTAGAAAAAGCTAATAAATTTTGTTCGTTAAAGGCACTACAAGTGTGGTTTTTATGTGTCTTGCTCCTTCACAAAGTAAAATATTGCTTTAGTACTGGTGTGCTTCAACGTTTAAACTAATGGTAAGGAGTGAAATAGTTCAGTGCGTTTACCAGTTCACTTGTCGTAGTTTCATCGATTTTGGGGAGTCGGTGTTTGATTAAGTGTCAGCACGTGTTCGGAAAACTCGATTCGCTCCTGCCAACGTGCTTCACCTTTGGCACAGGAGAGATGTACATCTCTCAACTAAAGGGTGAGCACACTGCTCGGTTCGTTCTGTTCTATCTTATGGCTGTTATCAGGAAATAGATGAAAGCATACTACATCAAGGATTGCGTCAGAGCATACTGATTGCTCCATTCTTAGGCAACTAGCGTCAGCGAATAAATGGGGAAGACTCTAGGATCCTGTTTAAAATCATAAATATAATAACGTTTCTCTTACTTTAATTCATTTTCGTTCGACTTAGTTTATTTGGAGTATTATTGCATATCTATCCAAGCCGACTAGTTGAGTGAGGTAGTGACCAAAGATTACTTAGCAGTTAGTATCTCGATGCGACCATGGAAGACTTAAGAGGCTGTGAAAGGCTACCTTTGACGGTAGATATACATAGGTTATTAGTATTTTGTCGTGTCTTTGAAAGATTTTCCAAGTATTTCGGGACCATCGGGTAAGCGACGCTGAGGTTAAACCTAGAGCATTAGGGGAATATGGGAAATCGAATGATGAGGTGCCGAATCTTCATCAGTTGAAGTACTTCGAACAAGGATTACGTCTGTTCGACAATCGTCTATCTTGACGCACAGTGTCCGTTAGTTTAGAAGTTAGAAAGGTAGGAGAGCTTAAACCAAGAAGTCGGGTCAGTACATGGAGTCATTGGCTGTTGGTGTGCTCTGTTTTGGTAGGTGAAGTTAAATATGTTGAATTCCATACAGTTACTGTGACCCATAGGATGAGACTTTGGTGGCATGGCTCAGAATCAGTTGCATTGGCGCAGATTTATTTACACTTTCTTTACTTTATGTCATGAGTTATATTACACACTTTACTTTGCGAATTCATCTTGTCTGTTTGAATCATATTGTTTGCGTCTACCGTTTTTCAGTACCACTGATGTTACTAAATTTCCTCTCATGTATTCCTTGATAATCTCATCTTTCTGTACTGGTTTGATATGACAGTTTGAACTGGTGCAAATATGTGTTGCTTATGATTAACTATCTTGTAAAACACAAAAGTTTTAGGGAGAACATCTCCCTATGTTAAGCTTAAAATTGAAGATCTTATGAATGTTTCAAAAAGAAATCAGCTTGGTACTGCAAAACCATGGTGTTTCATGTTAACCTTTGATAAAAAGTTAGGAGTGGGCCTTTTCCAATTTAATTAGTGTTTATTTTCCACGTTAAGTTAACGAATCTCAAGCTCATATTTCGTAAGTTCATAATATCTCAGGCTTATTGATTTTTGCTACAGTTTTCTCAATGTTTTGAACAATCTTTTACAGGAGAAATGTGATCTAACACCTTCAGAGATTTCTCGATACAGCAGACAGCTCATTCTTCCTCAGTTTGGTGTTTCAGGTCAGTTTATGTTTCATCTAGAGTACTTCACGAACATATTCATGCTTATACTTTTGCGTAAATCCATTTTAACCTATTTAACAATCAAATTTATCAAACCATAGAAGAGTATCAAATAAAGTCAACATTCCTGTTGAATAACGTTGATGATATAATGAACTAATGGAAAGGTCTGCGTTTGCTGCTTTTTTCAAGATCTACCAAGATTAAACCAAGCTTCATTTTCGTTCTGTTTGCAATTCATCAGCAAAATCTACCTTAAACCTTGAGGAAACTAATCCTCTTGCAGAGATCTGGATCCATGTTACTCAATGGCATACTTAGATTTGAAGGATACAAGCTATTCCCCCCAAGGCTACCCACTGTCATTATCTTTGTTCAGCGTCGATAATCATACTGTAGACGTATGTAGACGATAGTTTTGTTGAATAAAAATATTTAGGTATTTTTGGCACATAAAAACTAGTACATTAAGGCACTAAAAGATGTGTCAATTGTGACGACGCTGCGAGTGACCACAAATTATTATTTCCAGTAAACTTTGAAACTATGCAAACAGAAAAACTAAAGATTACATTTCATCGTAATGACAAACGGATAAAAACAAGATTAGATAATATGTTGAACATCTTATGCATTTAAAAATGTTTCCCATTGGCATGTTAAAAGCACATAATCAATTTTAAAGATATTTCCTCTTCTTTTATTACGCAAGTAAGTAGGGTCAAATGAGCGGATCTAAATAATAAAAGGTGCTTACTATTTTTATCACTTTGTAATGATAATGGAAAAAAGTAATGACAATTTTGGGCAATGCTATTACTCTTAAAATAAAACAACGATAAGTTTAGAAGCAGGTCAAATTGTTCTTCAAAATTAATTTGATTACAACATCGACTATAATTTAAATGTCCGCTCTCAATTTAGTTCTAGGATTTTTTTCAGGTCACTCCTTTAAACTTATCCACCTAGTTGATTTTTCTGTTTATGATACAGGTCAACTAAAACTTCGATCTGGACGTGTACTTATTGTGGGATGTGGAGGTCTTGGGTGTCCAGCTGCAGTATATCTTGCCGCTGCTGGAGTTGGTATGTCTTATTTCAAAGCAATTTGTGTAACTCATCTTTTGTTATCTTGAGTATGTCTTACGTATCCCCAACCATCGTCTACCTTGACACGCGGTGTTTACTGTCACAGGTTCATGTTGGAAGTAAGCTAGGGAGTGAGCCGAAGCGAAACATGGCATCAGTTTATGAAGTCATTGACGTTTGGTCGGAACATTGTTGGTAAATGAAGGCTATCTGGTTGGGGATTCACGCGATAGCTGCGATCAGTGGTTGGAGACATTGGATGACATATACCAGAATCAGTCACAATAATACAAGCGCATCCACTCTTTATCAACCCCCCGATGTTGAGTCCCAATGTCACCTCATACACACCTGTTCATCTTGTCTTCTCGAGAACTATATTTTGAATGCTTGTTTTTTCTTATTAATACTATTATTATTATTATTATTATTATTATTATTATCACTGCCACAATTATTTTTACTCCTTTGTTGTTCATCTTGATATGCTAAGGCAACATGAACTAATGTACATTTATGTCGAGCTCTACGTGGGTTATGCAAATATAACACAAATTTCTTTATAATTAACAAAAGTAATCTTCTAAAAGCTCTTCTAGGGCTATTAATGTTCCCCAGCCCGGGTAAACAAGAAGGGTTGGGCGTGGGGTAGGCAACCCCATCCCATAGAAAACAAACTTGTTAAAAAAAAGCTAACCAGAATAAACAATCTAAACACTACCCTGGGAGTTGAGGGAAGAATTATGATGCCTCATGATGAAAGCCGAGGTTCTTCGGAAGTCACAAGGTCGGTGCCCTTTCTGACAACCAGAGCAACAATTTTTCTAGGTAGATGAAACGTCTGGACAATGTGGGAGATTGGGAAAATCAGTCAAATAGCAATGGAAATAAGAAGATACAATTTGGCGGTACTCGGAATCGCCGAAAACCATTGGACCCAATATGCCGCTGTACTCCGGTCACGAAGAGGGAAATGCTCCACACTCAGAGAGTTGCTCTGATGCTGTCCAAAAAAGCACGAAAAGCACTTATAGAGTGGGAATATCGCTGGTCCACGACCATCAAAACAAAGGAGGGAATCACGACGAATTTTATCCAGTGCTATGCACCCACCAATGATAACGATGACGATGATAAAGGTCAGCCCTACGAGAGACTGCAATCAATCATGGCGAAGCGCCTAAAAAAAGAACTAACCATTTTGATGGGAGATTTAAACTCCAAAGTCGGAACGGATAACACCAGGTATGAAGATATCATAGGACGATATGGACTAGGAGAAAAAAATAAAAACAGGGAGAAATTTGCTAATCTATGTTCATTCAACAAATTGGTTATAGGCGGCACTATATTCCCACACAAACACATACAAAAGCTACATGGATCTCACCGAATGACACCACGAAGAATCGGATAGATCACATTTGTATAAATAAAAAATTCAGAAAGACAATGGAAGACGTGAGAACCAAGTTTCAACAGAATAGGAAGAAAGATACATTATCGAAATACCAAAGAATGGGGATCTGAACAAATGTGAGAACTACAGAGGCATCACACTCCTGTCAGTACTAGAAAAGGTCAATTGAATTATGAAGACCTCCACATCTGAAGAGAAGCACGGAATATAGTTAACATCTTGAATGCAACTAGACGATTCGGACTTTGTAGATGACCTCCCCTTTCTATCTCATGCACACGAACAAATGCAGGTCAAGACAACCAGTGTAGCAGAAGCCAGTGCATCAGTGGGACTCAAAATACACAAGGGGAAAAGCAAGATCCTCAAATACAACACGAAGAACACCAACCCGATCACACTTGATGGGAACTTTCACGTACTTGGGCAGCATCATCGATGAATAAGGAGGATCCAATAAGCACATAAAATAAAGAATTGACAAAACAAGGACAACATTCCTACAGTTGAAGAACATATGGAACTCAAAAACAACTGTCAGCCAACATCAAAGTCAGATCATTCAATACGAACGTCAAAACAATTCTACTGTACGGAGCTGAATCTTGGAAAACTAATACAACCATCATCGAAAAGGTACAAGCATTTGTAGATAACTATATACACAAGATACTGGATGTCCGTTGGCCGGATACCATCAGCAGCAGCCTACTGTGGGAGAGAGCAAACCGAATTTCCAGCTGAGGAGTGAATTAAGAAAAGACGCTGGAAGTGGATAGGACATACATTACGGAACTCGTCAAATTTCACCACATAGTAAGCTCTAACTTGAAATCCTTAAGGGAAACGAAAAAGAGGAAGACCAAAGAACATTGCGTCGAGAATTGGGAGAAGACATGAAAAGGAGGGATAGCAACTGGAAAAGATTGTAGAGGATTGCCCAGGACAGAGTCGAATAGAGAATGCTGGTGAGCAGTCTATACTTCTCCATGGGGGGTAACAGGCATACGTGAGTAGTCTTTTAAGTCTGCATCAATGAGTCAATTTTTGAAAAAAATAATGAAACGAGAGAAATATTTCCGTAAGTATAATAATCGAAGTAGAGGATGTCTCTTAAGTAAGATGGAGTTTAATAATCAGTTTTCACTTAGTTTCGTGATATGTGCTAATCCAACCTCGTATTCTTATTCTTAACGGGTTAGATAAACTGCAGAAGTACATTGTGAAGTGAGCAAAGTGAAATACATAGTAAATTACAGTGATGAGTTTTCGATATCACTTTCATACTTTTTATTAACTGATTTTGTTATTCTAAGGCTCACATATAAAACGTTAGTTTCATATCATATAATCCCCTAACCAAGTGTGAAACAAGAGATTTGCTAATTTATTTTGAATAGCCGTAGAAAAAAATTAATGTTGCATACATATGTTGTATATCACAGTGTAAAACTAAGAAAAAATCGTTTTCATTTCATGAAAACATTACATTTTTAGTATTGTATTTACTTAATATACTATTTACACCTATTATCCCTCGTGGGGCATAAGCCACTGGTTCTGGATTTTAAAAATATCCGAATGGGTTTTATCATAAACAGTCAATGATTAACTGCTTAAGAATTTACTACCAATCGTATATATATATATATATATATATATATAGTTTTTTTATATCTTAATTGTTTTACAGGCACAATTGGTCTTGTTGATGATGATAAAGTTGAATTAAATAATCTTCATCGTCAAGTTGCACATTCAGAATCGACAATAAATATGTCAAAAGTCCATTCACTTGCGAATAGGTGTATGGAGTATGTCTATCGATTGTAATATTATTATATTCAGATTAAATTCAGCGGTTAATGTACAAGCACATGAGATTCACCTGGATCACACGAATGCAGTTGGCACTATAAAAGCGTAAGTAGAATAACAAAGAATATTTATGATCTTGAAATTCTACCTTATTGTAAGTAGTCGGGTGGAAACCTCGGCTTGAGTTTCGTACTAGTTGGGATTAGTAAATAATATTGGCAAGTTTATTTTTTATCTGTGGCCATCATTTTTGTTAAATTTTTGTGTATTTTATAATGAAACAATTTATATTTTATCATCCGATTACTGTTAATTTGGTTTACAATTAAAACACGAATTTCAGCGAAGAGATCTCTTTTCAATGAATTTATTATCAAGCTGTACAATCGTATATATATGAAAATTTTTGCTTTTGTAAAAGTACTAATTCCGTGAGGGAATGTGAACACAGTTAATAAAAGTGGAAAACGACCAACTCCGTTCAATGATCAATCGATTCCACCTATACGTGAGATACATGGACGACACGTTTGTTGTTTGTGACAATAATATTGATTTAGATGATATTCTGCACACCTTTAACTCGTGCCACCCTTCCATAGACTTCACGTTAGAAAGGGAACGAGACCAATCCATTCCTTTTCTCGATGTACGTCTGATGGGAAAGAGTAATGGTTCTTTAAAAGATCCATTTTTAGAAAACAAACATGGAATGGCCAGCTAACCAACTTCTATAGCTGGGTTCCGTTAAGTAGGAAGAGAAACCTTATCCATTCTTTATGCTATCGCATACATCACATATGCAGTACGGAATGCATTAACGAAGAACTCGCATTCCTCAAGAAGACTTTGACGGAAAATGGTTACCCAGAACGGTTCATAGAAAAGAATATGAATAGAAGTAGTCGCGACAAGAATTCTAGTTGTTACGTTCCAAAGAAAAACCTTTATATAAGTCTGGAATTTAAAGGTGATCGAACATCAGACGTAATCAAAAATCGTCTAACAACAACTATTAGAAGAACATTTAACGCGGCAAAACTGCGAATATCCTTCACTAGTAGAAACTTATTTTCTGTATCCATAAAAGATAAGCTTCCGCGTCTGGTCGCCTCCATGTGCATCTACCAGTTCACCTGCTCTTGTGGAGCAAGGTACATTGGCCGTAGCCAGCGCTCGCTTTCAACTCGGATACGGGAACATATTACTGCTTGGTTCTATAAGGGGGAAAGGAAAGCAGTTAGGAGTTCTATACTTAAACACTTAATCGACTATAACCATTCAACAGATCCACAAATTGACTTTAAGGTTGTTTATATGATTCGTTCAAATCTACCCAGATTTCTTCGTATCCAACTTTTAAAAATAGCCGAAGCTCTTACCATCCAGGAGCTTAAATCAGAACTATGCGTACAAAAAAAGTACGTCTTATCGTTATCGTTACCTTGGCCTTAATTATTTTGATTATCCTATTATTATTATTATTATTATTATTATTATTATTACTGCATTCCCCCTTTACTTATGTCTTATATCCTCATTGTTTTATTCATGAACGCTCATCATATCACCATATTTATTTTTACACCTCTATGACCTTTAATTATTATATCAAAAACATTTTAATCATCTTATTATATTCACTAAATCTATAGTTATTATTCGTATTACGTAATCTAGTATTATAACCTTTTTATTAACTGTGTTCACATTTCCTCACGGAATTTTCATATATATACGATTGTACAGCTTGATAATAAATTCGTTGAAAAGAGATCCCTTCGCTTGTCAATTTGGTTTACTTCTGTTGTACTACACAGTGAATTCGGTTATTCTGATAAATTCAGTTAAGTGGAAAGAATTGCGTACACCTAATATATTTATCAGTCGTTAAATAAATTATTGAAATCATACTTAAATCTCATCATTTCTAGTTCGAATTTAGATCTTTAAAAATTAATAATGCGGAGCTCAACCTTATCTCGTCACACCGATTTTTTCTATGTTGGAACTCATTCTAAAAGTTTTACAGTGGATAAATGATTTTTTTCTCTTAAACAACAGATATGATGTAGTTGTAGACTGTTCAGATAACTTGGCAACACGTTACCTTATTAATGAAGCATGTGCAGTAACTGGACCTAAACCATTAGTTAGTGGTAGCGCCTTACGTTTGGAAGGACAAATGACTGTATATCTTACCAAGCTAATTCTCCCCTCAGAAGAAGTGTTGTCTTCTAGTAACCTTCCTGCAGAGTACCGAGCTCCATGTTTTCGTTGCCTTTATCCTGTTCCACCACCGGCAAGTAGTGTTCAAGGATGTTCAGAAGCTGGTGTTTTTGGGGTAGGTAAGTTCCACGTGAACTTGATAATTTAAGCACTTTTGTATATTATTTGATTTATCATCTTAAAAATCATCTGAACGTGAATTGCAACTCTTTAGAGATTTCGATAGAAATATCAATTTAAATTTGAATATTCTTGTGTGGATTTCTTAGACTTTTTACTAATTAAAGTCAAAGAAGTGATATTTTCTAACTAAATCCAAATTTTCTAAATTATTATTTAAAAGTCATTCCAAAACCGCTATGGTAACTGAAATAGGTGAGCAGATAATTACTGTATGAGCTGATGTGTTAGTTGTTTATTGAATTGAGCCTACTAAAAAATTCTTATGTAATCTAATATGTCGAAACTATCTGTAGAGTTATGACAACACTTAGCAATAAACTTGTTTAAGCCTGTTTCCAAATAAATGTCTGCTGCTAATGTCTTCTGTCATACTTCACATGTATACCAAATGTCTATAGAACCGATAAAAGCTTTTTTTCCTTACTCTGTTCATTCCTAATGTTGAGAGCATCATTTTAAGGTTGAACTAACCTCTGTACTTTTTAACTGCATAAATTCTAAGGTAAGCTGATAATAAAGTGTGTTCTATAATATCGACAATTCGTACTACTCATCATTTATTGTCTTGCTTTTATGGTTGCTACTAAATTTAGGGAATTCCTTTTAAGCCAATAGACAGATAGCAAATGTTAATTGCATCAAGACTGTAAAAGGTGCAAGGAATGTATTGCCAATTGTAATCTATCATCCAGCACTTGAAAGCATCCAACACTACTCCCCTGGTTAAGGTCCTAGAGGATGATGCAATTTATTGACTTGAAACGTTACCAGACATAGATCAGAACAAAAGCTAATGGCAACCCCACTGTGGTTTCCTTTTAATTTCTTCATAATAATGAGAGCCATTCGCTTAACTGAAAAAATCCTTTGGGATTCCATTTGTAAATGAACTGTTTCTCTTACTATATATAGTTATGTCCTATGGCCCGTCAGACATCACATGACAAAATCGCTAATCAGAATCCCAACTACTGTGACCTTGTCCCTGTGCCAAACCAATGACACGTCAGCCAGCACTAGTTGCCTTGAGTCAAGTCTTAATCCTCGTCCAACCCAACCCGTTCAGTCCGGAAAGCAAATGTCGGCCTCCACCATATGAATTGTATATTTCAGACATAGGTGGTTTATATGCAAGCAGATCAGACCGCATCATATAAAATGAAAAATAATTGTTATACATGATCAAGCCAAAGTGGTTGTGGGCATAATAGAATGTAACTAATGATTGGGAATAAATTAAGAATAGCAAATCGTATAACAGTAGTCAATAGGTCAAATGAAAGCTTATGATAAAAGGAATGCCAGTATATATGTGATCTAGTTACCTAATAATTATCCAATAAGAATATATGTAATAATAGTCCATTCATTTATTCTTCGTTCGGATAGAACATATACTACGTTCGTTCACTTATTTGTTTTTGATTGCACATATTCTCCTTTATCCATCCACATTTTCGTTCCCGCATTTATGTAACGCATATATATTTTGGTGCCTAGCTGTACTAGTATTTGCATATTAAATCAATAAACTGACCTGAAAAGATGTTGACTGGGTTTAGGCTTCAATTTGAATAGAGTTGTCTCTTTAGATTTGTTTCAAGATGATAGAGAGTATTAGTAGCTCAGGATGAGGATGTTGGAGTAGTGATCTCTGAGCTGGATGGCTATGTTCTATTTACCGAACGTTATAGTGTTTGAGAAGCAAATAGAGGCACCCTATTTCCTGTTGTATGCAACTTCAATACTTTCATTTGGCTTTTTTGCTAACTCATATCAGAAGTCTGATAACTACATATGTGTTATCTAGACAGAAACACTAATTAATTTACTCTTTGAAAAGTAGTCTTTCCCAGTAAAATTTATATTATCCCATTATTCTTGATCCTTACCATTTTCAGCCGCTTGTGCTTATTGTTGCAAGGCCTCCACCAATGATTCTTATGCTGTTTTGAGTAATCATAAATGACTTCATAAACTGGTGCCAATTTTGATTTGAACAACTGTGAATCTTTTCAACTAATGCTGTCCAAATTCAATAAAAATGTGCACAATTGAAATAACTCGTGACATTAGTTCAGTCAATTCAGCTATTGCAACTTAAGCCAAAATAGCATTATTCGTAGCCAAAGTGTTGATTTTTAAATTATCGCCTGTGCTGATGCAAATGGATTATTTTTATCTTATTCACCAAACTGCTGAACATTTGCGTCCAATTCTGATATATTTTCTCTAAATTACAACATTATGTAATCTATTATAGGATTAATTAGTTTGTGCTTGAAATGAATGAACTTCGCTGATTATGTTGATTCTTACATCAGAATTTCGGTGAATCCTAAATATTCTAATATTACTTTATCTTCAGGTTATTTAATTTCATATATTTAATCTACAATTACCCGAATGAACGGTCGAACGTTAGCTTCTATCTGTGTCATGGAAGTAGTTGCTAGAATATCTGAATAGTTGCCTCACTTTTCGATAATTCATAAATTTAACGTTCAGTAGTTAATAGGCTCCAATGTTACGTTTTCCTTCGACCAGTTGATAAAATAATTTGCAATATTATGAATGAAGATAGCTAATCCTGACTTATTTTAGTTCCAGGTATCATCGGCACTATGCAAGCTGCTGAAGTCATCAAAATATTGACTGGTGTTGGTGGTGAGTTTTTTTTAACAACTAAAAGCCTTTGGTCATTCTAGCTCATCTCTAAGTTTTTCCTAATTAAACTAAACATTTAGTCTTCATTCAGAGTTATTCATCAATGATGAAACTGTTTTTATTCTTCCGGTTTATCGGCACAAATAACTTAATTAAACTGAACTGGTATACACTAATGAGCTTTTATGAGCTCTACAGCAAGACTCACGCAAATTATCATCTTACACTTGTTTCTGTTATCCTAAAATTACCATTTTTCTCATGAGGTATACAAGTTGCTGCCCATGGTTGCTTGCCATCAGTTGAGGTTAATAGTGCCTGGTCCTAACGCACGACCAACTCAACTAAGACTGTTGGGAGCTTTATTTTCAAAAGCTGCGTTACTATCCCCAGAATTCATGCGCTTATGTTCAGAATAACCCAAAAAATAAATGTAGGTGATGGCCTTGTCCGGATGAATAACTTACAAAAATCTTCCAATCTGCATCTCTTACCGAATAGTCGTGCGATAGCATATAAACCTTCCATTTTTTTAGTCCATTCTTTTCAGTCTATGTTAATTCAGTTATATTCAAAATAAACTTATGTAGATTATTTACTATTTTTTTGTTCATCTAAAAACTACATCTTACAAGATAACTATAATATATTTCTCAGAATACAGTCAGGAGTAAATTCAACTATACTAATTAGATTGCTCTTAAATCATAGAGAGTGCTTCACTCAAACTTGTTTCTATTACCATATAGAATTCATTCTGATGGCCTTTATTTTCTAAATTTGTTATTACCATTATACTATTGTATAGTGAACTCCCTAAACTCAGGTCAACACAATCAGATTTGATATCGTTAAAAATAAAATAAATATGAACCAGTTCAATAGTTTTTGTTCCATAAAATCTATAATTTATTTACTGTTCTCCTAATCATTACATCTGATACAGCTAAGGCATCACATGTGGGACTCCGAGCATGTTTCCGAGACGTTGGTAGTTAACTAGCGCCTGTATTGCTCACTTTTGAATACTTTGACTATAAAACAATAGAAAAGAGCTCAGTAATTTATTTTATACTCTTTATAATTACCCAGATGCAAGTTGTTCAGTTTTAGTGTACGTTTACTGTAAAAGAGATTTTGTACTGTTGATCAACTTGGTAGTTTATATTAGTTAACGAGTTTGTGTGTAGTTGATATTTTTCGTTCCAATGATTTTAAAATAGAAGTACACTTTATCGCAACTAAGACAAATATATAAAGAAATAAGTGGTAATGTAGTTTGATAATTCAACAGACACACTAATGAAATGAGGAATCAAAATCATCTAATATAAAATGAAAATCGAACTATTGTTTGAGTTCACTTTGATTGGATGAAAGCTTTAATTAATTTGTACTTCGATTGTAGCGTTCAGTACTCATGTAATCTGACGTCCAAAATTAAATTCTAGTATATATGCTTGGGGAATAATTAAACTTCGTTATCTAATGTAAGCATAATGTTGTAACGAAAAAGCATCTATCACTTATTTCGTTGTTTATTCGAGAATGAACATTTTAACCATGAAGAAAGAAGCTTTGAGATCTAAGTAATACTTGTTTACAACCTTGCTCCATTTCAGAAAGTCACTCACTGTATAATCCTATCACATTTAAGTTTGATAAATATACTCAGCTATAACGATGGTTTCACCTGGATACTTATTATTTCGTAACCTGTATATTTTCGGTTTTATTTTTACATAGCGAACCTATGTTAATTCTTTCGAACTTTCTGTAACTTCGTAGGTATCATTACCAATGTTTGACTTGGTAATTTCGAATAAACTGAGCATTGGGTAGTTTGTTATAAATAAATATGTTTGTAATATCCTACTAAGTAGGAAAAATAGATCTTCCACTCATTGGGATATTACATATATATTAATTTATTTCTGTAACGTCAATTGAAGTGTATTATTAAGATATATTTTAACATACTTTCTGATAGTCTAGATAATTTCAAATTTTTGTCTATCAAAATTCGTTTTAGATGTTCACACGGGTCGACTATTTCTTTTGGATGTTGAACGTAATTTGACTCGTTCAGTAAAATTAAGGGAACCCAGACCAGACTGTCCTGTATGTGGAAATGATGCAGTGAGAAACAGTGTAGACGGACCTTTAACTAATTATGTTTTATTCTGTGGAACACCCAGTTGTGATAAGGTATTTATCACTTTATTATTATATAATATTGTTTAAATATCACACAGTAAGTTGTCGTTAATTATCTTACTAGAGGATGATTGTGAGGACGTGCTACTCATCTTGAAAATTGACTCCAATTTAGAACTGCACAGCTCTTAACAGCTCACTGAACAAAGCGTTATCAACAATTTTAAATTAAATAAATATTGTGGTCTAGTTTCAATTGGCTCATGATCTCAACTATTATAAAAAATGACTTAAATCGCATACATTAGTTTGATATGTCTGAACATTTAATATCTCGATTCCTCCTGCATGGGATTTGTACCTGTCGTACAACATTTTTATTGTATCATTACCAAAGCTTACAAATTTCTACTTTATTCTTACCAGATCACTGAGTCACTTCCCCGATCTTAGCTTTCTTTTTCGGATCAAATTTCCTTGATGCTTTCTGATACAAAAGCAAATGGTGATTAGATTTCAAACCCTTCACTTAATTGAAGCTCAAAATATTGGATACTATAACTACTATACTATCAACTGAGTGAACCGTACTATGTGCAAAATTAATCGCTCTTATGAATTATTCGTATCACTGCTCTTACATTCACTCACAATCTACAGTTTCACCACTTTTCTTCAGAATTCAATGAAAATAAATATTTCTGTCTGATTTTATTCAGGTACCAAAATTAAAGTTAGTCTAGTCCCTGTTATATATATGGATTGTGATTGTTTTCAAATGTTTGTTTATAATATATTTGTTTTTTAATTAGGCAGTATATTCCAACAGCCAATTTTTTAAATACACATTGAAATTCGATATTAATTGAAGAACAATTTGATATTGAAATTCTTCGTATGAAAGTCTTAAAAATAACGCACTTGTATATCGCATTACTTTTTATTTGCAGCCGCGCAATATGAACATGACAATGAACAGTCATCGTATTACAGTTCAAGTAAATACGACACCATTTTGTATCTAACGTTTTTTCCTTTAGCAATTAAAAGGCTATATTGACTCTCAATCACCATATTTGCTTATCGATGTTCGTCCGAAAACTGAATTCGACATATGTCATCTAAAGTCATCTATGCGTAAGTTACACTTGCATATCATATTATTTTTTTATTTTTTGTACAAACGATTTGGTTGCGTGATGTATCCCATTCATTTATTAAAAATATGGCCATCCAGTGCTTTCAGGTTTTCAATGGTGGTCTAGCTTAGAATGAATCCTGAATTCAACTGTTAAAAATATTAAAAATACCACAAGCACTAATTTTGTGTGTCACCAAAGTCAAATAAAACCTAATCCCTCACTATCTATAATTGTAACTTGTCTGCAAATATCAGTTTTTTCCAGGTGAAATGTAAATACTATGGTGTGTTTAATGATTTAAGAATAGACGTTAAGCACCTGGCCACTCAATCATAAAATCTTGAATGATATAATTGCGTGAAATTAAGCTTGATTTGAACTGCTGAACCTGCTAATAGTCTTTAGTATTCAACCTAAAATTACAGGACAGGACATTTTCTATACGGACTAACTTCCTGACGTTCATATAACGTTACGATTTACTGATAATTTCCTTTCCTTTCAGTAAAGATTCAACTCTAGGGATTATTATAATAATTAATTGGTTTTTAATGATTTAACTAGCCATCTATCGGTAAATAATTTATGATAAATACTACTTTTTTGTAGATGTACCCATAAGTGAGCTTTTCCGTGATTCAGTCATATCAGAAATTCGACAAATGATGGATACCCAAATTAGCAAAGGAGCTACTTTACCTTTTCCTGGTATGCATTGGTTTTGATCAGTACGATTATTGTTGTAAACTTGCTGAATTTGATTTTAAAACAGACCATTATTAGCTTTGTTATTTGTATTTATTCTCAGTAAATTAGTAAGGTTTAACCGTTACATATCTTTTTGCTTGCCTGTAGGAGACTTTTATTTGCTATCCTATGAATAAGTGCATATCAGTCGTTAATTCGAGGCTCTCACCTGTTTATAGACAGAAATTTCAATTGATTAGATTCATGTGATACTTGGATTTCACCTTATTTTCAATCTTTATGCACAGTGCCAGTGATAAATTCATGTAGCAATCTAGGGTTAATCAGAAACACACTGGCTTCACACATTCATTATAGTTTATACTAAATTTCCCAGCTTTTGTTCGATGACCGTTGAAAAGTCTTCCGCTACGGTGTTAACTTCAATTGATATTCTACATAGTCTACTTAAACTGTCATAGATACAATAAAGTATTGAAATTAAGAGAATTTCAAATATCTCATCCTAACTATAATTTTTTATTTTGACCATAAAAACATGTCAACAAATGTTTTTTTTCAATTTGATTCATTGTTTAAAATTCCTTCCCTCTTTTTTATCATTCTTTTTGTGATTTCAGTAATTCTCTTGTGCTATCGTGGTAATAAGTCGGCAGAAGCTGCACCACTTTTGAAAAGCGCACTATTATCTCTCCGATGTTCGAATTCTGATCATAATCTAAATGGTAAAGTTAATGATTCGATACAAGAAGAATTAAAGAGCTCTAATACTGAATCCAATCCTAGTGACTTCATAGTTTGTGATGTTGCTGGAGGTCTTTCTGCGTGGTCAATGGAGATCGATCCCAACTTCCCTATATACTGACTCGCTCAAACTGTTATTTTTATTAAACTAGGAAATCATTCAAAATTCCAACCTAATTAATATTTCATGTGTACTTATATAAATAAAGTTGGTTTCTACATTTTCTTGGATTTAACTCTAATATCACCATTATGGCTGTGTATCCATCTGTGAAAGTGTGAGCAAAGTAGGAACTAGAAATATATATATATATATATATATATATATATATATATATATATATAGCTGATATGAAACTGCTATGAGCACGGATAATTTTGGATTGAATCTACAATTACCAATACAATTGCGTTATTTTTTAAACCAAGGTTATACATCCAGGTGCTAATTGGCATAATTACTCTCGAATGATATTGTTGTCAATTGATTTTCTTTAGATTGTATGCTTAAAACCTGTATGGTTTACTAGAACTATCTTTTAAAAGTAATTACACTCATCAGTAAACTATGTTACTTCTGAATACCGACTTATATAGTTCTCTCTGATTTGCATCTTATAAGATCTTACCACTTTTATAAATACAGTAGTTTCATATTTATCTTAGTTTTTGAATGAAAATTGAACTTTTAAGAGAGGGATATTTTTACCGTTCCCGTTAAAATTCGATTCCTTCCAATAAAACATAATTACTTACTTATGCCTGTTACTCCCAATATAGCATAGGTCGCCAACCATCATTCTCTAACCCACTCTGTCCTGAGCCTTCCTTTCTAGTCCTATCCAATTGTTGATCATTTTCCTCATGTCTGTCTCCATTTATCTGCGTAATGTGTTCTTTGGTCTTCCAATTCTCCTTTCGCTTTGCGGATTCCAAGTGAGGGCTTGCCTTGTGACGCAGTTGGGTGCTTTCCTCAATATGTGTCATATCCACTTCCAGCGCTTCTTCCTGATTTATTCATCTGCTGTGATCTGGTTTGTTCTTTCCCATAGGTTGTTGCTGATAGTGTTTGGCCAACGGATACGACGCGTTTTGCGTAGACAGCTGTTAATAAACACTCATGTCTTCTTGATGATGGCTTTCGTAATCGTCCAAGTTTCCGCCCCATACAGTAGAACTGTGTTAACATTTGTATTAGAAATTCTAACTTTGATGTTGACAGTTGTTTTGAGTTCCAGGTATACTTCAGTTGTAGATATGCTTCTCTCGCTTTGCCGATCCGCGTTTTCACATCTGCACCAGATCTACCCTGCTCATCAATAATGCTGCCCAAATATGTAAGGGTTTTTCGTCTTCCAAATCTTCTCAACCAACTGTGATTCGATTGGTGCATGCTGTGTTGTATCGGAGAATCTTGCTTTTCCCTTTGTGTATATTGAGACCTACTGCTGCTGAGGCTGCTGCCACACTGGTCGTCATCTCCTGCATTTGTTGTTGCGTGTGCAGTAGAAGAGCCAGTTCATCTGCGAAGTCTAGGCCGTCCAGCTGCATCATAGCTGTCCACTGTATCCCATGTTCCTCTCCAAATATTGACATCATGATCCAGTCGATCATCAGGAGAGAGAGAAAGGGTGAGAGTAAGCAACCTTGCCTGACACCGGTCTTTAATTCGAACGAGTCTGTCAGCTGTCCTCCATGCACGATTTTGCAGTTTAATCCATCATTGGAATTCCGTATGATATTGACTATCTTTTCAGGCACGCCGTAGTATCGAAGAAGCCTCCATAGTGTTATCCCGTCCACTCCATCAAATGCTTTCTCATAGTTGATGAAGTTGATGTAGAATGGTGAATTCCATTCAATTGATTGTTCCACAATGATCCGTAGTGTTGCAAATTGGTTGCAAAATATCATTGGTTCTGTGAAAATCCCCCTAGTAGATTTGAACTTCGTTTATTGTTTATAGACAAATTTTCCTGGCAAACAACACATCATTTTAAACATACCAATATCCCGTAATGTGTTTGTGTGTTATATGAGTTTAAAATCATGTCTTCTGTATTAAGGAAGATAAATAATTTATAAAAGCAAATAAACGTAATTGGTTTTATATTTTTGGTATTTAAATTACAATATATGACTAGGGTCTCTCCATGGGAACAACATTTTTAAGCTTCTAATGTGAGTCTTTAATTGGATACTATGTATATACATTAATATCCAACCAAAAAAATTTACAGATTTGTTCCACTACTTTGCAACTCTCTTTTGAAAATGTTAAGTATTTATTTCTCTATCTTTAACCTAAGTCAGGATGAATAACATATTCTTTTGGTTGTCTTTCCAATAAATGTAAATAATGTGACCCAGGGTAGTCGTATTTAGCCGTACTTGATATTCTGTAAGGAGGTAAGTGATGCCAACTGCAATACATCCAGTGATCCCTTCTTTCTTGCTTAGTCAGTAGATCTAAATACTTGAGATGCGTTGAACCATCACTTCGAGAAAACACGGGGTGTGGTGTTTTGTTTTGATCCCAGTTAATGCTGCAGAAAATATTTAAATTTATGCGAAGAATAGCATTATCTCTGTATTATTTAAACGTGCCTAGTTAAAAATACTTGGATGTGAGGACTAAGAACCAAGTGAATATTGTATATCCTGTAATGTGATTATCTTCTGTCAGGCCTCAAAAATTCAAAATATGTGTTCCTTTGTCATGTACCTTTATTCACCATATAATTAAAATAGTTCAGTTAATGCAAAGACTTCTTAAAATATACATGATTAACAAAAATATTTTCAGTTTATGCTTAAGAATTCTTAAACCAAATGTTTTTGATCGCGTTACAAAATGTTTGATAATTAGAGCAGAAATGATTTTCCTGGTGTGAAAAATGAGATTACTTTCCACAAAGAATAAAAATTAATTTCATATACAGTATCACTGTTGTGTAAGAAGCTTAATAAACTGGGGAAGTAATAACAAAGCATAAAATAACCATTGCCTTATCTTTCTTAAGGAGACGAAATAAGAATAGTCATTGAAGGTTTGTCAACTCGAAAGGAAAGAATTTGTTCTGATACATCCTGCTCCGAATCATTTTATGCTTACTAGTTAGATTAAGATCCTAGTTCTTGCGAGCCTCAGACGACGTTCATTTTGATTATTTGTAAGAATCCCTATTCTGGTCGTTGGTTATCATGTTCATGGAAAGTATCAAATGGGATAGGCTTTAGTTCCTCACTCACAGATCTATCGATCACCCCTTCCACTATTAAATGAAAAGCGAGCTTTGTTGCCTTAGCTGAATAATATTGCTTGTAACTCGTAATTAATATGTCCGGACTGGCCCAAAGAGAGATATCTAGGTAGAAGCCCGTCCAGACTTGTATTTCTCTCTTACCATATAGCCTTACGACAGTATATGATCTGTACGGCCTTGGCTAACATATCAATTATACTTAATTATAAGTATGGAGATTGAACTAACTGTGTATGAAGACTTAGAGGGCTAGTAAATTCGCCAACCCATTCGGAAATCTCGAAAATATTTAGAAAACATGCGTGCACCTGTCTAGATTTTCTCTGATCACAATATATTGACAAATGTTTACTGTAAATTACTTTTACTTTTTTTGTATCTTACCAAAACATGGCACAAATCCATGAAGTCACTGACAAGTGCACTGAGCCATGTTGGTGGTTGTAGACTACCTGGTTGAGACGATAGCAACCGATGGTCAGAGACCTTGAACGACATGACTCAAAATTGTTTGCAATAGCGACGGTGCATCCACTCTTTGTGTTCTTCTGAATTCTTCATCTTCTTTTCTCTTTCCAAATTTATTTCAATGGATTATGCTCCTTGAATAACATTTTCAAATCCTAGTTTTTCCGATTACTGCTTATACTTTTACTACCTCTATTACTACGGGATTTGAATCGACAATTGTATCTCTGTGCTAATGTAGTATGGCAAATCGAAATGATGTACTTACGTCGTTGATGACTGACTGAAATATAACTGAGTTTTACCAGCCATCTTCATAGAAGTATTTATTTGTACACAGAAATATTGGTAGAAAGTGTCACCGAATACATATGCGCCACATTTTGTCATTCGATTTGAGTGAGAGCTGGGATACTGCCCGGGTGTCCAAACCGAAGCAGGTGGTTTTCTTAGGGGACCACACCCTGAGCCTTTGACTTAGAGGTCTAGTCCACACGGCGATGGGGCAACGTAAGGAGATTCAGTCCTATGGTAGCCGGTAACTAACAGTTGGATTATACACCATTGGTTCCTTCAGAATCTTGGAGCCCATGTGCACAATTGGCTTGAAATCAGGTTTTCCGACTCCGTATCCACCAATCCGGTTAAAGCCGGGACACTCGCTTTTCATCCTCTCAATTTTGTAAACAACACTCCAGCCGCGATAAGGCAGTGAGTAGGACTTCCCTAGCAGTGGCTCTACGCACGTAGCCATATGAGAGCATTTCGATAGGCAGAGCGAACTCCCCACCCTCGGCCCTACTAGGGCATTTAGGGGACATAGAAGTATTTCAGACTCTTGCTCCGGGTTCTTAAGATTAATTTGAAGTGACATTTAGTCAATATATTTAGTATGTTATTGCATATAATTATTAGATAATATGTTTACCGGTGTTTTATTGTTTGGGGATGTACGTTATTTTACTTATCCTACGTGGAACTATTTGATCATCAAGTCATTTTGTTTTCTGGCAACTGGATAAGATATACAAAGAAATCATTGTCATAACTAATAAGCGCATATTAGCATTTGGTGAAATATTTGAGATTATGAGGACGATAATATTCAGATTGCGCAGTTGATTGGACTTTAATTCGACCTCTTAACAACATTTTGGCTATCCATAAACCGACATATTAGCTAAACTATAATTTGTTTAAGTTGAATGCCAGAAAGGTGCTTGCTGTTATGCACAATAATATTGTTACCGTATGTGTGTTACTTCTTTTTTTTACTCAAAAAATATCACAAGCTAGCTCACTTCTTAACTCGTTTCATAGCAATTTGAAATTGAGTATCAGTTAGTTGATCTTGTTCGTTTGTCTCACGGTAGAGCTTGTCTATCAATTCCAATGCAGTTGTGCGCTCTAAATTTAACAAAATATGGGTGAAATGATATAATTGAGTCAGAAATTAATAAGAATAGGATTTATGTGTTCAATGCGTGGAAAATTAAATAAGGGCAAACAGTTTTAATAACCAAAAATTTTCTTCAACTCACAAGGAAACTTAATGCGTTTCACTAAATAAATCAATATTACAGTGTTTCAAACACATTTAACTTTCACTACATAAAGAATTCTATATGACAAATGCTTACTATGGCCGTTAAAAACTTGGAATTGAATAAAACCTTTTTAATATTAAACGTATATTTCAAACTATAGATATCAAGTTACTTAAATACTGTTGACAAAACTCCTTTGGTAATTTAATTGTTGCTTTTATTCTATATGATAAAAGAACCATCATCTGATACATAGTAATAAAATACACGTGTATTAAAAATCAAGTTCTGTCAACTAATTTACTTGAACATGCACAGATGTCTGTAGAGATTGTTGTATTTCGCAATTTACATATCGGACTGGCTTTGATTAGAAAACCAGGAATCAGTGGATAGATGTTTCGTTGTGGTATGCGGCTCAGAAGTGCACATCCATGGCATTCGGTTTTGGACCCAGGACGTTCAAAACTCGTAGCGAGCCCTTAAACTTTAAACAACTGAGCCAACATCCAGTGGTTTACATGACTAATTTCGGCCAATTCACGATGTTTTGCAGCGGTGCTGCATTGCCGTTACTCGCGACGTGGTTGGTTCCATTGGTTACGGCTTCTCACTAAACTCCGGGACTTACCTTTCGAAAGTAGTCACTAATGAACACGTGATAAGTGATTGCTGAATTTGTATACATACAAACACAATGAATTATAGATGAACTCCGCATTAGCTTCCTGTTTTTCATAATCTCAGCAGCAGACAGTCAGGGCTGATATTACTTGCATCTAACTAATGGAACATAAAGGACAATGTCAGTAACCTGAGAATCTAACTCAGCTATTACTATGTCATAATGTATTTCATACTTAGTCTTCGCTTATCCACGCCGCTCACTGGCATGTTTATTTAAGTATTTTCTATTTTTGTACTGAACTAATAGATGCTCAGAAATGTCCCGTCAGGATCCGAACGCTATGTGGAGCGAAGGCAACTTAAATATAGGCTGATGGAAAATCGAACCAGAGATTGTAAAATGTGCTAGGCAAGCTATAGGTAACAGTGGACAACTTTTAAAAATTACCAAAAATCATATTAGGTATTCGGGAGATAGGGGAGCTTTCTCTGCCAAAGGTGTGACAGTGATCCACTTTCAACCCTGGATGGTGGAACGATAAACAGAACATCCTGGAAACCAAGTTAAATGCTCTCCAGCTACCATAGAGTGTCCTACTTTTACCAAGAAACCTAAATAGGATATCGACATAACCTCCCCAACTGATGAAGTAGAAAAAGTCATATCTGATTTTGATCGGATGAAATCAGTAAGCTCTAATGGATTAACTTCTAAACAATTTAGAGAAGGTATTTCAGATTGCCTGAGATATCACGTACAGCCTCACAACTGAACTTAATCCCATCTAACTTGTCTTGATCGTTGATAACTTCAGTCTGTAAGAATGAAAAAATTCTCTTGTAGTAACTCCAGAGGAATCAGTTTAAGTAACATATTGTCTGAAACGCCGGCCTCAGTAATCATTCAACCCTTAACTAGGGCTCGTGAAGAGCAAACTTGTGGAAAACAAGCTAGTTACAGAACTGGACAAATCCGTGGAGCAAATATTTACCTTTTGGCGGTTTCTGTAAAACAGATACACTTGTAGTAAGCCCATTCAACTACTGCATTATTTATCTGCTCACTGTAATTTAGACAGTTAATCCACTTTGTAATTTTCTGTGTGAGTGTGATTGAGCACCTTGTTTGCACATCAATTTTTAATCTATTCTCCCATTGGTTGTAATGCACAAACAATCAATAATTTATCCATATTTGATTAATACTCATAAATATGTATGGATTTTTAACACACACTCTTGATTTCCCTATGTGCTTGCTTCATGAACGTTTTCGGATTTTACCAATCTTTAACAATAAACTATCTCGATGACAGGTGTTCAGGCTTTCGGATAATCTCGAGTAAATCTATAATTCTACTAGGAGATTTAGCCTTCATTAAATACTCAGTCAACGGGATACTATTTATTGGAGTCAGATATAGGGGAAATCAGCCTCTACACACTCTTCAATGTCCTACTATAGTTGTATTCCTTGACCTCAAGGCCGTGTTGCAATCGCACTGGGGCATTGACTCCTTGTTTCTCTTCAGATCCTAAGTTTTGAAATAACTCAAATGTTTTTTTTATTATTTCACTAATCTATTTTTTCTCGAACCGTATCTTCGATGTCTAATGTTTTCTATTACCATTAATACTATTTCCACCTGAGATTTGCTGTGACTGACTGATGTAGCAACCTGATATGATGTATACATGTCCCAGGTCCCACGATGCACATGAATGAATTTGTATCACAACTCTACATTGCTGGTGAATTTATAGTCTCATAATTGAAAAATTAGCTGAATATGAGAATATAAACATTTACTGTTCAATATAAAAATAATTTATAAATAATTCTGGCGAAACGCGCATCCTGGATTCCACTGCTAGCCACTATCCATCATTGCTTACAAAGAGCTTGTGAATTAAGGCAATATCGAGGCATACGCACAGTGTGCACATATGCCAATAACAGACTGATCAATTGCAGTCTTAAACCTCAATGGGATCATACAAGCCAAACAATACCAAGTGAATAATTCTTTAGGCTTGTAAACAGGCTCATGAACAACTGAGATATGATTACTAAATGCATGCTTCAAGGTAATTTGCTAATTAAAACTGTTGCATGTAGTGATTTTTTTAACCGTCTACTTTGTTTTATAGAATAGATAGATTGTGACTAGCAGCGTAATCCAGAACTCAAATTTCATCTTACCTGAGATCAGTTAGCTGGATGTACTTGCGCTGGTGTTTGAAGGGAAGCGTGATGTGTTGGAGTTCATATGTGGTCATCAATACTATAGTGCATGTGCATCCATATGACAAGTTCAAAAGAAGGCTAAACGAACATCCGGGATTTGACTCCCAGACATGAATTACCTATTCTGTAAAACTTTTTAGGTGACCACATTGAGGTAAGCCGCACAGATTGCATACATGACAATGAAAACTGACCAGAATTCAGTCAAGAATACCAACATCAGAACAGTCCAAACATTTACAAGTTGAAACATTTTACCCTGGTTAAAATATAAATCGTGATGACCCTGTTGTATATGTATTGGTATATTGCAAAGAATAACACTGAGCACTGACAAATATTTGTACGGATACATTTTCAGCTGAAATGATCTGTTTGCGTGGATTGCAAGTTCCTTATAAATAAATTACTTTTCATATTTGCTTTATGCATCTATATAAAAATTCTGTTTAACATTAAATACAAATAATGCACCATGATTGTTACCACAGCTTTTATTCTTTTGCTACTTTGTATGTTCACAGATCAATCATTTTGATATAGATACGTAGATTATAGAAATCTTTATTTTTCTAGTTTGTAGAATTACTTTAAACTATCAACCTTACTATTAACAAAACGTCCAAAGTTCTCTAAACGTAATAAATTTCGAGTCTTATTTTCAAATTTGAAATCGTAATTTTCCATTTCTTATAATTTAGGGGATGGCTTGTAACTAGAATTGCCAGTGAAATTGTTATCACTTCATTGGACTATACTGAAAATTATTAGTCAAGCCTCACATTTACTACTCTCATACATTTCCTGAAACATAATTATCCACTTACCTAATGGTGAAGCATCTGTTAACCATCTACGAACATATCGTTCAGCCTTTGGTGACATAATAGTGGAGATTGGATCTTTTGATGCGAAATCATTACTGGATGTAGAAGTTGTGTTTTTCTGAGTTAGGTTCTCCTTCGAATCAGACTTCTGTGAATTGAAAACATTTATTGCAATGTTACAGAAACTAGCTGATAAGAAATACACTCTAGTTTAATCATCAAATGTAAGTTGGTGGAATATATATCTGCAAAATGTTAACTACAAAGAACTCGGATCACATGATAATCGAAATGGTGTTGAGTAACCGATTAAGTTACAACAGCAGTTTGGATTTAAAAAGTGCTCATCTTTCTAGATTTCTCCATATATGTTACATTCCTTTAAACATTTTACTTTGCTCATCGTTTGGAGACCACTCTTTAGCTGCAGAGACTAATATAATAATATAGGTTATTGACTTATGAATTTGGAAGAAAAAAGTCTATCAATAATGATTCACACCACTGAATGATTAAATACAAAATAATCTCATGGGAAGTGTTGTTGGACTTATCTAATTCTTACTAATTTCTGAAATTTATTTACTATTGTTTGTTAGATGGTGGTTGGAGGTAGTCGACAGGATATCCTGGACCCAGGTTTCGTGCTACTTGGCACTCATCAGCAAGGTGCACCTGTGATCTTGAGGGAACTGGTGATCCCTGGCAGATTCGATCTCGTGTCACCCAGCTTCATAGTCAGAAGCGTTACCACTGAGCTACCCGAGCCGCGACAACTCCTGTATGACTGAGATGTAATCACAATTGATTGATCACTGGGTGGCGATCATTGTCATGTGTGTCTAGTCTAATCTCACAATAGTGCACGTAGTGTCGAGTCACCTAGGCTGGTGGCCACATTGCAACATGGTCGATAGCATTCGATCTGCACTAATAAGGACTAGACACTCATGACATTGATCGCCACCCAGTGATCAATCAATTGTGACTATTGTTTGTTGTTGTCACATTATTTTATTTTAAAAATAAGCACTGATATTGTATGGAATAATCATTTTCACCAATTAATATATAAATGCTAAACGACAAAACAACTGATAAGTAAAGTGTTGAATTTATTACGTAAAAATATGTTAGAGGAAGACTCAGACTGTAACTATCAAGTCTTTAAAAAAAAGAGTATTTGATTTCGGGAGAAGGATAATGTTCTATTTCTAGCCAAATTAGCTTGAAATACAAACCATGTATTAACAATATTCATTACCTTCTTAGATCAATCATTCAATATAATTGGTCTAATAGAAAACAAACACATTTATGATCATTACACTAAATAGTTTTTTTTGAGTTTTTAAAATGTATATTTATATTTTGTACAGTAGTGGTGATCCTTTTGAGATGATGCAGAATATTTGCAGCTTTGCAATGTATATTATTTAGGTATTGTATTGACTAAATCATCTGGCTTAAAGAATACAATTCCTTCAAAAACATTTTCATTTTAATTAAACAATTTGATAAACTGATTATCTAACCTTTTTTATAGTATGTTCTTCTAGTGTCATCGAAGAATCATCCAATGTTTCCATACATTTCACTAGATTTTTTTTCTTTTGTACCATTGAATCAGCTACAACAACTGTGGAATTAGCTTGTAAATTATCATCTGCTTTCACTGTATTTCTATCGCACTCTTTGTCATGTATATACATCATATGGAAATAGACCAGAGAATTACTTTCGTTTTATGAATATTACTTTTAAGTATTAAACTGAATCCTAGTTACATATTACATAATTAATGAAATGTCATAATAAAATATAAGACATTAACTAATAATTAGGATAACCTTTTAAACTAATAATAATATTTATTTCCATGAATTGGAGACATGGAAACAAGAGTGCTAATTTTTTAAATCAAACATAATGTTTAATAATAGATAACCATTCATTGATGCCTATTTGCTCCAAATCAATACTGTTGGTTTATGTATTCAGCATGAGTACATGCATGTGTTTTGAATATCCTCCTCATCCATCTACTCACTAATTTAACAAAATGTCTATGTCCTATTACATAAAGGTATAGTTTGTTCTCAAACAATTTTCTCTTTCCAACTGCAATTGATCTAAAGTTTTGTTTAAATTCTATTGATACCATACGCCAGTGTAGCATTTCTCATCGTAATTGTTACTTATTTCATGAATAATATCTTAACTTTTTACAAATGGCATAGATAATGATAAAATTTAATTACTGTAAAACCCTTTTTAAACTGGTTGCTGAAAATTTTTCTCCTAACTGTATTGCTTACTTTGCATGATAAGCGATCGTTGGGTTTTTTTCAACTATCTTAACCTTTCATTGTGAATCCAGTGAATTGCTTAACAGCAAAAGACCTAGATATAAGTCATGATTTTATTTAGATTTCTTGTTATAGCATTGCTTTTTAGAGAAACCTTTTTAACCTTATTGCTCATTCCTTATCTTTCAATCCGTATAAATATTAATTTTATTGTACTTCATTTTCTAAGCTTTCACGCAGCAACCTATTTAATTTTAACAATACTGAATGAATTTATCACTGTCCATTCATATGTACGTATTGATTGAGATCGTGAACCGATTGATGTTAGACCATCACAACGGCCGTCCAATGCTTCCAGGTTTTGAATTGTGATGGTCTAACATCAATCGGTTCATGATCTCAATCAAAAACTTAATAATCTCCACAACCCCTATACATATGTACGTATGTTTGTTTGATCATTGATTTTAGTATAGATGTTGTTAAATTTATTCGATGGCTCTGAATAAATCATTGAATGACGTTTAAAAATTTAGAAATCAAAACACGAAATTTATCGACGACCCCGTAGTAATAATAATGGCACAATAAGTAGTGCATTTACAAACCACAATTCATGAGTTAGCTAAGGCATTTACACGGGTTGATGAGTAATCCAAGAGGAAATACTTTTAAAAACAGTTGCGTGAGAAACAATCATAAAAAATGTACAATAAACTAGGTAAAGACTCGTATCAATAAAACAATGGTAGTCAGTGATTAGAAATGTGAACTAAAAACATAAAATACGGAAACTGTTAAACATAAACAAATTTCCAGTAAACACATAAGAAACAGAGATAACTGCTAGAAGTTACAAGAGCATGAACTCATAATAATAAACATATTAGATGTGATAGTTTAATGTATCTACTCAGAAATATCGCACAACGAGATGTGATACGTTATGTTCTCAAAAATGGTTGACAATCATCAGTTACTGAATATTAGTAAATAATATATTTAATACATTAAAACAAATAGGATAATATGAAAATGAAAATATGTCCATGTAGAAATCACGCGTAATGATTTTGACTTACTCACACAATCATCACACTATGTATTTTTTTTATCAATCTCCATAGTAATAAGAACCTGATTTGCTTACAAAATCAGAAAATGTCATGAAATATTTCAGTAAAATAATACAGATATCTATTATTATCGGCTTCGGTTAGATTAACGATAATAAGCTGAATGTTTCTTAAAAGTAGATGACTAAAAAATCAAACTATATTCCTTACCACAACTGTTAGTCAAATTTGTGCAGTGTGCACTGGTTATAAGTGATACGATTCTAATTCATTGCTTGAATATAATATCCAAGTCAATTTGTGCGGAGCAAAATTATTGATTAATAATTCTGAGGACATTTTCACACAGCCTTCTTATACATATGCAAAGATATATAACCACACAACCTGATAATTTTTGGAAATTCATAAGTATATCTCACTGGATTTTAATGATGATATTATTTCTGGAAAAAAATACACACAGTTTTGTTAACTACCATACCATACAAAATCATTTTTGATATCCCAAACCAACCTAAGCTAGATATCCACTGAAAACCGGATAGCATTCGATGGCCGTTTTGTCCTAGTACAAGACTCAGCATAGAATGTTCAATACTCATCGGGGGTCGCTGGCAGCTGTACTGTAGTTCCTGGGTCCCATACCAGAGTGAAACAGTTATCCAGCGCTTTCTGGTTTTCAGTGGATATCTAACTTAGGTCTGTTCGTGGTATCAATAATATTCAGTAATTTCTACAGACCTCCTACACCGACTAAAATCGCTTTAATCTTGCACTAATAGATTATAGATATTTGCTTTTCGTCATCCAGTACTTTTTTGAATTCGGATTCATTATAAAGTTATTAGAAACAGTATTCAATAAATTGGTTAAAAACTTACCTTTATTCAATGATATCCTAGTTTGTCTTTCTAACAAAGAAGCGGGAACATTCCATTTCATAAAGACCTAACAAAAAATGTTGAATCTTCAACACAAATATGTTCAAGAATGATATATGAGATACGTTTATGGACACACTTTTATTCAATGACAATCAACCATTTTGACGGGAACTTGGGTCTAAAAATAATATTTTTTCTAACATTTGAAATAAATGAATGTGGTACTGTTCAACAATTTATCACGGTAAAATGTGTACATTTCAAGTGTGACATAAATCTAATTTATGATATATGTAAGCCTATAGCTGGTTGTACTTTAACACTGCATCATTTAATATTACCCTTTTCATTCAAACTCTGATTCAGTTAGTCAATATTAGATTCTGTAACAAGTATCAAAATTCAAAGTCTTCAGGAATGTTTTTTGAGTTATATATGAATAAGTTAAATTACAACTGTAAAACAGTACAGTTGATTCATTTATCTCACCAACTACTTCTTATCTCCTTCACAAGCTTACTTAAATCTTCGGGCAGTTTATTATTTACATTATTGTAAATTAGTGTTGATAGTGATTTTTAATACACACTGAATTTGTCTTTCTGAGCAAACTTAGAAAATGTCACATGATAACCTGATAGATGAGCAGATGTTTTAGGGCGTTTTTTGAATGTTACAAAAGTGATGTTTTGAATCTATCCTACTATGCTATTGTTTTATAAGTATTACTTGTCAAACAATTTTGTTTACGCAGTGACACAAGAATCGTAACCGCTGAAAATCTAGTATCGCTGAACAGTTGTTTCACGAAATTCTGGGACTAGTAATACAAATCATAAGTCAACATAGAATTCGGTCTTGTACTTTTTGGTTTCACCTTGTATACGATACTATTCAGCTATTGAGCTTAAAACTTATGAGCGTCATTTCTAACCTCAATTAATTAGTAATATGGCGTCATCTATAGCTGAAAATACACCTGTCATTTTAAATTTGTTCTAGTGGGATATAGATTGGTTCAATGCACGTTCTACACAGGATTGTTGGAGCAGGCTGACTGGTTATTTCCTATGCAATCAGCGCTAGTGGTCACTAAGAGAAGACTCTAGAATCTTATGTAAAAGCTATATATATATATATATATATATATATATATATATATATATATATATATATATATATATATATACGAGATTTTTACTCACTTTATCATCATTTATTAGTTTCAATTCCTTCACCTTAATATTAATAAAAAAATATGAGTTTATCTTTCAATTTATTGAGTGAAATATATTATTATTATTATTATTATTATTATTATTATTATTATTATTATTATTATTATTATTATTATTATTATTACATTATATCCGTATACTTGAGTGATCTGAAACTAAATTGATGATCAATTAAAGTATAGAATATTCCCTAAAATCGATTTATATCAAAGCAAATAAACTGTTGTTAGCTGTAGAGACCATGTACTCTAAGTAGTTTAACATTATTCAAGTGATTTCATAGGATAGACCTATAACATTTTTGTGTAAGTAATTCTGATTAGAACAAGTCTACAAATAGGGCCATCCTCTACTATGGATAAATAATTGATGGTTAGCATTACAATAAAACTGTTCATCGGGATTTTGATAGAAATGCAGGATTTTAACGGAAGAACATTTTTCGAGGAGAAGCATTCCTACTTTATTTTTATTAGACATATTACTTGTTTAAAGTTACTCCTATTTATAGCGCAACAGAACTTGTACATTATTTAAATAATTAGGTATGAAATATATTACTAATAGTGTTCTATAATAATTACCTCTTAATGAATGAAAATTAAATTCAGTTACATATATCTTTAAATTTAATGGGAATATCAGCATATTTGGCCTTACAGTAGCTACTCTAATTCATAATTCAATTCATAGAAATCCTGCTTATCTAAATTGGCTGAAGTTTAATGGACGTAATAAGGATATTTCCCATCGTTATATACTATAGTTATTCTAATGAAATGAATCATAATAAAGTATGTAATTTACCTTGACGATCTGAGAGAATAGTTGACTTAATTAATAAAAATGATTGAAACATTAATTTTAAGAATAATATTAAAACATGATATGATACTGTCATGACAGTTAATGATAAGTGGTATCTTGTACAAGAACTACAATTTTACTAGATGCACATAAACTAGTCATTGAATTTATCGTATAAATATACACTTAAGAATAACATCTAATAGACGTATTCAGTTGCTTAATAATGTGTAATTTTATACAAAATACGCTTTATATTAGAATTATGAAGTTGAACTGTATTGAAAACATTTTCGCCATTAATTAGAATAAGCTTTATTGTCTTATCTATCAAAAATGATCACTGACTTGATCATATTGTGTAGTTTTCATTTGATTAGTATCAGAAGGGGTTTTGTGGAGATTGTAGTGATTTCAACAGTTGAGATCATGAATCAATTGAAGCTGGACCACCATGGAAAACCTGGAAGCACTGGACGGTCGTTTCGTCCTATTGTGGGACTCCTCAGCAGTGCGCATCCACGACCCCGCAGCCCGCGAGATTCGAACCCAGGACCCATCAGTCTCGCGCCAGGCGCTTAACCAACTGCACCACTGAGCCGGCATCCAACGCTGTTAATGTCTAACTTCAACTGGGTTCGAATCCCGTGAAGTGGGGTCGTGGATGCGCACTGCTGAGGAGTCCCACAATAGGACAAAACGACCATCCAGTGCTTCCAGGTTTTCCATGGTGGTCTAGCTTCAACTGACTCATGATCTCAACTGTTTTCATTTCAATTATATTAAACTCCGTAACTGTCAATATTATACAGTAGTTTATGTTTTACCTTATAAACATGATATAAACAGAAAAAAAAATTCAGACATTCATACTACTTAATAAATGATTTTAAAAAATTATGAAGAATGTCACCTCTTACCATTTAGTTGCTTTCTTCCTCTTTTTTTTAATTTTAAATATATCTAAAATATAATATTTGCAATTTATACTTTCTTGATGAACCATATGATTCAATTGTGACAGTCATTACTTTCCTATTGGTTCTTACATATATTTGTACTTATTATTATTGTTATTATTAGTCACATTATTGTTACCATAATTATTGTGGATTACAATTTATCAAATATACTTTGTTAATTGTATGTTTAACTAACAAATGATACAACTAGAAAGTTCAACTGATATATAGTTTCAATGTGAATTAATTGTAAATGTACCGAAAATTGTTTGTTTTGAAATAATCATTCTGATAACAATTTAAAAGTAGCATTTATTTTTACTTCTTGAATATGATTTAATAACTTAGGCTTTTTGTATTAGTCCTTATAGTGATCTAGCTGGTAATATATTCAATTTAATTATACTTTAATTGAGACTTATCTTTTCTAAATGTAGAATAGAAAAGAATGATTCATTGGCAGAATTCAGTCAAAGCGCTAATTCATACAAAAACATCCGACAAAGATCATCAACTACATCTTAATTACATTTAAAGTTGACTGATAACTGTTAGCTTAAGTGAAATCTAAACTCGGGGAGATTCGAAAGAATGCATTCAACAGCACAACATCATAAAACGATTAATGTAAATAATAGCTACTGGTGAATGGCAACCTAGGGGGAAACCTACTTCTATGATGTCTTCTGGATTGTCTAAGATCACCTGGAGGAGTAGTATACTCTATCGATCAGTTATTTATCCGGATTTTGAGCAATGAAATATGACTTCTTTTAGACAGATTACTTGGTACATGTATTAATATATAAATACATAGTATGTATAACTCAATGTATACTAATTTTCACGATGACTTAAAAAAACCGTGTTTGACTACCTTTAGAGTAGTATGTGCATTGCCTGTAAGTACCAAATAAGAAAATTGCTTTCCTCAATATTCGAGTCGTTCAAAATTAACCATACTATGTACAAAGTTCGCTCAAATTTATACGGTGCTAGAAAATAGTTATACCTTGTTTGATAACCACGATTTAAATATCGTCAATGGTCGGTTACTGCAAGCTTGTACTAATAAAAATACTACAACTACTTTGCTATCCTGATCATTTTATCATGTTTTACTAATTTGTTGTGGGAACTTGAAAAGATGCCCGATTATACCACGTTCCGTGTTGCTTTTGACCATCTGACCTACTGGTATATGAATTAAAATGTACAAACTTTCGCAAGTTTTTATAATAAAGTTATTTATTAGAAAAATATTACAACAGAGCACCATTTTGAATAATCTAATGGATTATAAAAATCATTTGGCATTCATAAACTTATTATAAAATTAATTCGAAACAATCCACATGACGACGATTTCATCAAAGAAAGGGCACTATTCATTAAGAAATTGTAGATTATATTTGAATTAAGGCTGAGCATGTACATACTTTGACAAGGCTGTGATAAAGTGATCGAAATGATACTGCACAGGATTTGATCAGTGATTTTCACCGAGATAGACAACGAACAAGAAAACTGAAATACTCTAGCAGGTTATTAGTGACTTCATCGTTGAATTCGATTCCAGCTCGGTGTGCTATTTGGAAAGATACTATTCGCCAGCTTTACAATGCATCATCGAGTCACTCAATCTTGCTCTCATCCTTCGAATTCTGGATAGATTTTCACTCCTCATGCTACTCGTAAAATTCATATATATCATTTACAACTTGCTTCTGCAAAGCGTCTCAAATTTACTGTGTATCAAACCTCTCTTGCTAGTACATATTACGAACAAATTGCTTATAATTTAAAAGAAACCTATTTAATACTTCATCTGCTGCGATTTTATTTCGTAATATAACAGTCCAGCTTCAGCGACCTTTAAAATATTCAAGATATTTGTGGGAAATAAATGCAACAATTTTGGTTCTTTAAGAATGAAAACCAGCGAACGTCACCACATCGCGCCTGTTTAACGAAATGGCATCACGACTTCCTCCATATTATACTTTACTACTTACTAAGAACCAGTAGCTCAAGTAATACACAATTTATTTTTGGAAAACCTAGTGAGCATGATTGACGCTTGTAGTAATCTGCTAATCATGGACATCCCAGTTCTTGTCAAATGTTTTAACACTTTCTTTCCCGTGATCATACTTGTTCCTCTCTTCTTGGTATTCAGTCTTTACTACATGTGTTACTCACTGATATTTTGTATTCCAAACAGCTTATCTGTTTTCAAGTCACAGGACATGACTCAATTCGTGCACTTCTAGTACCTCACTGACAGCCGTGCATTAATTTCGGGGTCGTAATTAATTGAAGGACGCGATCTACATCAACTGTGTTCTTGATGGCATCAACAACACTTGACCACGTAACGATTAGAAGTCTACATGCTTAATCAATAGTTTTCCCCGAAAGATCATGTCCTCGGGTTTCGTAATTTCATGCACGGCCTGAATACCGATCATAATCTGATTGAGGACTACATAAATACTACTACTGATATTCAATTTTTTCAAGTACAAAATTCTGATCTGTATGATATTTAGTAGACTGTTTTCTTAGGACATTTTCTTCACAAATATTCGTTAGGATTTTAAGCTCCTTGAAAAGATGCCAGTATCCTCGAATCAGATCAACGTCTCTACCTCCAGGAAGGAGCTACATAGTCTAAGTACCAATAATTCAGGTTCCAGTTTGGCCCTGATACTAAACTATTGATATCCACTATGCTCTGTGGGTTATGGAGAGCTACAACCGACTAACATTTAGATGGTGGATGTACTAATTATCTGTATTCGGAGAAATTCTGGACTACTGCCATACTTATTACAGGCAAACAATTCATTTTTATGTAAGTAACCGAGACTTTCATATCACACGTTATTTCCCGACGCCAAAACGGTCGAAAAAGTGGATGTTGTCAGTTAACATGGTGGATTAAATGCAAATGTATATCTCTACCGTGACGTCATAACTACGTGGTTGGAATTCGTGAGACCCGTTTGGACTCAGACGCTATTAGATATAGGTCCAAACAGAAGCTACTATGGATCCTAATATTTTTTCTTGCTACTTTTTCTCATAAAAACGAGATGAACTTCCTTAACTAAATGAAGCTTTTCTTGGATGCGTATTTAACTGAACTGTATCTCTTATTAAACAAAATTGTTAATTATCAATCTATTGATTACATTACCTCTCCCTGTTATACTTCTTCATAATAATACTTTGAGTCAAACATTTTGGTGCCCTATGTATGTACCACGATTTATCTTTAATAAATAGTAGAACATTACGGAACTTCATAGTTTTACTGATTATACGAACTGCTCACTTTTTGAAAATGAATATACATAAATTTTCTAATTCGGACGAACATTCATTATCAGATATTGTGACTATTATACGAATGATTTCAAACATAAATATGAAAAGATTTAATTTCTCACATTAAGATTAATAATAATAGTTAATACAGAAAAACAATACTGTTAGAAAATAAAATTGTTTTGAAGATTAATTTTTTTAAAAAAAAACAATTACTAAATGAGAATTTACTTGAAAGAAAGAAATGAATAAATAAATGGATGATATCATCACAACTCCCTATAATCATATGGATTTATACAAGTTATTTATAATGGGATAGAATTATAGCCTAATTAAATCATAGGAACCGAATATAAAAATATGTGAAAACTACTAATAACAAGATGCAAAACAGTATGTATTTGACGTAGACCGATTGAAGGTTGAGTGAGTGGGCATCTTGACGGTATTTCTTGGACATAGTAGACAAATTGGATGCTCGAGAGTCCAAGGCTACAAACGATTTCAGATAAAAGATAAAATAGAAGTGTACTTAGAATAACTCTGTAAAATACTTTGGACTAAAATAATTCAATTTCAAAACGATATGAAAACCATTACCTAAGAAAATAATAATATACTTTTAACATTTCACAAATTAACGACAGTGTGGTGGACGCTACTCACAAGATTGCTTTTAATTAGTATCTAGCGGAACGCGGCCTCAAGGTTATCAGTCATCAGGCGGAGAGAGAAGGATTGGTACATCAAAATCACAAGTTAGGCAGAACACTTGAAGATCAGACGAGAAGACATTTTGGGTTGGGGAACATACCGCAGGATGCAAATAGATGATCGAAGGCTATATACACATATTTTGTAAACACTGTAATCTCTTAAAATAAGCATTCATTCCTTCTACCCACTGTCTTGTTCTACAATAGTATCAAAGTTATTCTTGAGGAAAATAGTTTCCACCCCGATCCAACAAATCCCGTCGCTGAGAGACTTATCATCACTATGTAATCGTGACTCCCTATAATGCTTTTCCTCCTGTTTTTTATGATGAACGTGCCCCATCAAATCAAACATTTAAGAAAAATGTTCGGTGGCAATGGTCATCAAAATGTTAAAATGATTTTAGAAGGATTAAAATAACTGCTCAGAATGAGAATGAACGTTCTTCACACCGTAAGCGATTCTTACATAGTAATTTTACCTATCAACGTGAAACCACGTCTAAATCAAGCTACTTAAACGTACCGGGACTTGACTGGGTACGTAGACCTGATTTATATTCTCAATCAATAAACAAAATTTGTTTCTAAGTTTAGAAGAATCTTATAACAAACTTGACTACGTAAAACACTTCAGAGTTTCCTGAAGCATCTAAAGATCTAGGTTACCGAACAAGAACTCGAGCTACTCTGCAATTGAAGCCAGATAACACATTTATATTTTGCCAGACACACCTATTACCTTGTATCATAACTGCCTAAGTTGACGTAGAAAACAAAATAGCATGTAAAGAACAATTTATGTTATTGAAAAACAGCACTTTATACAGGCTCGTTTTTCGGTAATTAGTGACCATATATAAATAATAATTATTGTGTAAAATCTTTTTTTGCTAAATATATCTCAAAGTTGATTGAAATATATTACAAAAAATATCAGAATATTGCATTAAAATAACTAAGAACAAAATTTCAGTCATTTTATTTACCAAATGGTTGACAATTTTCAATTGCAAGAACAAGCACTAGTTACAACATAACCGAACTTATTAACTTTGTCCGTATATATGATAATAACCATTTAGTCAACTAACTGAACAGGTTGCTTCGAAATATCTTTAAAATTCACTGTCATTGTGTGACGCAATAATGCTAAATTTTATTGCAACACTGATAACTAATTCTTGAAGCAAATACATGCGATTACCAATGGTTTGATAAGATTAAAGAATTGGTTGTATGAACATGAAATGTAGTTTCCGAAAATTTCCTTGACATTTTATTTACATGTTAGGTGCCTACGTTCAATAGTAATCTGTTCAATTACCATATGACGTAGGTGAATAAATTTAGATAGCTTGAGCAGCCAGAAGCGTAGTTCATTAAATCTGAACTCACTTGAAAGTGCTTCACCACGTTGTAATACATCATCAATATTCTGTACCATGATTCTTTGTACGTCTTGTAATGCTACGTTCAATTGACTAAGATTGGATGACCGACTATCACTATAGATTTTTTGAGTTTTGTGTATGACGTGATCTATTAAAATAAACAAGGTAAAGCAACAAATTTACCAAAATCAAGGAATGCGTAAGGTCTTGAAACTGTTTGTATTTGTTGGTAGTATTTGCCGTAAAATTCTGTTTGTATTGCCTCTAAAAATGCAAAGGCTTTTGTACGACTGAACTGTGAGTCTGTAAGAATAATGTAACAAACACCACGATCCAGCAGATAATGAAACAAGTAAGGACCAGCAATAAGAGAGCATCTAGAAGGAGAAGTAGGAGTCATACGACAAACGAGTGCTTTTGCTTGATTTTGATACTGGAATATTTCACGATTTAGCTGAAATAAAACGGGACAAAATATAAAAAGATCGTTTTAAGAATGGTACAATGGAAAGTATTACCCTCATGTAATTTCAACTCAACTGGATACACAAAAAAATGATTTTTGGATTGCTTTATAACTAACAAACAATTAAGTGGAAGTGGATTAAACACAACTTTAGATTGTCACTATAATAAAGAGGGAAAGAGCTATAATGGGTAGAAGATTGAGATCAGCTGTTTAACTTTACTTAACAAGTTAGATATAACAGTGAACTTTACATCTACTTGCACGATGAAATGAGCAATTAGTCGCACTGTTTTGGTAGTAAAGACAGGACTGAAACTTCGCACATAGCGCAAAGGAAATAAGAATCTCATACGAAAAGTAATAAATAGCAAAATGACTATAAATTTAAAATAATAGTAAAAGTATCAAGAGCCAATATTATCATTAGTTAACTTTTAGTATCTAACATTACAGTATAGAATCTACAATAGCGATGTCTGGTACTCTCTTTGTCGATAGATGTTGCTACTAGGCTTTCCCACAGGTCACATAACGGTCACCATCTACTGAGGCTTTGTGTAGAACATAACTAGTTTCTGAGCAGATCCGACTTTCAGTACGGTCATCATCGATAAGCCACCTGGTGTCTTACCTCTGCGACTCAAGCTTGAACTCATATTGGCCACATAGTGATTAGCTGCAGCTGGCACAAGACTGTTGCTTCCCTTAGAGTACCTTTTTGGACTCTGATAATGGTTTGATTTGCGCCAAGCTTATCTCGCGCTTTAGCGGTCAGCAAATATATTGTCCTAAATAGGTCGATATAAGCGAATCGGTCGTAGCTTCCTCTGCAGCCAAATAACAAACGAAGTCAGGTTCAGAGCAATCTGTAAATCCATCAGAAAATGAAAAATGCGTATTGCGTTTGCATAGTGGCATGAAAATAGCGGGTTACATCTTATGGCTTTTTGAAACGTCTTGCTTATATGCACTGAATTTCTGCAGATTAGTCACAGCTATTTGAAGTATACCATTTTTCCCCAATTAATTGGCCCTGGTACGGCCGAGAGTGGAGAGAGTCCGCTCTCCCTCTCGAAATACTCTCACACGGCCGCGCGTATACAGCCTCTGCCAGGGAAGTCCTACTCATTACCTTCTCGTGGCGGGGGTGTTGTTTACGAAAATGAAAGGACGAAGAGCGAATGTACGGCGCTTTAACCGGGTCACAAACCAATGGTGCACATGGGCTCCAGTATCCTGTGGGAACAAATGGCGTATGAACCGATCGTTGGTCACCGGCTACCATGGGATTGCATCTCCTTACGATGCTCTACTGCCCTGTGGGTTAGACCTTTAGGTCAAAGGCTCGGGGAGTGGCCCCCTAAGATAACCACCTGCTTCAGTTTGGGCACCCGGGCAGTATCACAGCCCACACACAAATGATGAACTCTCTATGTCTATGAAAACTACTTTTCTCGCTTCGAAAAACAATCAATTGATTCATTACTATAATAATAATAAATCGGGAGTTTGATGTTAAATGCGAATTTTTAAGTAAATGATGCAAAGTTTGCGTAAGGACAGAGATCGGTGACGATTGATACAAACAATGATATGGAGGCCTTCAATGAAATGCTACTTTTGAAGCACTAGAAGGCAACAAACCCGAAGAATTACTCCCTGTTTTTTAGAGATAGAGAACTTCTAGTCAGGTAACTGACTGGGTTATTTGGAAATGTTTGGAAAACATAATGTACCATTATCCTGAAATGAATTAATAATTGTCCATATCTTTAAAAATGAACTGCGTTACCTACTTAACAACAATACGGAGTTAACTTTTGATTGCGCCTCAACAATTAGCTTCCTTGATACTTTGTAGATTGTTTAATAACCGAAAAATTGACTTGCGAGGAGCAGACTAGCTGTCGTTCTGGTTTTGGATGGTGACGATAATTTACTTAGTATCATCACCTTGAAATACCAACTTCAGATGCCTCAATACGCTACGAATATCAACACAGAGGCTTCTACAGCATACCTTAGTTTTCGACGGGGCGGAAAAAGTGGTGGTTAACTTAAGGCAGTCCCGTGGTATGGAAAAAAGCTTAGTATGACTGGCCGTTGCGGATTCACAAGACTCCAAGCTCAGATCCTAGAAATGACACAAATCAGTGGCTTGGGGAATTATTAGACATGCCTCAACAAAAGTCGGTGAGGAAAGTGTTGCAGCTTCCTTTAACATTCTTCATAATAATGAAAAGTATTCCCTTGAATGAAAGAATTATTTCTCACTATACGTTTCACAGGTATGTCTGATTATAATTCACTGATCCACTAATTTTCTTATGTTTTTATTTCCTTATATGTGTGGCGTGCACATATGGTATGAAAGAAAGCTGTAAAGGACTGGCTTCTGTCGGTCCTTCACGACTCCCTGGTTGGGGTCCGAGAGATGGTGCTACACAGTGGCTAGAGACGTTATCAGATATGGCTCAGAATAGAAGCCAGTGGCGATCCTGCTGTAATCTTCTTTTACTTTCTTCATAAAAAGTGGTTGTGTCTCCCTTACCTGAAAGATTTCTTCCGATTGTACCTTTCCGTTCCCTCATTACTACCACACTACCTTACACCAATCTCTTCGTTATTGTTCTCTTTTTTTTCTATTTCTCTTCGAATTCTCATTGTTTTGTGTGGCGCATATATATTGGCGCTCTCTTATAGTTAATCAAAATAAGTAGAAACTTCAGGAATTGGACTACTAGATCACGCTGCTCGACTTCCCACGTCTACCAAAGGTTTCTCAAATTCGAGTTATAGGATGTTCTAATGTTTCAATTAGTCTGTTGTTCGAAAGAAACTTCGTATAGCTCTGTGCAATGTTACATTTGTTTCCTGTAGGTTTATTAATAGGTCGTCTTCGTGCATGGTTTTTATTAAGATGCTTATCTTTTTACTAACCCTCAACAATTCCCAAATGCTATTTAAAACTATTATCTTTCCCATCATTTATGTTTTGGCTGACAATCATTACTCACCGTTACTGTATAGGTACTTGGTTAATTTATATATAGGCGACTCTCGTTACCAGACAAGATAATTTTTGCTGTACATTCCTTGAGTTGGTCACTACATGAAATAATATTTTTAGATGCCTAAAATGATCATTCTATACATATTTATGTATAAGGCACCATGCGACAATTGGTGTGAAGGTTATCTGTGGCCATATCTCTCAGGTCAAATATGTTCCCAAGCACTTTTCAACAATTAAGTTTAAAACTCATTAGAAAACGGGTAGAATGTAACCATTGCTTTTAAAATCTAAGAACTAAATAATACATCTATGCTACCAAGCAGTAATTAGTTCCACAACAAATCCCTTGTTCTGAATACCGCCAGTACTTATAAGTATTGGATTAAACCATTTCTACCTTAATAAGAATATGTTTGATATGTAGGTATGAACATAACCTGCACTTCTGTACTTTTCTCTGGTGCATATAGGATAGATATTTCATAGACATTTTAGCCTGGTGATCTAGCCTGGTAGCAAAAGTTGTGACGAACCTATCTGGAGTATGATGACCAAACACCTAGTTAACAATTATCATGAGAACATTTCAGTTGATATCATCTATAGCATAACGGAAATTTTCACTACTATGCCTTCCGTACAAACGCTGGAGTCCTAAACATTCACTAGACTTGAATAAACTACTATGACGTCTCCCTTTACCACATCCTTTCAACTTCCGTATTAGCTTATAGGTTTATTCAGTTTAGTTCTAACCAGATGATAATCAAAACCTTCTTTTGACTTTCAGTTACCTTGATGGTTTGAAGTAGCTCTTGCGTGTGATTGAGTCATAAATTGCAGTATGTCTCGTACCAGGTTTTAGTACCATCCTATAATCAGATACAATTTTGTGTACAGAGTTTTGAACCATGCTTGATGTGGTCATTAAACATAGTTAAGGTCAACGGTAGCTAGTGAAGATTAATTGTTTAGAAAGACCACACCATCTAAGGTGGCCAAGACGTTATTCAACTTTAGTCAATATTTATCCCCAAGAAAATCTTAGAAACAGCAGGACAAAAGCATTAATCCCGGACCAACGTACAATATCAAGTCAGGAAGTATTCTTGCCAACGTTTTGCAAAGCCATTCCTGACAAAAACATAGTGATATTTTAGCAACCAAATATACATATCTATACGTACTTACAACTCGCGAATTTAATCTTGGTAAAAGACGTTGTAATGACACGAATTTACCAAGTATTTGGACTTCTACAATTATTAAGTATTTCACTACATTATTTTAAACATCTGATGGAAAGTAGGACATGGGTTAACGTGACATTAACTTACTATGATAAACAGACAAAATCTGGAAACATATAAAGGACAATTAGCAAAATAGTGTTTTTGCTGAAATTTTCGGGAGTCTACTTTCCCACAAAAACGTAAACTATTTGATTTCTGTTTAGAATTCTGGCAATGATTTAATTTTGATATATTCCGACATCGTTACCATTCGCTGAGTTGGGAAATATCGAGCCGTTAGACTGTTTTACCTTGTTTTCTTAGTAACTATGGTTATCTTAATAACGTCAGTCTTTGATTTTGTCTATAATCTATGATAAAACCGTAACTAACAAAAAAGACAGTGATTCAAATAAATAAAGCGATTAGTAATAATAAGTGGACAAGTAATTCTTACTTGGTCATCATCCTGAATAGTTGCTGCAAGTGGGAGCCCATCGGCTACCCTAGCGATCAGAGTAAGGTATATCATGAGAAATTTGACTGGTAAAGTTGTGCAAGAACAGATTATGGGATGTACCAGAAGTCTTGCTTTGATAACTACTTAAAACAATGTCGATGAAAACCAAATGATTTTGGGTATAAGATAAGTATCTATGCTCTTTTACCAGTAAGAAGCGTTCAGATATTCAAATACGTACACGTGGAGCATTTAATAAGCAGCTAATGACCTTGGAAGGTCTGTGCTCTCAATAAACAATATCTTTGTGATGAGCTTGTCGGAGCCTATTGACTACTCCGAACTTTCTTCTTGACTTTACACTATGGTTCTGGGTCTTCAGTTCAGTTTAATGTTGGTGGCCTAGCCACTCGGTTGCATTGATTTTAATGAATTCAGTTTTTACTTAGTTAATATTTTTTAGGTGTACCTCTGTTCTTGAGCAATGGGGTTACTAAGACCAAGAGCTATCATATAACCGGATAGGAAATTGATTCTTTAAAATGCTAAGGACTGTAATGTTACGATGTAGAGGGGCAAAGAGCGGACAACATAATTAGTAGGGGAATAGCGTACACAAAAAATGAGAAGCAAAAGTCTTGTCGTACCACATAGATGGTGTTGATAAGGGATGATGTGGTCAAATATGGACCAACAGTAATGATGACAGTACTGATAACAGCAGTTATGATATGGTATGAAGCACTTAACAGGTACAGTTGCTCCTGACGAAGGACGGTAGGGCATGAATGAGTGTATCATTATTGAGTCTCCTTTCTGAAGTTGTCCACCGAAGAACGATTGTCACACGGAGTTGAAGGAGCCTACTAGTTGTGAAAAAACTATGATAGCGCCTTGATATTGGCTCTTCTGTGTACAATCTTGGTACAAGTTATTCGGTCTTGTTATTAGTTCCTTCACCAAGAAAAGAGATAATCTGTAAACCTCATTTGGGAGATTTCAGCTAATAGAGCAGAGTGTACAAAAAATTAAAAAGCCAGAGAAAATCCAGGAATAAAGCGAGTATAGGAATTTTCTGATCTTAGCAATCTGTCTGACTGTCATAAACTAATGAAGCGTATGTGAAACACTATCTGCCTTTTTTGAAGCCGTATTGCTCTCCATGTCAGAACTGTTGTCTACCAAACTAACTAGCATCTTCGAGATTGCTGAAATCGAAGCTACAAGCCTACAGCAGATTCCATCCATTTTATCTTCACCAATGATCAGGGGAGACGGAATTGTTAAATTCCATTCATTCCATTCTAGAATCAGATGAGTAAATAAAAAGTTCAAGTGTTCATTTACAAGGGATTCAACACATTTTTGAGTATAATGTACCATGTGTTGTAGCAACTCAGCGGCTCATTGGATTCACATTTTAATAACTTTTAAATTTCTAATAGCCGTGATGTTACCAATATACTGCTACTTCCCACTGTCGTTTAAGTGATACTTCTTTCAACTCTGTAATTCTGTATATGATTTGATCTCTTGGTAAAGTGAGTTTTGAGAACTTTGGCTAAACTTTATTTTTAGTTCTCACAGTTCGTCTATAACTTTCTTATACTCGTTTCTTCCTCGGAACATTACCGATACAGGTTTGTTGAACATAACTACTGCTCTCTAGTCAGGTCTGTCTAATAAGAATTCTTCTCCCTCTTTTTCCTTATTTTGCACTTATTACTCAACATGATGTGTTGGTCATGGTCGAACTCTCGGTGATGCCTGTTATCTGTTCCAACCATTTCTCTTTGCCTTAAGTAAACGCTCGGTGCCTCTCTTTATCCACAAAGTTATGTTCCCTAGATATTTCAACCCTGTAAGTAATCACTACGATGCCTCAGTTTTCATCATCTGTAAGTCTAGTTCGTTTCTGAGACCGAATATCATATTGGAGTAACTATCTTGTGACCGTGTATTCTGTCATGTGAGGCACCTTGCTTAGGAACACACTAAATATGACTGTGATGCGGACGTAACTCCCTCTTTGGTGCTCAGACGTTGACAAACACTACTTTAAGCCGGCCATTTGACAGAAGGAAGTCTAGTCTAAAGGGTTTCCTATCATTCTTTCATTGCATGGCACTGTTTAAATGTTCTGCCAGTCCAGTACTTCAGATGACTGCAACAGTTCACTTGTGAAATAACCATATGGGTATCAGATCCTTATTACCGAGACTCGAGGAAGGGGTTCCTGGGCCGTTAGAATTGGATAATTGCCAGAAAGATCCCAGTTACTCCCTCAGAAGAGTCACATTTTCGGACATCCTCGTACCAGCTGTGCTGAGGGGAATAGGTACAAGTGTCTTCATGGGTCGTGAAACTTCGGCTCAAGCCTTCTCCAGGCTAGCTGATAGATTTCCACTTCACTTTGTGGACACATACCAGAACTACAGGCAAGACTGAGTGAATACCATTCATATATTTAATGTAAAAATGGAGTGACCATCATTCATAGTTGATATATGTTGTTTTGATTAAATATTCATACGTTGACTTTTATTGGACGTTCAATGACTGATATAAATACTTTTTGTCATTGTACTTTTAGCCTTGATAATCGTGTTGTTGTGAGCCAATATCACCGCAAGATGGATGAATACAGATTATACGAAAATAAAGCCATCGAAATAATTAAACTGCGACTTTGTATTGAACCATACAAGATCCAGGTAACTGCTCCATGAGTGCTGTGTTTTTGTGAAATTTCATTCTCTGAACTGAATAGTTCAATCTTAAAACCTTCTCCCTTCTGTATGACGTCATCAAAACAAACTTCAGGAAGAACTGAGGCATCTGAATCACTCTGCACATGACTGAAGGGCATGTCCTGTAGAGATTGATCGCGATCAGTTATTGTTACGTTAGGTTTGTCGTTGTTATCATGTATAAGTTGTTGAGAGAAATTTCAGGTGTATGGAAACATTCAATGGATTATTCCAATCATCTCATTAAATCTTTTACATCTTTCTTTAATAAAATTAAGGAGATTCAAGTCAAAAACGATTAGTTGATAAAATCCTTCGGTGTCACAGTCTTATTAAACTTGATCGGACCTAACTTAGCAAACAAACTCTATGTGTAGCGACCAAATGTCCAATATTCTGTTTGAACGCAGAACTAACGAACCAAAATTTGTTCGATTAGACCAGACTGTATAGCGTACAAAGTGTTTTTGAGTTACTCCCATTAAATTATATCAAAACACAAACTCTTTGCTCAATTTGAACGGTTCTAATTTAAGAGAGAGAGCAAATTTTATCAAAAATAAAAAAGGCCTCGAACGGTACAGCCTGTGCTATATACTCAAGGGTTTCTCTAACGTAAATTAGCGTGCTAAACGACAGAGTAAATAATTAATGCACAAGATTTCAATACCTGAGAACTGATAGGTCAGATCAGATCAGATATCTACCTCGAGGGATTCCAGCAGTCCTAACAAGTAAACAATCAATGGTAAACAGTCATACACTGAACCACGCCGCAATCTTGAGCTAAGTCAAACACGACCTTATTGTAAATAGAACGGTCACATGCAACGTAAAAATTAGGTAACGAAAGGTAAGTCTTTGTACAAAGTCACGTCATAAAAGCTCAGATGAGGAAGACTGAAGATCACAAAATGTGGTTAAAAGAGATCTGGATAAAGGTTGAAACACACGAAAGGCAGGAGAAACAAATAAAGTACAGCACTGTCCAACGAAATGTTGTGGAGAGACTTTCAGCGCTTTCTTTCTGATAGAATAACCCTGCCCCTCAGCGATGACAAAAGTCTCCAAACACACGAAGACTTAATGTCGAACCTCATTAGAACTCATTGACTTATGCTGGACAGAATACTTTGATTTGAAGAACTAAATTAACATATCAACGTATGAACGCCAGTGGATTGACCGATATTGGAGTTTACCATGGAAGCGAAGACAGTGACTAGACACTTTGATTTCACCAGCAGTTAACCTGAAAATGAAGATTCTTTAACTGGACGACGAGCTCATTCCATCAGACAGGATTGGCAGGATATTACTTGTAACTTTATTGGCAACATCTTCAACAACTCAAAATTCACGACAGAAAAGGAATCCCAGGACAAACTTTCATTCTTGAACGCACCTATCAAAAAATTTAAAGAACACCACATAATTTAGTTACACTTGAAGTCAACTTACACAGAATAGGCCCTTAGGTAGATTATTCAGAGCCCAAAATGCAGTAAACTTACGGCTCAGAAAAATTGAGGAACTCATGAAATGATTACCTTTCGAAAGAACGGTTGTGTTACAACCTGTAACCGCCAATCAGAGAGCAGTGAATTATCGATCGAACCAATGACGTGTAAAACACGTACAGGCAGTCTAGAGTCCTGAGTGATCTTGCTTTCCACCTAACCCTGCCAGTTACGTCCAGAATACCAGTCTAAGCCTCTGCAATATGAATCAATATATTTCGAACATGCTGAGTTTATATACCAATCAAACAAACCACGACGTACCGAAAAAACATGAAACAACATTTATAAAAGAATTAGCCAGATGTGGCTGTGAATGAGGGTGGTAGTAATTAATATACTGGGTACAACTCAGGAATGGTAAAACGTATAATAATAGTTTATGGGTCTAAATAAAGCTGATTATAGGAGGAATATGAATATGCATAATTTAGTTACTTAATAGTTATACAATAGAAATACACGTTTAGCATTGATCCATAAATGTATCCCAAAAGTTACCATTGATTATTCTTGTCGGGACATAACAGGTTGTCTGTGCAGCTTCGAAAAATATCGAACAAACCCATCAGTAAAAACAGAATTAAATATGGAAATCAACAGCCGAGTTATCCTATCACATCTAAAAAGCCAAACAATGTTGTCTATAAAATCAATTGTCATGAATGTAATGCAGCCTGTTTGGGAGAAACATCTAGTCAGTTGAACATGAGATAAGAAGAACACAAACAGTGTTTGAAACACTATTCGAGACTACTGATTGATCTAAAAAATCTCCATATGAGGTAAGTGATAACGTCCC